TTATTTTGATGATTATCTCCCATTTACTATTTACTGTTTATTATTTATTATCCAGATCCAGCGGTGTGAACCAAAAAAGCGAAAACCAGCGAGCCATAAAAGTGGAGCTGGTGATGATGAACGAACCGCAGATGTGGGAAAGGGAACTGGGTCGGGCAAAAGCACGATGGATTTAATCCAGTAGATTATCTTGTTCCAGAGAAAATCCATAATGGACATTGATCAGGGGAGATGAGTAAGACCAATCAATGATCATGTCCCAGAGAATTAGTTATTATCATAGTTGTTCAACAGATGTCGGTCTGCCAACCTGCAGGTGAATGAATGTGATGGACGAATATCCCGCCTGATCCATACCATACCATACATGACCTAACCTGACCTTACCATACAAATTACTCCATGCTCGTACTGGTTTACACACAGCATTTGGTTTTGACCATCGCCATACCGTCCTGTCGATTCCCTTGACTATGATGTATGTCTGCCTGTCGGTATAGACATACATACAGATAGATGCAGAAGAGCACAGTCACTCAGAAAAGTGAATGTTTACAACGGAAATAATATTACCAAGGTGATCATAACAAGTCTAATCGGTGTCAGTCCAAAGTACCGCGATGGGCCCCGGGGAACCCGGACAGGTACCCAGAACCGGGCTGGGGCTGGGCTGGAATTGGGCAGTGACATAGTACAGCCTACAGAGCGTCTCCATAGTCCGTACTCTGTGGAGAGCACGTCGGGCATAGAAAATACTGAAAGAAGAATAAAAATCAGGGGAAAAAAAATGAAGAATGGAAACAGATCAGGGGATTAGACCCATTGGTGTGCCCTTCCCCCTACTCGAGGAAATCACCCATCCCAAACCCCAATAATAATAGACCTCATTATTAGGAGACTGGAATGATAGTCAAAAGTCAAAGACCGGTCAGCGATGGAATGGAAGGAACCGGCGGGTTCCACCTTTAGTCTATCCACTAACGAACAACTAAGGAACTAAAGGGAACTAACAGAGGGACTGACTGGGGTTTGGGGGCGAAATGCGAGTGAGAGGGAACAATTAGTCGACCCCGTCACCATGGTCGTGGTGGCAGAGGAGGATCGGTGGAGAGTCTGAACTCATCCTCTTTCTCTAGATGTGAGACTGTCTTTCGGTCTTTTGGGTAGGATTGAGGTGTTTGAAGTCTGTCAAGAATCAGCATGATGGGCACGGTTTCCCCCTCCTTGGTCACACTATAAGCTACACGCATGAAATTTTTATAGTCAAAGTCTATCGATTCGACGCAACATGTGCCGCGTGTCAAAAATGTTCCTATTTTTTTTCTTCGATCTGACGTGAAGAGAATTCCTACTTTTATTATTAATATTATTTCCTTCCATTCTCATGGAACTTTCTTCAACTACCGAGTTGTGTCGATCCAGCTTCGCTCCAACTGGTCCACTGGTCCGTCAGCTACGGTCTGTCAACTACGGTCCGTCTCTTTCTTTCCCTCTAAAATCATTAAATGTATCCCCTAACACGTAGATCGGGGTCTCCTGTCAAGTGTCAATCTCACCGTGGGAGGCTTAGAGGCTAGAGCATCCGTCATCGTTCAGCTCCAATGTCTGTCTCCAAGCCAAGGTCTCCAATTTACGTTGATCTATAATCCAGGATTAGGGCTAGAGGATCACGATGATGACATGATCAGTCTGCCAGAAAATTGAAAATAATCAGAATATAATATCCAATTATAGGTAATACGTAGTACTAATTGCCCGATATAGCATCTCACCATCTTATTCCTTCCACCGGTGATGGAATGACTAGTGTTCCAAGCCAAACAATAGTTGGATCCGAGGCAGAATCAGATCCAAGTAGTATATCCAGTAGTACCCACACAAGTCAACCAGCTTCAACCAACATTCCGCCATGAGCCCACCTCGTACCTTCTATCTAGTGCCTACTGTCTATCTCCCTAGTAAGTATCCGTACTAACGATACTCCAAACCCCGAAGGATCGGGCGCCATCGATCCACCCCCATCCGCGGAAAAGTGCTGCTGGAAATGAGGCACTTTTTTTTCTTTCTCCATCGTGGACGCCATGACTGGCCCGGAAGGCCCATGTCTTGCATGCATGCGGGCGCGGCATATCATCTTCCCTCTTATTGTTATTTAAGTATGATTGAAAAATTTTTTTTTTTTGGTTCTTCCTTTCGTTTCTTTTTCTCGTTCTACCCCCTTCCCCGAGTGGTGGCGCTGGCATTGGCGTGACGAGTTGATGACTCCATCGGGCTGGATGGGGTGCTTTCAATGGGCAGAATGTGCTGATCGCTGTTGTGTTTTTCTTTCTTTCTATCTAATATTTTGATTTATCCTTGTCGCACTATGTGGTTAATAAATGATATGTAGTATTAATACTGTGCCGTCGTGGCGTGGGCCATTCTGCAGTCAAGCACTGCTTCCATTGGCTGGATACCTGGATTCTCCCTGGGAGGGACTGTTTTCAATTCGTTGTCTTTTCGTTTTGTTTCTTTTTCTTTTCTTTTCTTTTCTTCTTTCTCTTTCATTTGTGATTCTTAGTTTGAATTTTCTATTTTCTGGCCAATTGACGTTTGTTTTGTTTTCGAGGCTGAAATGAAAGTGCCGTGGCATGTGCCGAGTGAGACCACGCGAGTCCTTCAATCTAGACGTGCTTGACGATGCACCTCGGGGGTTATATTGTTACTTCAGACGTTGTTAGATCAGTGAGTCATTTTCTCACTTTGATTATCTTACGCAGCATAAGAAAAATAAATCAAGAGTACGGAGTACTACACAGAGAGAATAATGGTCAGTCAACCCAGCTACGTCATTGGGCCGCAGCTCCCTATCAACTTCTCTATACAACACGGGAGTCGGTCTATCCCGACAGCTCTGAGATTCCTCATTTGCGATAGACAAACCGACAGCAAGGGAAATTGACGTCGACTTCCAAGGATCGGTCAATCAGAATAATAATAATCTTCTAGCGGCCCGTAGCATAGCCCGAACCGAGCGATGGTGCGGCATTATTATTGTCTGCATAATCCTTATTATTTCTGTCCTACGAGGCGGACTAGACATACTACCTGAGTGTGATGTGATGGGAAGTTGAAGACCTTGTCTTTTTTTTTTACTTTTGATTTATTGCTTTTTTCGAGGCATATAAAAACCTATGAAAAGATAGAAATGGATATGAAAAGGGGAAAAGACAGCAGTTGCTTTTTCTTCCTCTTATTTGATTAATATTACACCTTTTTGATTAATATTCGTTAGGTTTTTTCTTTCTTCCCCCTCATTATTAGACGATAGATAGCTTCGAATACAGAAGTACTTTTTGACTTCATAGAAGAAAATGGAAGTCACCGGTTTAGACTGAGACAGTTGTTCATTCTCTTTCTGCAAACCCAGCCAGCAGATTACTTGCAGCCGGCTGGGCTTGGGATCTGGCGATCGAAAAAACCCCATTGGTTGGGGGACGTGGATATTCGTCAATTTATTCCCGTTGGAGTACCGACAGCGGGTACGGAGTAAGTAAATTGGTACTTTAGATACCTAGGCTCTTCTCTACCTGCCTGCTTTACAGATAGTCCGAAGTTTGCGGATCTAACTAGAGGCTATATTCTTCTTCCACACTGGATAGACCTCAATGGCATACAACAGGAGCAAATTATACATTCAATGAGAATACACCGCATAATAAACACACAAAACAAAATAAACAAGATCATACAATAGGAAAGTACTAACCAAGCACCCCACTCCACACCCAGCTTAGTTCAAACCTCTATTTACTCCGGGAAGTGGAGCCTTCTGTATCGTTCTTCAGTCCCCTCTTCCTCCTCCTCTTTTCCCCTCGTCCTCTCATCCTTCAATCTATCTCATCCAACGTATCAACCGCCCTGGTCTAGACTTCCTTAATAACTACCGGAATCCATCTCCGTGATGCGCGTCCCCCCCCCGATCCTTCGCCTATATTCTGTCTGAGAGTGAGGCGGGAGATAGGGGGAAGAGGGGTCCCCAAAGTACGGACCTCCTAGATAGGTATAGTGAGGTAGGGGGGGTGGGGAAGAGTTCGTGAGGTGGTAGGTAGGTAAGAAGCGAGGCGAGACACAGAGAGAGACTGACAGAGAGAGAAACAGACAGAGACTGTATGTGCGTGTGGCTGCAGGATCCATGCATGGTTAGTTTAGCATTGGGGGGGCCCCAGAAGTGCGGTTCGTGGGTTCATTGGTGCGTGGGGCGGAATTTGATCCTCTTTTCTTTTCTTTTTTGTTCTTGATACGTGATGCTAATTTTGAGGTTTAATCATGTCACTTTGGATTATCTTCTACCTATCTATTTATCTACATCAGCCCATCTTTAGTCATTGGAAGGATTAGTACTAACTATGGTTTCTTTTCTCTTTCTTTTCTTTTGGTATGGCATTCTGGTGCCGCTGCAACCGCATGACAGGAAGATGGAAGATAGAAGGAGACGATCCCGTGGGATTCAATACTACCTAGTTAGTAGTATCAGGTAGATGCAGTTATCATCAATGATTCAGAAATGGCTCGGTGTGCCTCAGACCTGTCATGCTGTCATCTATCATCTGTCATGCTTGAGTACGAGGTAAGTATCTTATCACTTGCGTATCTTACAGTGTATCTTACATCATACACATACAATGATACCACGGAGTATAAAAAGTAAACAAAAGATAAATATATAGAAATATATTAATCCCCACTGTAATTTAGAACTAGCTCACTGCTGAGAGACGAAAATACTATAATAACTTCACAAGAAAAAGAAAAGAAAAAGCCATCCACGAGTCTCTGAGTCTGGAGTCTGGAGTCTGGAGTCTGCATCAACCTGCATAACTGGAACCACCGGTGTGTGTTGGCACTGCCAGCACCGCCTAATAGGAACGGAACCCCGGCTGAGATACAGTTGTACCTCTGCAGTGCCTTACTCCAGCCCCCTCCCCCGATGCGGCCATCCCGCGGTTCAAATTCCTATTCCTCACTGTACCTTACTACCTAGGTATGTACGAAGTAGGTGCATGCACCTTTTGCACGCTTACTTAGGTACTTACTCGTCTTGGTGATTTGGAATTGATTTTATCATTGTTCTTTTTTTTAGTGAGATGCGGATGTGCGGAGTACTGCTTCTCTCTATGCGAGCCAGGTGTAGGGTAGGTACTAATGTTTGTACTTGTGTCACTGTTGGCAATTTTGTAGCATATGTTTATGTATATGTATATGTACATGTAGGTAGGTCTTAGACTGCACAACTACCTGGTCAGGTGTTGGTTTATACACATATGAGTTCTCGACTCGCCGTCTCATCCCACTTGTGACACAACATGTGCGTAGATAGCGACGGACTACCACCTAGTACCTAGCTTGCTGATCCGGTCGTTTCCATTCGCCTGGGGGCACCTTTTGGTAGGTAAAAAAAGTAGGGTGTCGCTTGTTTTGTTGTGAAATATAAATCGTTGTTTTCATCTACGCTGGAGAAGGAGGGGTGAATTTACCCCTCCTATCTACACTCATATAACCTTTGTAAGTTTCTTCATATAACTACGACAACAACTAACATTTCCACAGTCTTCATCAACCTATATACTAGGTAAGATCGGTCAGATCACTTTTGCAGGCGAAACGCATTCTTGGCCTGTCCCCGAACCCCCACGTCAACCCGATACAGTCGCCCCCCGTACCGAACAGAGTTCGGCAGCGCCGCATCATCAGTCTCGTCCTTGGCCGTCGTGATGAACAGCTCGGTGCCCACAAAGGCCGCACAGGTGATGTTCCGGGTGGGCAGCAACACCTCACCAATGACCTGCCCCTCGGGCGAGATACGGATGACCTTACCGCCTCCGTAGATCGCACTCCAGATGCAGCCTTCCACGTCAATCGCGAACCCATCGGGCACCTTGGGCTCGTCCTGGAGGTCGAAGTACACGCGCCGGTTGCTGATGATCCCCGAGGGGGCGTCAAAGTCAAACGCGTAGATCTTGCCCCTCGGTGAGTCCGTCAGGTACATCGTGTCGTCCGCAGCATTCCACCCAATCCCGTTGGGAATCGTCACTTGCTCGACCATCCGGTGCAGCGTCAGATCGGGGTCTAGACGGAACAGAACGCCTTCGTTGATGGGCTCTTGCACTTTGTTGTCGTTCATTGCCCCCGCCCAGAACCGTCCTTGGCTGTCGACCGCTCCGTCGTTGAAACGCATCCTATTTTGTTTAAAAATAATTATTATATTATCACTAATTTTTTTTTTTTTTTTTCCCTTTTCGTTTGGGTTTGATTTGTTGTTTCTTTTTTCGTTCTTTTCTTTTTCTTTTTATGATTACTCTTTTAGGACACTGATGCTCTAGTGCACTTTTTCGATGGGGACAAGAGACACGTGGGGGACGGGGAATGAGCCTACCGGTGCGCCTTTGCCGCGTCCTTTTGTTCATCCCAGACTTTGGCGAGATATGACAGCTCGCCTGTGGTGCGGTTGAGGAGTGCATAGCCGTGTTTCGCAGCTACGACGGCCTGGCCCTCGTAAGAGTCGGTGGGATCCGCGATATTGGCTGTCACTCTACATCAATGGGGGTTAGTTTCACGATTGAGGGACTACCTGGCAGGGATGCATCCGGTTGGGGACGGGACATCTACGCACCCGATCGACGTCGACGTGTCGAGGATTCGAAGTGAGCTGGGCCCCTGAGCCAGGTCCAGCGAATACAGCTTCTCCTCCCAGATGTCAACGAAGCGGAGCTCATTGCGGGCTTCGTCATAGAACGGACCCTCCAGTAAGGTTCCTGCTACATCGACATACGGCTGAGAGGTCAAGGCATGGTGAGGGACGATTCTTTTTCTCTCGTGTTTCTTGTGGGGGGTGGTGCTTTTGACCGTTCGGCCATACCTCGGAGACCGTCCATTTGCTGATCGCAGCCATCCTGCACAGCCAACTCTAATCTGGGATTTCCGACGTCGAATCAATACCAGTTGCGCTCGGAGCTAGATCGGATGGACGATCCGTCAAAGAAGGCCAGAGGGATTTCGATTGGTGGATGGGGGGCAGGAAGAACGATGATCTGAAGCGATCCGGGATAGAACAAAGATGGATGAAAGTGAGTGACTGAGTTTGGGGCGGGTTATGCTGATGACTTGATGGGGAGAATCAATAGCGCGACTACGAGCGGGTGTTGTTTTAGGCGCCAAGGTCATTTTCCCCCCCACTTCTTACTTCATCTTTCCTCCTATCGTCTCATATCACTACCTTTGCTACCGACTTACCTACTACCTATACAGTATACTACTATAGAACACCATTTTCCTTCGAGATCGACTCCGATGTAGGACCATGATATAGTCCTTTGGGTCGACAACTCAAATCCTGACGATTGATCGTCGAATACTGATGCGGATTTCGGGAAATCAGTGGATCATCTCTGGTAAGACGGTAAACCTCACCGCCTGTATGGATTTCTCGACTAAAGTACTCACTAGTAGCTCGTTTACTCTATCCCTACTAGACTGGAATGGACCAGAAAGTCTGGACCGGAGAGAGCTCGTCCAGCTGGAGCTCTAGTTTCGGGGTCCCTGACACTGACTCAGAGTCAAGTCCCTAACGGTCCAATCGCCCAAACTATCGGCCTAATTATTGAAAAACGCAACGATGCAGGTCTCCACTGATTTGGAGCTATCACCTGTCATGTGAATAAGCACTCCAAAAGACCAGTTGATGGAATTGAAGGACCGGTTTCATGTAAGAGATCCGAAAGGGGGTTAAGCTTGATTTGTCATTTCATCTATTTATTTTTATTATCGGAGAGAAAGGAAGAGATGGGAGGGGGGAGACTTGTCAAAAAACCGTTGACCGCACTATTGGCCTTTTTGGCACATCCAGAGCTAGGTACTTTCCTCGGAATGATAGCGCCGACAAAATTTCCCACCTAAAGGCTGGGGGACGGCAAACTTCCCGTGTGGCACCTCATTTGTCCCAGACAAGGACCCTGGTGGAGCAAGGATGGAGGATGGGGCGGACAGAGAACAAATAGGAATTCACCCTGGCTGGAGTTTTCTGTCTGGAGCCAGTGGAGGACAAGAAGTGGGTAAAAGGGAGCTCTCGAAGTCGAAGCAAGCTGCGTGACAGAACCGGGGGGAATCCAATCCACGGGCCTCTAGAATCCGAGTCCCTTGGGTATGGACACGGCTGACGGCTCATTCCGTCCCAGGGTCCCAGGGTCCCAGGCGCCCGGATATTATCTTACTATACTTCCGTCCCCCGTACAGGCGGGGGGAGGTGCTACCGCTGCCGCCACTGTATGTGATATGTGATATGTGACATGCTCTTGCCGGGGGATCGAGCCCTTCGGACGCACAGCCGTTGACCTGACAGGTATTTATTGATTATACTCCTTTGCCTGCATTGATCACCCGTTCTCCGAGGTCTGTGTGTCCCAGTCAGTACGACATACAGGGGGCAGTAAGTTTAACCAACGAGGCACCCAGCGTACGACGACGACGGACGATGACAGACAGACTGGCTGGCTGACGCGGAGAGGGAGGCCCACTCTCTCCCTCCACTTTGGATTCCGTGGAATTCAACCATCGTTCAAGAGCTGGGGGACCGTCATGATCATCCGAGGGCGTTCGATAATAATCGCTCATCGTGAGTTAACTAGCGGTAGTGATCAAGAAAAATCACTTACCGCCCGGCGGCTCTAGAATGCCAGCGAAGCACGGCGGATTCTCCCACGCCCCGATTTACATCATCGTGAGCCGACCGGCGGCTCCAAGGGAGGCTGTATCCGGGGTGATCGCCAAGATAGTGCTAATCTTCGACCGAAGCAGGACGAACGACGGAATCAATAACCATTAATTACACTACGTGCGGACACGGAGCACATTTGGGTACAACAGGTCAACCGTATTGCCTCATCCTGGGACAGATTGACAGCCGGTAGGGAAAGTCGGTCGACCAGCCTCCCCGGCCACACTCTACAAGACCAGCCAGAAAAGAAAAGAGGGGGCGAGCAGTATGCTTGCTGACTGAAAAGGTAATCACAGCGCCCGGCCAACTCAGCCCCAGCAGTGGTCGAAGCGGGAGAGGGGGGTGCGGTAAAAGAAAACAAACCCAGTTTAGCTCAAACGTCTCTGCATCGCTGGCCATTGGGCCATGGGGAGCCGAGAAGGAGCGCCAGGTGGATGGAGTTCCTGCGGAAAACAGTGCTAGGCTGTCGCCATCCATGTCCCGGGGGTAGACCCGTCGCCCATCAGCCCACAAGGAGGAAATGCGGTGTAAGCCTGGCGTAGTTGCCAGTTGGGCAGCGTTGGTTGTGCTGTGGCCGTGGTTATTTTTTATTTTCTCCCTCCCCTGACTTTGACCAGCTCACCGCTGTGAAGTGGGCAGTTATGATCTGCTAGACTATCTTCTATCCTGCGGCTGTTTTATCATGTCCAGTAGACCGAGTGTCTGGCGAGAAATCATATTGTTGATACCCATACCATTGTATTCCATTCTGCAGTCTACTCCATACAGGATATTATATCTCCTGACAGAAACAGGGGAGCACATACAGATAGGCAGCCTCACATGATCAATTCTTCATGCATCTGCACGACAGAGCGGCCAGCGAGTGACAGGGTTAGGCGGTTAGCCTGGGTCTGTTCAATTTGTTTGGTGGGTTAGTTGGGCGGCATGCATGTCTCTATCTGGGGGGCCGTCTGGTTTGGTATGGGTATTGATACTTGTTTGTTCGTATGGTATGGTATGGTATGTATTACAGATACATGTTCTACTAGATGTCCAGAAGTCGAGCTTGATTCTCAATAATAGAGACCGCCCTGATGGAGTAACTAAAACAATATGCAAGCCATGATAATAACATTGACAAGAACACAACAATACACCAGTACATACCCTCCAAAATAACTGAAACAAACGAATAATCAAGCAAAAAGTAAAATAAACCAAACCAACACCCCCCTATTGCCCCTATTGGCCCATCCCACCCAGCCAACCTGCAGCGAACGTCGCATTTTCATTTTCACTTCCAATCCACAATTAGGTCCTAGAGGACACAGAAAACGCAGACATGCAGCTAGATATCTGGTAGGTTTGGGGAAGGGGGGTAGACAATAAATAAGCCAGTCAATTAATTGATTGGCCTTGACCCCACCAATGTGATTTGTTGGACGCCTGTGTTTTATTGTGGATTATTGTGATTGGGTGGTGAGGTGCAGCTAGAGCTGGACAGTTCATCATTCTTTCACCCGACGTATGCCAGCCATGTCTTTGCACACCCCACATCACTATCACTGCCACCTTGATGTTCTTGCATGGGGCTATGTTGTGTACCTACCTACCTACCTACCTATCTTACCTGGGTAATTGGTACGTTGTGAGTAATAGGTAGGAGGTTCAGGTGGATAGTGGAGCGTAGTATAGTGTAGGATTAGGCTCGAGCTTAGGCTTAGGCGTGGGATTGGGCTTGGTGTGGTGTGGTGGTTTGTTGTCGTGCGTCTGGGTTACTGGATGTGGGTGCTTGCAGGAGAGAGGTGCAGTAGGTTGGGTTGGTAGATTTACTTCCTATGTAGGTGTTTTTGATGAAATGAATATGTGTGTGTGTCTGGATTGGGTTGGATGGGGGGATTTAGTGGTATATCTAGCTGGATTTGTTTCTGACTACATATCATATACCATATGCTACCTTTATGCCTGGGTGGGTAGGGGAATGGTAGGAAGCTATACTGACAGCCTGGTAGGTGGGTATATAGTTAGTGCCAGGTGGTAGAGTTAAGATTGCTACCCAGCTACCAGGTAGGAAGTTTGCTTACTGTATGACGATTGGGCATGATATCATGCAGTGTATACCACCTGCCCATATACCTACCTTACCTACACTTTTTGTATAGTCTCCCATTTGATCTCGTTGATCGAACGAATAAGTCAGATCTGTCTGAGACATTCTATCTATAATATATCTATGTATCTGCCTAAGATGCATGCATGCATGTGTATCTGCCGCACGACTTGAAGATGTATGTAGTGATGCACCTACAGATGGATACCCATCTACCTGTCTACCTACAGTATATATCTATATAAAAATCCTCACGCAAGGCCGCAACTCCCTTACTGCTGACTGACCTGTTCCCTAGGTAGGGCTGTTATTAGTACATGCTGTACCCCCGCATTGCACTGCATTCATCAGGTGCTGCCCATCTACCCTGCCCTACCTTATACTAGGCTAGGTAGGTAAGGTAGATACATCGCTTTACTATTATGATGCATAGGGTCAGCTACATCGGATACTGGGCGGTCTCAGGATGCATTGGTTACATATACATATATACATGCAGACAGACATGCAGACATACATATATGCACTCATATGCATCTATGCCTATAACGTACATACATGCACCGTGGAACAGGTGTTCGATCGATTAGTTGTGTCTGGTGTGGTATATATTGGATATGTATGTGTGCAAATATGTATGCATACCTATCTGTCTACTGCATTCACCTGGTAAGACTGAGCGAGTCGGTTGTGATAGAGTAGATGGATATGTAAGAGTTGGGTGTCTGGCTGTGGGCAATACATTGGCGCCACCTGAATATAGCTTTATACTTTGTTCATGACTCATTGTTGAGATGACTGCAGTCTGGTATGTACTTACTCATACCTCTACTGACTTACAGGCTCACTGCAGGATCTGGCAGAATAGCCTGGCTAGTTGGCTGTAGAAGTGTCTATCTCTGCATACCTAGGTACCTTAGTATGGCAGCAAGGAGTTATTCATTTCAAAGTCGATTTAGCTGACTAGATAAAAAAAAGAAAGCAAGAAGGAAAGGGAATGGAATATAAGTGAGCATGGTAATCGGTAAGGTGTTAGTTATTGAGTAGACCAGCTAATACATGGCAATATGTCTGTATCTATTACTCTACTCATCATCTCCTTTGCATGTATTTCGAGTCTAGTACTTACTACAGTTAGATTGGATGAGGGATGTTAGTATATACTACTACCTTATCACAAGAGATGAGACTATATATAGTTAGAGGTCTACGGTTTATAAGGTTGACTATGGCTTATGATGGTGCTACACAATGTAGTTTGATAGTATTATTCAAGCTACCAAGACAAGAAATACAGCTACTATGCGGTATACACTGATGAGTTCAATTACTACACGTGGTCAAGACTACAAATAGATATAGATAGGATGACAACTAATACATATACGATTCTACAACGTAATCAATAGGGCATAGTCAATCAATGTCTACAGCTCACTATCATCGTGCTGGTGCTGGTGCTGGTACTCTGCCGTGCTTTCCATCAATCAGTGGCAAACAGCATGCAAGGGGGAAGGGGAAAAAAAGTGAGAGATCAGGAAGGACCGAAAAAAAAAAAAAAATAAGCCCGTTGATTGTACATAAGATGAAATGAGTAGTAAAAAAATGATACTCGCATTCGTTGCGAAAACCAGATCGCTCCATCAACACCGAATAAATTCCCTCTAGGTTACTCACTGGATTCCTCCGCGCTGCCTGCGCCGTCGGTGGACCCGGAAGCTTCCTCGACCAGTTTGTGGATGAAGTTCCATTCCTTGGCTGACACGGGGGACACGCTCAATCGGGATTGCTTCAGCACCTGGAGGTTCTCCAGCGGCCCACCTGGGGCGGAGTGACCTTTGAGGTCAGTCAGGGAGATCAGGTTGTCGAACTTGCGGCGGAACTCGACGTGGACCACGGACCATTTGGGCTCGTCGCGGTTCGATTTCTCGTCGTAGTACGGATGCTTGGGGTCAAAGGCAGATTCTATCTTCGTCAGCCCTGTTTTTCGAACTGAGAGGATAAAGGAATCTTGACTCACCGTCCGGCGAGTGCTCCTGCACAATCTCCATCACACCCACAATCCCGGGGGTTCGACAGTTGGAGTGGTAAAAGAAGGCCAGGTCGCCCTTCTTCATTTCACGGATGTGGTTTCGTGCTGTACCTGTCAGCTTGCGTTTGGACATGTCGACCCTAGATCTGCCTACCGACGGGGTTCCGCACACCTGACCAAAGTTAGTCTTTGCAATCGATCATATGGGAGGGAGTAAACGTACCATCCCACGGCTCCGGCTTGGTGCGGGCCTGCAGATCATCGATGGAAAATTTGACATCGACGCCCTTCTCCATGCGAGACTCGGGCTCGGCCTTCAAGAGCCAGTATGAGCAGCTGGGCTCGTCGGCCTTGGCGTCCGCAGACTCCGACTTGGACAGGCGCGCCACATCGGCCCCGTTCACGCTTTTCCTCGGTCGTCCTACCGGTCGCTTCCCATCGCGGGGGGTGTTGGGCTTGGAGGGAGTGTCTATCCGATTAGTATCGACGCGCACCATCGGACCCCGGATCTTCACCGATTCGGGGCGAGAGGAAAAAGACCAAACGCACCGGGAGCATTGGGATCCTTGCGGGGACGACCGCGACCTCTCTTGGGGCCGGGGGTCGGCTGGGGCCCTTGGCCCTCGGGGTACTTCCGTGGGCGGCCTCTCTTGCGCTTTTCACCGGAGACGGGGGTGGCAGTCTGGACGGGCGATGACGACATTAGTGGGAGTTGAATGATAAGACTATCTTATCGAGCGAAGTAGTCCCGCAGTGAACGAAGGGGAGAGACAGGAAGACAGAAGGGAAGGTGGTGGAAGTGTGAGAGAAGATAGGAGCTGAATGGGGATGAGGATGGCCAGCAGAAGACGCGACGATCACGGGAAGCCTGATATATGATGGCCCTGACATGACGCGCTTACCCGATCACGGTCCATGAGGCTGGCTCAGTTGTGGGGAAGGGGAGGAGGCCCAGGAGGACGTCCAGGAGTGATGCTATGAAAAGAATTCGAGGAACCGCGTAGATAACAATATCAAGAGGACTTACGGTCTTTGGAGAGGCGATCTCGTCGGCGGCCGGCGCGCCCTCAGCCTTACGCTTGGTCATTGGAGACGCGGTGGAAAATAGCTGAGCGAAGAAATCCAAGGTGAAGACGGATGGGAACGAATAGATCAGGATTGACAATAGAGACTATGGATGAGAAAGGGAGGTTGATGTAATTTGGTTATTTTGTAGAAAGCATCAGAGGTCGGATTTGGAAAATAAAATAAAAATAAAATCAAGAGAAAAAGGGAGATGGAGAAGGAAAGAGGAAAATCAATCCAAAAATAAAAGAAAAAAAAAAGAAAGAAAGAAAGAGAAAAAGAGAAAAAAGAAGAAAAATAATATAATAATAATAGAATAAAATAATAGAATAAATAATAAAAAAGAAAAAAGGTGGGATCGGCCAGTGAAATTGGCGACAGAAGATGATCCAGAACACGCCCAGATCTCTCGTCCGACGTGGAGAAGAGATTGATGAGGGGAAGAAAGAAAGTAGATAGAGGGAAAAAGAGGGAAAAATGTAAACTATATAACTATATATAAATAATTTAAGAAGAGAGATTATGAAGAGACAACCAGAGAGAATCAGAGAGCTGGTTTATTTTAAGTTCTATAAATCAAGGCAGCATCAAAAGTTCACAACTTCAAAAGAAACAAAACCAACCCAGTCAGTAATCCAAACTCGAGGAAAATAAGAAAAAATGAGAAAAAAAAGGAACCAAAATGGGGGGATCAGAAATGATCATTCAAAAATAGAGAAAAAGAGGGGAACAATAATGATGAGAAAAAAAAAAAAAAAAAAAAAAGAAAATTAGTTTGACCGACGCGTTGCCTGCGCGTGACGCCTCAGGCAGGAATGTCACGTGTCAACTATGTCCATAGATTCAACTTCTCTCCAGGGGGGGAGGGGGGATATATATAGACTAGCAGAGCCATATCCTGCTTGCCAGCAATATGCCACGATACCTGATACTCCATCTCTGACTATGAGGATCCACTGTAGACGGACTCTGAAGGATACCTCCAATGATCATGTACTTACTGACCGCCTTCTCGCTCCAGACGAAACTTCCACCTTCAATCCTAACTAGAGTTCGTCAACCAGTCATCTACCATGCCAATTCCCCATCGGACGAGTATAAGATGTCGAGAAACAGGATCTGCACCGACAAGCTTGGTGTCGGACGGAGAACAATCAGAAGAAAGATAAGACAACCGCATCAGTCCAACCCGGTATCGGCTGGCCCACTTCGTCCAGCTTCTCCTCCACTTAGAACGGCCGAGGAACTAGTTGATCGCCCCCGTTGGTTAGATCGATTAATAATTACGAGATAGATGGTCAGGGTCTCTTCTATTCCGGACTGAGCCTAGGGAAGGTTTTCTCCTACCTCGACCATCTTACTTTCCTAGTCGTGCTTTCTTGTCGTTCTCTTGTCTCCTCTCTCTCTGCGGGGAAAAAAGAAAGTCGTGGTTGGCGGGCTGTCTGTCCACAAGAATCATTGAACCTTTCCCGAGGATGAGAACCGAACCGGAAGAGCGTCGGCAAGCGGACACGAGCGCACCAGAAGACAACGCCCTCCAATCGAGGCCCGCACAATGGGACCTGTCTCAGAGTCACGACTCCGCCCCGAAACCTGACCATCGACCGACGACCACCATGGCAGACGTTCCCCACGAGATCGAGCACCAGTACCTCGACTTCGACACCCCGTTGCCCTACCCCGTGGGGATCTTGTGTCCACGGGATGGCCAGCGGGATCCACCCCCGGCTCCCAACCTCGCCAAGTATGGATCCCCCTTCCTATGGTCCGAATCCCGCAAGACTGTCGTCACCATCATCTCCTGCGGAGTGACCGCCATGTCAGCCTACGCTGCCGGCGAATATACCCCGCCTGCCAACGAGTTGATGGAAAAGTGGCATGTCGGCAAAGTCGTGTATAATTTGGGTATCACCCTGTTCACACTGGGTTTCGGGATTGCCCCCATGGTTCTCGCGCCTTTCTCGGAGATCAATGGTCGAAGACCAATCTTTGTCTCCAGTGGACTGGTTTTTACAGGTCCGTTTTCCTCTTTCTTCCCCCATCTCGAATCCCGCGAGGATGAGGTTAATGTCAAATAGTCTGCTTGATCGGGTGTGGAGCGACGGATTCCTTTGCTGGAATGCTGGTCGCGCGGTTTTTCCTGGGTATTGGTGGATCCACGTTTTCCACCATGGTCGGCGGCGTGATCAGCGATATTTACCACACCGAGGATCGGAATGCGCCCATGTCCTGCTTCTCCGGGGCCGTCCTCTTTGGAACGGGTCTGGGGCCTCTGATCAGTGGCTTCATCGCGAAGCGCGCCAGCTGGCGGTGGGTGTTCTACTCGCAAGCCATCGCCGCCGCCCTCTTTCTCGCCATTCTCTTTTTCTTCTTGGACGAGACGAGGGGGAGTGTGCTCCTCAGCCGAAAAGCCAAGGCGCTCAACCAGTATTACGACGCCTTGGAAGATGCCGGGTACCATGGCGTGGTCTTCGGCGCGGAGGACCCGGTGGAGAAGCAGCGGGTGCAGCGCATCCGGTGGAAGGTCAAGAGTGACGAGGAGCGCGAGAGCATCGCCAAGATGATTTCTATTTCCTGCTACCGGCCGTTCCGTATGTCCTCTGCCCCTTGCTGTTTGTTAGCGTTGGGATTCTGACGTTTGTAGATCTCCTGTTCACCGAGCCGGTGGTGTTTTTCTTTTCGCTGTGGGTGGCCTTTAGCTGGGCGGTTCTGTACTTGCAATTCAGCTCCCTGCCGCTCGTCTATTCCACGAACTACGGGTTTGACATTGAACAATGCGGCTCGGTCTTTGCAGCGGTATCGATCGGCTCATTGCTGGCTACCCCCTTGAGCATTTATCAGGAACACCTTGCCAGTCGACTGGGCAAGATGTCCAGTACCCCCGAGGGACGGCTGTACTTTGCGTGCATCGAGTCCGTGCTGATGCCGATCGGGCTGTTCTGGTTCGGGTGGACGTCGTTCCCGTCGATTCCTTGGATCGTGCCGACGCTGGCGGTGGGGTGTTCCACGATGGGGATCTTCTCGATCTATCTGGCGACGTTCAACTACCTGGCGGACACGTACCATCGATATGCCAGCTCGGCGATTGCAGCCCAGTCATTCTGTCGGAACATACTGGGCGGGGTCTTTCCCTTGGTGACGGGCTTTATGTTCACTAACCTGGGGTATCCGGGCGCGTCGAGTCTGCTCGGTGGGATTGTAAGTGTGGCTGCGTTATGAGGTCGTATTTGAACTAACGATGTCAGGGAGTTTTGTTGACGATAGTGCCGTGGGTGTTGGTGTTTTACGGGCCCCAGATCCGGGCTCGGAGCAAGTTTGCGAGCGTGAGTCGGCCTTCTCTTGAGGTTGTGATTGATCTGACGTCTGTAGGAGATCATGCACCAGCATTAATCGGCGGCATCTCCGGCCCATCTAGTTGTATATACACTCCGACCTCGCCCCGGACTACGCAAGTAGATAGCTACAGGGACATGCAATTAAAATAAAGGAAAGACATGCATCTGCGGAAAGGACCTGACAAGTGGGTCGGGCGACGGTCCGGGCCCCCTGATTCGTTCCCCGGGTCTTCCAGAAACCGGTGCCAGGGTCGGGATTAACCTTTCTTTTGCTGGCGTAGGTACGACAAACCCTAGAAGTTGCATCTTCCTCCATTCTTCTCAGTGCTCTCCAGGCCAGTCCCTTTGTGTCCGGTAGCCTCGACCGGTGGATGAATGACGGCAGGTGATGTGCGCAATTGCGCCATCATCCCGGGAGGTCATTGGTTTAGGGCGTGTTCGACTGTTATCCCTTGGGCAGTCGGCCGACAGGACTCAAGACTCGGGTGTCTCGAGTGATGTAGGGTATCGAAGAGATGTTGAGCTCCTCTAGACTATAGATGGAATCACTATACAATACTCTATTCCGTCGTGTCTAATCAACCAAGTCAAGTGAGGACCTTGAGGTATCGGCGACCACGATGATGCCCTGCCCGAACTACTCTCTCCTCTACCTAAGTTAGTAGTGGTAGTCTGGTGGACCTGAGGCGCTAAACATCCCACTTGGATGAGCTCATGACTGACCAATCAGGATGCGGGCGGTGACAGATTGCGTGATCGGAGAGAGGGAAGTGGAGACTCTGATTGGGGGAGAGGAGGAGGGGTGGCAGAATCAACTGTCACGACGGTGGAGGTGCCTGGAAGTAGCCTGAGGATGGAGTAATGATAAACAATCCGGCGGGGAGTTCTCGCTCTGGCTATAAATCTTCTTCCCCTCTCGATCTCTTCTCTCTTCTTTTCTTTCTCTCTGTATTCTTTGCTCTAATCTCTTACTGTTCTTTTGAACTCACTCTTCTACCTACTTCACCATGGCTCAGGAACGCTCGACCCCGTAAGTTGTACCCCCCCCACACTCTCTATCTTCCTGTCTACTCTTTGTCTATCTCTTTCACGCCTCTATCAAATAGTTTAACTGACTGAATAGTCTCCGTCTCGGCTCGACCGCCCCCAACTTCACCGCCGATACCTCCAACGGCGAGATCACCTTCCACGACTACATTGGCGATAGCTGGGCTATCCTCTTCTCTCACCCTGTAATTCCACCACCATCACAAAGAGACAAGAAGAATAAAGAGACGAAGAAACTGATCAATAATACAGGATGACTTCACCCCCATCTGCACCACCGAGCTCGGCGCCTTCGCCAAGCTCGAGCCTGAGTTCGCCAAGCGCGGCGTCAAGCTCATCGGCCTGAGCGCCAACGGCACCGAGTCCCACAAGACCTGGATCAAGGACATCGACGAGGTCAACGGCTCCAACCTCAAGTTCCCCATCATCGCCGACCCCGAGCGCAAGGTTGCCTACGCCTACGACATGGTCGACTACCAGGACACCACCAACGTCGACGCCAAGGGCATGGCTCTCACCATCCGCTCCGTCTTCATCATTGACCCCGCTAAGAAGATCCGTCTGATCATGTCTTACCCTGCTTCGACGGGCCGGAACACTGCCGAGGTGCTCCGTGTGGTTGATGCGCTCCAGACGACTGATAAGAATGGTGTCGCTTGCCCGATTAACTGGTTGCCCGGTGATGATGTTGTTATTCCCCCTCCGGTCTCGACGGAGGATGCGCAGAAGAAGTTTGGTGAGATTCGTACTGTTAAGCCGTATGTTTTTCTCCCCCCTCTTTCCCTTGTCTTTGTTGTTACAGTGACTTACTTGAGATAGGTACCTGCGCTTCACCAACCTTAACAAGCAGTAAATTGTCCGGTCTAACTGTCGCCTATTCCCAAGAGATGGTTGATCGATTGGGAAGGATGGAAGGAATGGTCTAAAACTACAAACCACAGATATGACGTGACACCTTAATCAATGATACCTCTGACGACAGACATGATTCCCTTGGTTGCCTCATGGAGCAACTGTTCGCTTGTAGTTCTTGGGAGAGGATGTCGATCGAGTGTACCCCTCCTCTCTAGTCTACCCCCTAAGTGGAAGTCTTCTCCTGATTATCACATGGCTCCCAGGATCTCCCCGGTGGAGTCGTGTTCGATTCTAACTAGATCAGACTTGGTTCGGGCAGTTCTCGCATTCGTTGTAGTACAGTAGTACTACGTAGTTACTAGTTGGTTTGCCGTCCCCACCGGTGAGTGGACTCTATCTGAGTCCGCTATTTTGTAGTCGTCCCCCAGGGCCGAAGGCAGATAACTTAGACCATGATTGGCGATTCACCGGGTGACAGAATTTCTCTTTCTTTCTTCTAGAACGGTTCCAGAATGCGACGATAACCCATCGTCCCCAAGTAATCAATTCCACTGAGGGGTTGTGAACAGGAACGTTCGACCAGGGGTTCTCCGTTCTCCCCGTCCGGATTGTCCCCACTTGGCCGAGGTTTGATCCTTGTGAGTTGAGTGAGAGTCTTTTCTCTCTTTCTCTTTCTCTCTCTCTCTCCTGGGTTTCTTTCCGCTCAGTAATTGTATACGATAAATAAAAGAATCGAAAGGTAGGACGCTAATCCCCTTTCTATCCCCTGTCACGACGCGGGAAGGCCCTTTTTTTTCCAGCCACTGCTGAGGGACGGCGGGGACACGACGACCAAAAGGGAGAAAGAAAACCCACAACTGAGTCTCTTTCACTCTCACACTCTCCTCTCTCGACTAGTTCTGACTCAACCTCTCTCCTCTCTCATCCTATTCTCTCTCATCCATCCTACCTCTCTTTCTCTGTAATAATTAATTCCTCGTCAGGACACATACTCCCCTATTCACCGCTACCACCGTCTATCGCGACCGACACCTGTACTTCACCCCTCGTCGCTATTCAGCCTCATCCCAATATTTCCTCCCCCCCCGCGGCGAGGGTGATGAGATTCTACGAATACGGACCATAACCTCGGATCGGGTTTGGAGTTGGAGAACAACATCGATCGATATTAAGGAAAGAGACCGGTCTCTAAACATACACAATGATGTCCAGGAGTCAATCCAGCTTGGGCTATTTGGATTCCGCCAGAGAGGATCCCTCCATGCCTGGAGTCTCCCCAGGCTACGGTCAACCGCAGTCCGCCGCCGGTCCCATCAACCTCTCGGGCCTCGTCTGCAATGTGCGCCGCACCACCGGCCGAGAGCCACACCCCCTGGTCGGGGCTACCACCACCATCCTCGGCGATCGCCTCTACGTCTTTGGCGGACGCGTCCTCTCCAAGAGTCGCCCGCAGTTGACGTCGGATATCTACGAGCTGGACTTGATCCGCCGTCACTGGTCCAAGATTGACGCCTCCGGCGACATCCCCCGCCCCCGATACTTTCACAGCATGTGTGCGCTGGGCGACAACAAACTGGTCTGCTACGGCGGCATGTCCCCCGCCCCCAGTCCGCCCGCGGAGGCGATCCCCGCCGGCCAGGACGCCCAGCCCGAGGTCGTCGTCATGTCCGACATTCACATCTTCGATGTCCCCTCCCGCGCCTGGATCCGTGTGCCGGCCACCGATTCGCCGCAGGGTCGATACGCCCACTGCGCCACCGTCTTGCCCTCCACCGCCCACTTCACCTCCGCCAGCGCCCCCTTGTCTGCCATCCAGCATAACCCCGCCTCGGCGAACCCCCACCAGGGCTCCATCGGCGTCGACATCGATGGCTTCGGCGGCGCCGAGATGGTCGTCGTCGGCGGCCAGGACAGCACCAACCACTACATCGAGCAGATCAGCGTCTTCAACCTGCGCAGCCTGAAGTGGACCGTCACCACCTCGCTGGGCCGCAGCTGCGGCGCCTACCGCAGCGTCGTCGCCCCGCTCGTCGGCATGAAGGTCTCCGACATCGGCTCCGCCGCCGCCGACCGCGAGACGTCCGATCCGTCGCCGGAGGACGACACCGACGCCGAGGGCTGTCCCATGCTGATCTACTCCAACTACAACTTCCTCGATGTCAAGCTCGAGCTCCAGGTGCGCCTGCCGGACGGCCGGCTGGTCGAGAAACCCATGCAGACCCACACATCGCCCCCTGGGCTGCGCTTCCCCAGCGGCGGCGTCATCAACGGGCACTTCGTCGTGAGCGGCACCTATCTCACCTCCTCCAAGCAGGAGTACGCCCTCTGGGCGCTGGACCTGAGGACCCTCACCTGGGGCCGCATCGACGCCGGCGGCTCGGTCTTCGGCCAGGGCAGCTGGAACCGCGGCGTGCTGTGGCCGCGCCGCAACACCTACGTCATCCTCGGCCACCGCAAACGCAGCCTCGTCGAGGACTACAACCACCGCCGCATCAACTTCTCCCACACCTGCCTCGTCGAGCTGGAGGCCTACGGGCTGTACAACAACCCCTGCCGCACCGCCCCGACCAGCGGTTACATCTCGCACAGCGCGCCGGCGGTACCCGCGTCGCTGCAGCGGAAGCTGGCCCAACTGACCTCGGGCGGCCGCCCCTTCTCCGGCGGATCCGACGAGCTCGGCCAGCTGGCCCAGAGCCTACCTGAGCTGGCCGACATGGAGCTGCAGGCCATCGGCGGCGAGCGCATCCCCGTCAACTCGCGCATCCTGACGCGCCGGTGGGGGCCCTACTTCATCCAGCTCCTCCGGGCGTCGTGCGACAGCGGCGCCTCCGACGCGGCCACGCTCCGCCCCGCGCTCCACATGTACCCCAACCGCAACTCCAGCATCACCATCACGCCGTCGATCGGCCAGAACAGCAGCTACTCCACCGCCACCACCCTCGTCAGCCACCCCAACGCCCCCTCCGCCAAATCCCTCCTCGCCAACCTCGAGATCCCCTCCGCCCACTCCCTCCCGCCCACCTCCCGCCTGCGCGTCCTTTACCTGCCCCACACCGCCCTCACCCTCCAGGTCCTCGTTCACTACCTCTACACCTCGTCCCTGCCGCCACCGGGCTCCGCGCTCTGCACGCCCCAGATCCTCTGCTCCCTCCTCCAGCTCGCGCGCCCCTACCAGGTCGACGGCCTGCTCGAAGTCACCGTCGAGCGCCTGCACCAGGTCCTCGACGGCCGCAACGCCGCCGCCGTCTTCAACGCCGCCGCCATGGCCGCCGGCGGCGGCCGCGGCACGGGCTTCATCAGCGGGCCCGGCGGCACGCTCGAAGCCCTCAACGACGCGCACGCCGCCCGCGACTCCGCGACAGGCGGGCGTAACACCACCGGCCCCGCCACCCACACCTCCAGCCAAAGCCGCTTGACCTCCGACTCCTCGGACACCGAACACGGCACCGCCTCCGGCGTCTCCGCCGCCAGCAGCGCCAGCGGCACCTCCGGCTCCCGCGGCATCCCCCTCCGCATCAACACCAACATCTTCTCCCGGCGCCGCGGCACAGCCACCACCACCACCACCACCACCACCGCGGCCAACACCGCCACCACCCCCGCCGACCGCGACCGCGAAGACTCCATCAGCAACGCCAGCACCTCCACCTCAGCCTCCACCAACACCAGCTTCGACCACTCCGACTCCGACATCGGCGGCGACGAGCACCACATGCCGCGCCACAGCCACGCGCGCTCCCGCCGCGACACGGACGCGGCGATGCGTCCCGAGCGCGAGATCTGGACAGCCGACCTCAGCAGCGTTATTGGATTGCAGAAGCGCGGCCTCCGCGGTCTCATGGAGGGTCGTCGTTTGCGCGAACGCAGCTCGAAGCCGGGAAGTACCGGCGGGCCGATGGCTCTCCCTGTGGATGGCGCGAGTAGTAGTTTGGGCCACAATGGGAGTAATGGGGGGTTGACTCCTGGGGGGGTTGTCGTGTTATGATATGGATGATATCTCTGCCTGGGGTGGATGATTACTGTCTGGATAATTCTTGTTAGATGGATATGGATATGGATATGGATATGGATATGGATATGGATATGGATATGGATGATGGATGGATGGATATAGGAAGGAGTCGGTGGGTTATCCGATGTTGTTTTATACGATGGGTCAGTTGATGGTGAATAATGAATGGCCTTGAATATGACTAGACGGTGTATCGTATATATTATATCTGATTTATCTTATCCTATCCTGTTTGTTCTTGTCCATACTCTTACACACGCTTACGCTTCTTATGATCTGATATTGACCCTAGCCCTTTTTTTTTTTTTTTTTTTGGTCGTATATTGTTACAATGATATAACTGATACGTGAGTGACTGTCTTTGGTTTCTCTTTGAGATTTCGTTTACTCTGGTGGGTTGATCAGCCTGCTGGTATGCATCGCTGGCTGTAGTCGTATTATGTAGGTAGTATTGTATCGAGTATTTCCTTGCTTGATTGTATTGCTATAGTAGTGCCAATAAGGACGGGAAGGAAAAGGAGAAGAAGATATATCGTAGTTACTCACAAGATATAGATCTATATAGACAGAGATACAACTTAGTCAACACCAAGAATGAGATGATTCACCCCATATATCAAATCACATTATACAATGCCATATCATGATGATGAACGCGTGCAACGAATTTCAGATATCCTGCCTTGTTTGATCTTACTTCCAATACTCTCTTTCTGTCTGTCTGTCTGTCCTAATAAAGCACCAACAAAGACAATCAAAGATAAAATCAAAATGAAACTAAAATAATATGAGAAATACTCGCGTATCTCTTATAAAACTCGCCAATAACAAACACTACATGAAACCAATCAATGACAAATAACCAAACCAAATCATAGAATAAATTATAAATCAATCAATCAACCCCACCCGTCATGCCCCCCACTAGACGATAACACCCACGCCTCCCAGAATAGTCTTTGGTCCCGTCTTACGCAGACACCATCATCGCCGAGCTCATCGGCAGACAGTCCCCGCAGCCGCTCCAGCGTCGGCCCCGAGAACGACCGCCGCGTGTTGCCCCGCGGGAGGAACGACATGTGGTCCACGCTGAGGGCTGTCTGGGGCGGCGGGGATTCCGAGGCTGGGCGCGTGATGATTGGGATGAGGGGTGGGTGTGGGTATGTTTCTGGGGTACTGCCGTTGGTGGTGCCGTTGGAGCTGCTGCTGCCGTTGGTGGAGGTGTTGGTGGCGTGGGCGGGCTGGACGTAGTTTATGTCGCGCAGGTCGATCCGCTCGAGGTGGTCGAGGCCTGAGTGCAGTGTGGATAGCACGTCGCGCCAGTAGCTGCCCTCGCGGAGGTAGATGCTTGTTAGCCGGATATCGCGCAGCGGGCGTCTGTGGCGGCTGATGAGGCTGATGAGTTCCTCGGCGTGGAGCCGCCAGCCTTGGATGCTGAGCGTGCGGAGACGCTTCCACTGTAGTCTGTGGAAGATGGTTTCTAGCGAGAGGTCTAGGGGGATCCCTGGGGGAAACCCCAGGTGGATAGCGGTGAGGTTGCGCGCGGCCAGGAAGAAGTCGTGGAAGACGCTTGAGAGGCTGCCCATGGGTGCCGTCATGTCGCTTGTTGTTAGGAAGGTCACGTCTAGGCTGGTCAGGCGGGTGCCGAGCTCTGACAGTGTGGTTGATGGTGTTTGGGACAGCCGGACTGTTGCGTCTGGGCTGATCTGGGGCCCGACGAAGCGGACTCCGTGCCGGGTGGATTCGAGCAGGGAGATGCCTAGGCTGGACACGGCGCGGGAGCACGCCGCGCCCCAATCGAGGCTGGTGTCGCGCCCCAGCGTGCGCTCCCGTATGTAGTCCAGGGCCTTCTCGTCTGCTTTGTCTTGCAGGCGCAGGAGCTTGACCTGTTGGAGGGAGGTGAAGGCAGCGAGCGCGCGGCGCAGGACCGAGACGTCATGGTCCTTGTCGAGGATTTCGCACTGGTCGTGGAAGCGCCGTTGGTGGATGCGCGCGTCTGGGAGTGTACCCGAGTCGACTCCATTCAGGAGATTACTCCATCCTAGAATTGATCTTGTCAGCTGGACCTTTTTCCCCCTGGAGGTAGGGCGGGACTTCAGAGACGGTACCGCTTCCTTGGTAGAAGGGTCGCACCATGTACGTGAAGTATCTGACATGGCAGGCCAGCTGCATGCTCAGAAGATCCTCCAGTCTCCCGAACCCTTCCCGGGAGAACCGCAGGACGAAGCGGGGGAATTTCCGGGGCGTGCCTATGCGCGTGAAACGCCGACACACGAGTCGGAATCGGTCTAGCTCCGTCTGCTCGCCGTACGCGGAGACTGAGTTGGGATCGAGGCCGGGGGCGAGATCCGCGTCTCTTGCGACGACGCTGTCATTGAGAAGTTGCTCGGAGCCGAGCAGGAAGGACAGGACCTCGGAGATCAACTCGTCCGCCAGGTCGTTGACGTTCCGCGGTCGGTCCATGATTTTCGCACAGCAGGGGCAGCCGCGTGTCGGGCTGCGTCGGTCTCTCGCAACCGCATGGAATTCCAGCCTGACGAAAGGTGGGGAGGGAGCAGGAGAGGTGACACCCCGTAGCAGTTGGGAGTCAGAAGGAAAATCAGAGGAGCTACGGGGGTACTTGAGGGATAGGAATTTAAAGCAAAGGGATCCAGGGAAAATAAGCAAAGATGCACGGACATCCGACGCGTCTTTAAGCCAGAGAACAAATATTTTCAGAAAATCAAATCAAATAAAATAAAAGATTTCAGGGACGAAAGTGATACATCCCCCTCGCACGCAGCAGTGACAAAACACTGTCAACGACACAGCAATCAGCGGGCCACGGATGCCGCACCTGCAGCAAGTCGATATGTCTGACAAGATTTAGAGCGTCCCACATCGACCGTCAACTAGTCCAGTGGACTGGGATCATCAAAGCGATATCCCGAGCTTTGCCCCCGGACCAACCGACCCAGGACATTGGACGACACCTGGCACATCACGGTCACATGATTGAACGAGTATGCGGATAACCAGCGCGAACCTGCAGGAAAACTTGCAAAAAGGAAGCGGAGGGGGTGTGGAAGGATTGGAGGAGAGTGGGAGATAGGGTTGGTCGGCCAGCAGGGGGGTGTGGGTGTGGAGGGAAGAGGAGGGAGAGAGAGATGGGAATGATGCGACGTGAGAGCCAGATACGACAGACGCCCACTGCAAGGGAACCCCGCCTGGGAAACGAATCATGGTGCTCCATTGCCTTCCAAGCCTACCGGAGTAGATCCATCTTTGCGACTGGCTCGACCGCCGGCGTTGATTGATTGCTCGTTGCCCTGCCAGGGTAAAAAGTCCGAAAGCACTCCCCCCCCCATCGACCAGATCCCGGGGACTCAAGTAGCGGCGTCGATTTGCAGAAAGGGATCGGAACCCCCAACAATGCCATTGCATCCACACCTAGCAATTCTTCCGTGGCCACGTACTGAACGTGGGCGGGAAAGGATCATCGTCCACTTAGGGCGCCTCATTAGTATCCAGCAGCAGTAGCGTAAAACACTTGCGCCCGATCGCTAAAAACCGTCTTAACCAGACCATGCATACAAAGACATACAAAAAAAGGGAACACAAAAACATGGAGGGCATGCAGAGAGGTGGGTATATAGGAATCGTTCTGAGAACTTCTGGTCCAAGAGAAAACAACGCGCCAAACGTTGTCTCTGACAGTTATATGCACGGGTGGAGACACGTATAATTTACAAGAGTGATGGGTGCACGTTCATCGATTGGCGCCCGATGCTTCTCGACTGATCGCAAGTGCGAAACACCCGGAAAGAACCATGATCATGGACGAGAAGGAAGAGAAGAAGGGAAAATCAATACAAGAAGAAGGACAAAAAGAAGATTGATGACTATCCCAGGGGGGGCACCTATCTTGACAGTTGCGTCAACTTCCCTGTCGTGTTTCAACTCGTAAACCCCATGTCTGTGTTCACTGGGAGAGACTGACGACTTCTATAATCCAGGACCCAGGCGGTTGACAGGCTGGCAGGCCACTTTGATTTAGCTAGCTACTGATTCTGGGCCATCTCCGTTCGACGCCGTCTAATATCCGTGCTGCTGATCTTGGACGCGAAATCCTTGACATCGCCGGTCGACATGTTCCCTGTGTCGAGGACATCAATCTCGAAAACTTCCAGACCCCGCCAACCTTTCTTGGTCCGCTCCTCGTTGATCGCCATCCCTCCGGACCGGGTCTCCTTGGAGACGACGATGGCGCTAATAGCCTCGTCGGTGATGGTCGGGCCAAACGGGTCTGATATCTTCACCAATCGCAGAGTCAATTGCGGCCGGATCATCAGGAGGATGTATTTGCCATGGGACTCGGGCTGCGATACGATTTCGGTCCGGGTCGAGCTGCTTTCCGGGGGTCCAAAGTCCAAGATGGCCGAGAGGAAGGATCCGGTATTCCTACATCGCTCCTCCCAGCTCTCCAGGACGTCGGCGTATTTCTTGTTGACCAACAGCTCATCCCCAGTCATGCCGACCGTGACCACCCTTTCTCTCTCCTTGTCGGCCTCCGTGATGGGCTGCAAGGCCAGGACCGTGGCGGTGAGCAAGAGCTTGTGTCCGATATGGAGATGGTCGAACGTGCCTCCTACAGCCACCGAGTAGTGGGCGATGGCGTCATCCTTGGGATCCTCGGAAGCGAGAAGGGATTCCGACGCCGTCCACTCTGGCACATTGGGGATCGACTGGAGGCCACCGATGCCGGGAAACTCAACCTGGGGGTAAACACTACTGAAGTCTGTTGCCAGCTTCTGACCTACTTGGTTTCCCGGGTAAAAGACACGGTCCCAAAGACGTGTGGATGTCGCCAGCGTCCGAAGGCTAATAATGGGACCTGTCGGTACTGCCGAGGTCGTTGTATCCGCGGACAGGTCGGAATCCACCAAAATCACCCGCGCGTCGATACCTCCCGCTGCATCCAGCTGAATATCATTCTTTACGCCGATAATCCCAATTAGACTGTAGATATTTGCCACGAAGTGTTGCAGAGGTTTGAACACTTTCGACCGGGGTAGGTACTTCGGTGATAAGAGACCGGGGAGGGCGAGCGCGATGTCCAGGATCGCGATGTGGTTAGATCCATTAAGGTTGTTAGACAGTCTCGAGAGTGCCTCTGTCAAGATCGGTTCATAGATCAGTCTGAATTGCTCAACGGACGTGGAGGATGGTGGAGGGAGAAGCAGTAAGGCGGAGGGTTCAGCGATGGAATCCATGGCACTATTGCGGGGGGTCTGCACGGGGGAAGGCGGGGGAGCTTCAGGAATGGATTAACCAAGGGATGGGTGGGAAACAATAAAAATTACGGCTTGTAATAGAACATATACAGCTGGAACGAAGGAGGTGATATACCAGAAAGAGAGCCAGAGTCAGAGCAAGGGAGAGAGAGAGAGAGGAATATAGATCGAGATGATGATGATACTACTCGATCCCCCCGCAGACGGCTGAGTCATCACTGACTAACCTCGTGTCTCGCTCACTCCATCCCCAGCCTGCTCTCTCGCTCTCTCTCTCTCTCTCTCTTCTGCTTCAATTGTGTCTCCTTTGCCTCCTTCTTTCCACTCTCGCTCTCTCCTCTCACTCACAGTAATCATTCTCGGTTCTTCCTTCTCCCTGTATTCATCTCTACCACTGTTCTTGAATCTTGAGAATGCTCTTCTAAGAGATTGGCCAAGGTCGCTCTTCTGGACCTCCCTGATTTCCCACCTCTTTCCGAGCGCTATCGCAGCTCTCTGACACTTATCGCTCGTTGGCTTCGCATCGAATAGCCTTGCGATCGTAACTGCTGGTCAGACCCGTCGGAGGAGTGTTGGTTTACCGCGTGAAGGCGCTGGAGATATCCGGGAGGCCCTGGAACAATATCGCTAGTCAGGCCCGAACGTCGTCGCAATGTCAAACCCCGCATCGTCTTTCGATCCTCGACGGTCGACCATCTATGGCCGTCCGGAAGAACTTCACATTCCTACAGGAGGTGGGGGAGCTGCCAATCTCCAGCGGCAGTCAATGTCCCATGAGTATGCCGCGGGGGTCGATAATCATGTTCCCTCGATCAACGTGCACCCGTCCAGCTCCCAGCCAAACCAATACGGGCCCGGGAACGCCGGTAGCGGCCCTCTTCCGGGGGCCTTGCAGCCCGGTAATGCCGTTCGTCCCAGTGCAGTGGCTGTGAACACCGCGCCATCGGGGATTCCGACGCTTCCCCAGTTGTCAACCCAACAACCGCCGCCGCAGCATCCACCGTCCCAGCAACCACCGACGACCCCTCGCTCCAATTCCCACGGGCCGTCCAGATCCAGCCCGGTCGGCTTCGATGTGCAAAAGTACAAACCGCACGGGGCCCCGGAAACCTTCAGGTACCCACCGTCGCCCGGTGCGGCTGGGTTCCAGCCGCATACCCCGCAAGGCGCCAAGTACTCGCCGCTCGGACTGGCAGATATCCGCCCAACGGGGGACCTTCTGGGCGATCATATCACCAGTCCCGGATCCGTCCCCTACACCGATACCCAGGTCCCGACCAACAGCAACTACATCGCGCCGTGGCCGCTCTATGCGGTGGACTGGTGCAAATGGCCCGTTTCGGGGAATTCCGGATCGTTTGGGGGCAAGATCGCCCTGGGCAGTTATTGCGAGGACAACCACAACTATGTACTGACCGCTCCGACGAATACCCCACGGTCCATGCGCTAACGTGCCCTAGATCCAAATCGTCGACACACACTGGACCCAACCGGACCCAGATACGCCCGATGCGGCTGCAGGGGAGATTAAGCTGGACTACGTCAAAACTGCAGAGGCCACCCATTCATACCCGGTCACGCGGATCCTCTGGGAGCCTCCGTCGTCGCAGAAGCAGTCGACCGATCTGCTGGCGACTTCCGGCGACCACCTCCGGCTGTGGTCGCTACCGGCCGCGCAACCGGTCCATTCGAACTCCATCACCCGCCCGTCCAGCCAGCGGGATAGCCCGTCCTCCAAACTGTCCCCGCTCGCGCTGTTGTCGAACTCGAAATCGCCGGAACACACGGCGCCGATCACCTCGCTCGATTGGAACACGATCTCCCCGAGTCTGATCATCACCTCCAGCATCGATACGACCTGCACCATCTGGGATATCCCGACCCTGACCGCCAAGACCCAACTGATCGCGCACGACAAGGAGGTATACGATGTCCGGTTCTGCGCCAATAGCGTCGATGTCTTCGTCAGCTGCGGTGCCGACGGCAGTGTCCGCATGTTCGATCTGCGCAGCCTGGAGCACAGCACGATTATCTATGAGCCAACGGACAAGAACGAAAAACGTACTGCCTGTCTTCCCTGTTTCATCTTCCCTCTTCTCGTTGACTAACCTGGATCTATTTCTAGTGGTCAGCCCTCCGGCCAACGGCAGTCCCTCCGCCCCGTCCAGCTCGTGGCCGCCGCCGCTTTTGCGCATCGCGGGTAAGTCTCGACATCCGAAGAAGCACAGATCTAGTCGTAGTCCAGGCTAATAGTATTCTCCCATTAGCATCGCCACACGACGCGCACCTTCTCGCCACTTTCTCGCAGGACTCGAGCCTCGTCCGAGTCCTCGACGTGCGCCAACCGGGCCAAGCCCTCCTCGAGCTCAAGGGCCACGGCTCGTCAGTCAACTGCGTCGAATGGTCACCCAACCGCCGGGGCCTCCTCGCCTCCGGCGCCGACGACAGCTTCGTCCTACTGTGGGATCTCATGAACCCGCAAAACTCGGTCCCCGTGCCCCCGGTGGTCCAGAACCCCGCGACCCCCGCGACGACCTCCGAGCGCGGGCCCTCGGCCGCCTGGCAATGCGACTACGAAGTGTCCAACATCAGCTGGTCTCCGCAGGGCGGGACCACCAGTGGGGGGCACCCGCGCGATTGGTTAGGGGTGTGTGGTGGACGGGGCATCTGGGGGGTTTCAATTTAGAGGGATCATCCTAAATTTCGATATCCTTTTCTATTCCTTCTCTTTTTTATTTCTTCCCGCATTCTGATCGCCTGAAGTTATTTACCCCATATGTTTCATCTTCTCTTTTTATTTTTTATTTTTTTTTCCTTTTTCTATATTGGCTATTGCTGATCGGTCTCCCCCGTCTCTGCACTTTCCTTTTCTTTTCAATTACTACTGCACCAACAAGGGAGATGACAACACAAAAAAAGCAAACGAAAGACGAAATCGGCATCCCATCTTGTAAAGCGCTTTTTTTTTTTTGTTCGATTTTGATATGGGATGGTGGATGGGTGGATGGATGGAATGGCATGAGACGAATGAATGATTGAACGAACAAGCAAAGATTCAACCAACCCAACCAACCACTGCGTGTGTGTGTTCTTCTTAGATCAGTAACTAACTTGGACTGGATGATGGATGATGGATGGATGGCATATTACTTACTATACTCTATACTCTATACTACTACACTATACTACATTATACTACAGTTAGTACAACTACGAATTGACTAGAAACAGAAAGAGAGATAAACAAATCAAATAACAATACGACTCGATAATGTCCAGGTTGTTCTCGAGGAATCCAAGACCGCAAACTACTCCAGGTAGATGGTGTATACAACTATAAAAAACAAAAGAATAAAAGAGAAGAACAAGGAAAAGAAAGCGCTGTACAAGAATCCATCGGTATCCAAATCCGATTCTAACACCCCAACATCCCTATCATCCCCAACGGGAACAAATACAAGATGAAGACTGACTGACTGTGGACCTAGCACCGGGAAAGGCCAAAGCTATGAAGAAGGCGGGAGAGATAGGAGAGGGGGACAGTTGATCGTACCCGCTAGAGGCCAGCTAGAGGTTTTTTGGAGTCCGCGATAGGGTGATAAGATTATAAAAAGAGGGTGAGAAAGGTTGAGAAGACTGATTAAACTGATCGGTTGGGGTTGGGATTAGGGGGCGGCGGGGCTGGACCCTTGATCATGACTTGGCTCTCGACCCAGCGCGCAAATTTGACGCTCGGAATGTCAACGGCGCGCCAGAAGATATCAGCCGCCCAGATGGAAATGGGGAGGCAGATGCTCCAGCCGATGAGGAAGCCCAGGCAGTACTGAAAATTGGTCTCCTTGCCCGTGAGGCTCCAGATGTTGGGCATGAGGGAGTAGCCCAGCGAGTGGAGGATGGGTCCGTGGACGATGTAAAAGGCAAAGGAGATCTTGCCGAGGTACTGCGAGAGTCCGTTGGTGAACAGCTTCTGGATCTCCCTGGAGTGGTTGATGCTGCAGACGATGAGCACGGCCCCGATGGTCTGGGGAAACCGGTGGGGCTCGGGGTAGGTCTCCGGGATGACCTGGTAGGTCCACATGTAGAAGGGGGTCCAGCGGCAGCCGGTGTTGGGGGTGGAGCCCAGGTAGAGGCCGACGAGGAACAGACCGATCCAGAGCTTGCGGCTGGCGAGGTAGCGGGCGAGCTGCTGGAGGGAGCGGGGGAGCGCGACACCGTCGTCGGGGTCGGAGCCGTCGGCCGGGCGGGGCGGACGCTCCCAGGTGCCGTGGATCAGGTCGGCCTCGGCCAGGAGCATGCCGCTCAGGAAGAGCACGACGTCCCAGCGACCCCAGCGCATGCAGAACCAGATCAGGCCGCTGACGAGCGACAGGCGGACGACGGTCTTGGTGCGGGAGGTGGCCAGGATGGTGAGGAAGAGCACGATGGAGCAGCGGAACTCGACGGGGATGGTCCAGAGGTGCGGGTTGTAGTAGTTGTAGTAGAGGGCCCAGTTCCAGGGGTTCATGAGGTTCATGATCGTCAGGTGCCAGTCCCAGTACTGGTCGTAGAGGAGCTCCATCAGCTCCGGGTGTTGTTCGTTGGTGCCCTGGATGGTGTGACCCTCCTTGATGACGCCAAAGGAGTAGTTGTAGAAGCCCATGCGCACGGCGATGAAGACGGTCGCCAAGCCGACAATGGCGGGGACGTAGAGGCGCAGGCCGCGGCGGAAGGTGGAGGAGGCCAGGGTGAGGAAGGTCTGATCGAACATGCGACTGCGGATGGTCTTGATGGGTTTGTAGGAGAGGACGTAGCCGGAGATGACGAAGAAGATGGCGACCATGATATGGCCCGAGACGACCATATGGAAGATGGGCAGCTGCCAGAGACTGTAGTTTTCGCCGTTGAACCCCCAGCCGACGGCGACCTTCCAGGTGTAGGTGAAGAGGAAGTGGAAGTTGAAGACCAAGAGACAGGCCCAGCCGCGCAGACCGTCCAGGGCGGCGATGGCATGGAGGCGGCCAGCCTCGGGGGGTTCGCCGCCCACCAAATGTTGCCAAAAACTCGGGGTGAGGGCGACCAGGAAGTTGGTGAAGGCGCGATCGATGTGCGTCTGCCAATCGTCGAAGAAGTCGTCCAGCTTCTCGGAGACGCCCGGGGAATGGCTCCGGGCGGAGCGGGAGCGGGAGTAGTAGTATGGGGAATCCTGATCCCGGGGGGCCTCGATGTCGTGAAGAGGGATGTCTTGGATGGGTGGTGAGGCCCGAGAGCCTTGGTGAGGAAGCGCCATGGTGAACGATGGGCGCAGACTTTACCTGCGAGGCAGTCGGAGAGAGGGGAGAGAAGGGGGAGAGGAGGAGAGGAGGAGGAGGAACGGGAGTCGGTGGAGCGGGCGAGTCGGTGGTTGTCGGTCCCGAGTGGTGGTTGAGTCGATTGCGTAAGATGAGGATTACCCACCGCAACCGGCAAGACCGATGAGAGTTGGGGGGCTTGATGGAACGTAAATTCGGTGGATCGAAGGGAATCTTTTTTTTGGGGGGGGGGAGGTAGAGTAGTAGATGGTTCAACAAGGGGATGGACACGGCGGGGAGATCATGCTGGTCGGTTCATTCGAGACTGATTGATACCACATTGATGGTACCTGCGAGAGGTAGTTTGAGGTGTATACTGAGATGGATACTATCTCGCGAGAATGGGGGTGGAGAGAGAGAACAGAACGAGAGAAGAGAGTAGGAGAGGAGGAGAGAAGGAGAGAAGGAAGAAGAGAAGAGAGAGAAAGGACAAGTGGTGAGTTGTTAGTCTGATCCTGCCAGGATTGATCAGACCGATGGCAATGCTAGACAGAGATCAGATGATATATAATCATCAATGATCAATGATCAATACTAGAAAAGAAGATCTCTTGAACAAAAGAAGATGAAGTTATTGGGATTTCTGGATATCACAGGAACGCGCCTGGTGCCTGAGGTCCATGCTGACTAAGCCACATTCAAGGTGAGGATATTCAGAAGCCCAGATATAACAGATCAAATCATAGGTCGGTGTTGCTATAGATAAGATAGATTGTAGAATAGAGGAGAACAGTCTCATATACCTCTCCGATCGTCGCCCATATCAAAAGGGTGGAAATCCCTACTTTGCATGATTCGGCTTCCCGACCCAAATCGCCAACTGATTCTCCGGCTTTTCTTTCTTCTCTTTTTTTCTTTCTCTTCGTCCTTCTTTCCCTCTCCTCTCCATCCATCGCTCTCATACTCCAATACCTTCATCTTTCTTCCTCTTCATCCCCCTCTTCCTCTCTTCTCCTTACTCTTCTCTACTCCCCATCGATTCCACGTCGAACTCTTCCTCGGTGTTGTGGAAGGGGGTGTGCCCGCAACACCGACAAACCTCATCCCGATCCACTCCTGCCGTCACTACCACCTCCACCTCCTCCCCCAGTCTACTTCCTCTCCCTAATAGCCTGGCGCCTTGGTCATCATGGATTTGCGCACCATCATGAATAGCGATGCCGCCGGCACCGCCAATTCGCAACCCCAGAAATCCCCCTCGTCGCAACCACCGCCCGATCCGAACAGCTATCCTCCCCGCGAACACCATCCGGCGGCGCCCTCGCCTACCTATCCATCGGCCTATCCCACGCAACCACCACCGCTGCAACGGACACAGACGGCTCCCGAACGCTCCTCCTCCTACGGTTCCCTCCAATCGCCCTACCAATATCAATCCCCCACCGCCGTCGCCCCCGGCGCGCAATCCCAGCGCGGTCCCAGTCCGCCGCCGCCCCCTTTTGCCTCCTCGGGGCGTGACGTGTATGCCTCCCCATCCATCACCTACGCTCATCCCCAGCACTATCCCCCACCGGCTCCGCAGCAGCAGCAGCAGCAGCAGCAGCAGCGGTCGCACTCCATCCAGTCGGTGATGATCCCCCATTCCCCGACCACCCACTCATACCCTCCCAGAGACAGCCCGTCCGCAACCACCGCCTATCCGTCGCAACCCTTCTCCTCCTCCCAGAGATCTTTGCCAGGAACCCCGCGAGGGTCGGCGGCGCCTCTCTATTCCCGTCAGACCCCGCCCTCCGCGCGACCGCAGTCCTCCGGGTATGATTCGCGCTCAAACCCATCGTCAAGCCCGTGGGTAGGCTCCGAGGCGCAGCCCAACCACTCCCCAGTCGCCATGTCGCGCGCGTCGCGAGCCGATTCCGGGCCCATGGACTATACCACACGACCGTATTCGGCCAGCAGTGAGCGACGGGGGTCGGACGAGAGCGTGAGTCCCAAGACCGCCTATCCGCCTGGCTCCGGCTCCGGCTCCCGGCAAGGAAGCGCGGCCGCCCCCCAGCGCAGTCCCGTCGAAAATGGCGCCCCGAGGCATGAGAACGGACCATATGGGCCCCCGTCGTCGCGCGGGTCCCTCGTCCCGGAAGGCCCCCCAGTCGTCGAACCTCCCCCCGCGATGCCGCCGAAGCAGGGCCCCGAGTCCACCGTCCAGACCACCGCCCCCCGGCCGCCCAAGCGCAAGCGGAGACGATTCGACGATCCCCCCATCTTCGCGCGACGTGCCGTCCGCACCAAAGGTCGGTGCCCGATCATCCCCAACCCGCTCCCCCCCGTCCCCAAACATGCGCGCGACTCCCCCCAAAACCCCTGGCTCGTGCGCGAGCGGGCTCTGTCCGTCCCGGATCCGATGGCGACGGCGACCCCGTCCCCGGCGAGGACCAAAGCCACCCCCACTGCTCCCACCGCCCCCGCCGTTCCTGCTGTCCCCGCTGTCCCCGCCGTCCCCTCCCCGGTTGACGGGCCACCCGCGGCGTCGCGACCCCCCGACCCAACTCCGGCTCCGACTGCGGCTCCGACTGCGGCTTCGGCTCCGGCTCCGCCTGGCAGTCTGGGCCCGTGGGAGCCCTCCATCACGGGCTACATCCCGTACGAAGAGGTCACCAAGACCGTCTGTGACTTCCTCTTCCGTCATGTGGTGTTACGGAACGATGCCGTGGCGGCCCCCGCCGGCAGCGCCGCCGTGGGTCAAGGCGCCATAATCGAAGTGGAAGCCAAGCTGGGACAGTTGATCGACATGGACCGCCGGGACCGTCTGCAACTGCCGCTTCTGAGCGAGAGCGTTCTCCACAAGGAGGGTTCTCGGTTCCGGACCTCATTCGAGAGTACCATGACAGTGGTAAGTTACCCTCATCCAATATCCCCTCCCCCCCGATAGCGGCTAACCGTCCAGGCCCAACACCGCGCGATGAACAACTTCCTCAACGAAGCAGTCAAGGCATCTATGCCACACGTGAACCCCGGCCGAATCCCGCTCTCCTACGCACACAAGAAAGAGCGCGACATCTTCTACGAGGTCTCCCCCAGCGAGCTCCCGCCCGTCATCCGCCAGAATCTCAATCCGCGACACAAACCCAAGGTGCGCGTGACGGTCGACCAACGCACCGGCGAGATCCTCGCCAAGATCGTCAAGTGCCGCGTCGCCGACTTGGACGTCTACAGTCCCTCGACCTGCGTCGACTGGCGCCTCAGCGTCAACCTGGAGATCAACTACGAGGGAGACGTCAGCCATCTACCCGTGGTGGAAACGACGCACGGCCGGGGCGGCGAGCGCAACAAGGACCGGATGAGTTACCGGCACTTGGCGTACCAGGTCGATCTGACCCAGGTTGCCAAATCAGAGGTATGCCCATCGCCCATCGGCCCCTATGCTTGTTTGGCGTTGGGAATCAGTAGCTAACGTAACTTCCGTAATGTTCAGCCGTCAGCCAAGGGCGAGTTTGAGCACGAGCTAGAAGTCGAAATCTCCGCCGCGGAAATCCGTCGACAGGGACAACTCGCTATGGCGGGCGATCCAAAGAACCAATACGAAGATTTGGTTAAAGGGTTTGTGGATAACATAAGGGTATTGGCGCGTGCGGTTCCTCCATGAGGATTATCCATCTTTTTGATCTCTTTCTTATATTTCTATCTTTTTTATTATCAAAGTTATGCATTCACGGGATTCTTGATCATTGACGTTTGAATAATACCGGTCTTTCCTTTTGTCTTTTCTTCTTATCTTTCTGACTTCTTTTCTTTCTGTTTCTTCAACTTCTTTCAACACCTCGTGCGATCTCCTCTATCTATCTATCTCACCTCATTTCTCTTGATCTACATATTTCCATCTCTATCTCCGATTTCTCTGGTTCAGCCTTGTTTTTCTTCTCTTCTCTTTGACTATTAATTGATTGATTGATTGATTGATTCATATACGATAGAACGGCACTGCAATGGGACAAAATGTGTCAAAAGGGACGAAAAAAGGGGACAAAAAAAGCAAACAGTTACTTTATATTCTACATACCTAGTATACTATGCCTTTCAACGTGTGATTTTGAATCCAAAAAAAAAAAAAAGGAACAAAATAGGACAGGACATGTATCAAGCTTTTTCTATCTTTGTCTTCCTTCTTTCTCCCTTCTCGAATGGCTTTATTAGTATAATGTTACCTGTCTTATTTACCCACTACTGCCTTCTACATATACATGCATGCTATATGCATGTATGTATGTATGAATGGCCATTAATTGCTGAAGAGAGAAGAGGCGACAAGATAAGACCAGAATCATATTGTACCCATGTAACAAGTCGACCCTAGTCAATCCATCCATCCGTCCATCCTACTGAACCAATCTTACTAAATGAATCAAAATAGAATAAAGTAGTAAAATAATAATTCAACCAGATGAAATACATATAATACGATATGCTATAATAGAAAAATGGAATACAAAAGTGGCAGGCAAAGGCAAAAGGGAAGAAAAGCATATCCCATCCCATATTCCATGATTTGAATCTGCCCTGGACAGCGCTACCCCGCCCCTTGCCCCCCACCCCGGGGTCATGCTACATACACTGAATAATGTAAGTATGTGTTCAAGGACTCGGCGTCCCCTCGTCATATCGCGGTCCTGCGTCGCCGTCATCGCCGTATGAACCCGCTCCTGGAGTGGCGGCTGCGCCGCCCATTGCTGGCGTCGGCGCGTCGTAAGGGCGACTGCTGCCGCTGTCCCATGCGGCCGGGGTAGGTGCGTCGTATGGGCGTTTGGGCGGGCCGCCCGGTGTCGGGGCGTTGAACGCGCCTGGTGTTGGAGCGCTCTCGGGCCAGGCGCCTGGGGTGGGTGCTGATGCGCCCGGGGTTGGTGCGCTACCGTATGCGCCGGGCGTCGGTGCCGAGTAGGCGGCCCCTGGTGTCGGTGCGTCGAAGCCCCGAGAGTCCTTGGAGCCGTTGCTGGTTGATCCGCCCATTGTCCAGGCGGGCGTGCGATTGCCTGTGCCACCGCCGCCCCAGGCCGGGGTCCGGGACCCTGATGCGAAGGCGTCAAAACCTGCGTCGCCGGAGCTGCCGCCGCCGCCGCCGTACGGTGTGCGAGCACCGGCGTTCCAGGCGGGCGTGCGCGAACCCATCCCGCCACCACCACCACCATAGGCCGTGCGCCCCCCATCCATTTTCCACGCGGGGGTCCGGGAACTGTTACCCATACCTGCCCAGGCGGGTGCTAGCAAATTCGTTAGCTTCGTCGTTAACGGGTATTGATGAGAGACTTACTTCTCGCTGAAGAGGCGCCGCCCCAGGCTGGGGTCCTCGAAGAATCAGCAGCCGCCATCGGCGTACGTCCACCTTGCCAGGCGGACGGAGGGGCCGCTGAACCGCCTCCGTAGGGCACGCGTGGCCCACCTCTCCCGCGCCCCATGTCGATCGTCTGGCCAGTGACAGGGTCCTTGACGACGAGAAGCTCCTTGTCTATCGTCACCAGCTTGTTCTTGGTATGGAGTTCCACCCGGGCCTGCGTATCGCTCGAGTCTTTGACAATGCCCACAAGACCCTTGAACGGACCCTTGCGGACCATGACGGTCTTTCCGACCATTCGGTCACGCCCAAAGGACCGCGGAGGGCCCATCCCACCGGCACCACCAGGCATACCTTTGCCCATCAAGGATGGGTTCAATTTGCTGAGGTCCGGTCCGCTGGACCGTCCGCCCTTGGCCGATACGGTCACGACGTTGGTCGTGCGCACGACGACTATACCGGAGTTTTCCGCCTGGGCCTTGTTGTGGAGGAACAGGAACGACCGGTAGATATGAAGTATCACGCCGTTGCGCTGCTCTCCGTAGACCTCGCGGACGGTGTCCCCATGGCGAATCTCCGCCCCGTTACGATCCGTCGCGACGGCGTCCTTCCGGGGAGTGACCTTGTTCGTGACCTGCGTGGGGAGGATCGTGCGGATCGAGCCGTTCTGGTCCAAGACCCGCAAGGACTCACGGTCAACCTTGACGACACAGGCAACGGTCGCGGCATCCAGTTGCACCAGATCGTGCACGTCGAACATGCCAAGTTTCCCGTCGACACCAGTCTCGGTGGACAACCGAAGATCCTTGCTGAAGACGGTGATCTCTTGCATGCTCATATCGCTGAGGAGCGTCACGGTGTCGTCCTTGACCTGGACCACCATGCCGAGCTCGTCCTGGTACCGGCTGCCGCCGATGACCTTGACATGGTCACCCTCCCGGAAACGCTTGCGGAGCGTCTTGACGGGTGCTTCGATCGTCTGGCCGATAAGGTCGCCTTCGGTCACCAGCAGAGTGACGATGTCGCCGCGGGTAGAGCTAGTCCGACCGATGAGGCCTTGCTGCTCGCCGCGATACACCTCGACCGGGTCTCCCGGCAGGTAGGAGTCTTCGGCGGTGGAGTGCTTCAGCGTGTCGGCGAGCGACGCGAGATCCAGGTTGGCAGTTCCGTCTTCGGCCCCCCGAGCGAACATGGTAACTTCCTCCAGCCGAGGGTTGACGTTCTTCGTGATCAGGTGCTGAACCTTCATGTCCTTGATCAGGAAGCCGTCCATGTAGGTCTCGCCGAGGTAGCTCCACGACTTGCCACCCAGACCAGAAGTGGCAGACAAGTACTTGCCATGCTTCTTCTTAGCCTCTGCCTCGCTGAACAGACGCTGGGGCGGACGCGCAGCGGCGGGGTTCATCCCGGGGCGCTTCCTCTTGGGATCGGACACGGGGGCGCCCGAATCCTCGTTCAGACCGTAGTCCAGTCGGGGGACCAAGCGCACGGTGACCGCCAGGCCATTTGTCTCGACCTCCTCGATCTGGGCCAGGTCGTTCTGGTATTTCCCGCGCTTGATGCGCACCCAGCCGCCAGGCAGGAGCTCTTCGGATTTCTGGACCCGGAGGAGATCCGGCATCTCCCTCACCGGAACCAAGATGACCTTCGACCGGGGGTAGACGTTGGTCATATCCTGCAGTCCTTCCAAGACATCCGCTTGCCGGCGTGCCTCGACGTAGATGTAGCCGCTCATAGCACCTCCTCGTTCGAAAGCCGATATGATCTTCATGGGGTTGCGCGACCCCGGAGGGCGCTCTTCGATGCGCTTCTGGATGGAGAAAATTACCTCCCGCTCCTTGCCAGCCTTGCAGCGAACACCCCAAATACTCGGGTCTTCGACACTCGGGAGAAGCAGTCGCTTCGGCACAACGACGGCATCCGTGGCCGCCGCGCGGTTTCGTCCATATCGCTCCTTAAGCAGCTGTGCTTGCTTTTCGGCGTCCAAACTCGCCTCCAATTCACGCTCGCGATCCAGCTGTCGGTGTCGACGGTCGTCCGTTTCGGCCCCGACGGGGAGGGCGTCCAGATCGTCGGGGTGCATCTCTCCGCCGAATTCGGCCAATTCGTCCTCCTCATCCTCGGCTTCGTCCTCGTCCTCATCGACACCGGCTTCCTCTTCGAAGAAGGAGTGCACACCTCCCCTCCTTCTGCGCTTCCGGGGGCGGCCCTATCGAATGACAAAATAGTCAGCACTGCTCACCATATCAAACGAAGGAGGACAACTCACCGAAACAGCATCCTCATCATCATCATCATCCTCTTCCTCCTCCTCCTCTTCATCCTCCCCTTCCTCCCCTTCACCCTCACCCTCCTCCTCATCATTCTCCCCATCCTCATCACGGTTATCGTCCCCATGATCAGGCTTCACATCGTGGTCACTACTCCGTGGGTGGGCAGATCGATCGGCCTTGACGCTCTCGTCATCATCGTCGTCATCCTGGTCGTGGCTCACACGCGGCTGATTCACCCTTTATGTCAGCGCGATTCGTTCACTCCCCCCCAGCTACCACCTGCGAGCAAGACAAACAAACCTTCACGTCCTCTTCATTCCCCGACTCTTCCGCCGGAGCGGGGTTAAAGTCATCATCTTCATCTTCAGACCCGAAGTCATGATCCAGTAGATTGCGGGACATGGTGTCCTCTTCGTATGTGTAGTCCGAGTGCACCAGCTCGTTCCGGCGTCAGGATAAGGAAGGCGTTCCTTTCTCTCGCCGGGACGGAGGACGAGACGAAAAGGAAAAGGTAAAAAAAGTAAAAACCCCAGAGCCCAGTGCAAAGAAAAAAAGAGAAAGAAAAAACCAATCCAGTCAGTAGCGAGTATCTGACTGGCGTGTTCAAAGGTTGAAATGTCGAGGAGAGGAAGGAAAGGCGGCGCTGGCTCTCCGATCGGGTTCGCGGCGGCTTTCGCGACCGTCGTCACGTGTGGCGAATACTACCAGTGTAGTAAATGGCCCCAACACCAAGGGATTCTTGTGCTATTGTGTATGAGGGAATAATTAGAGAAGAAATAAGTAGTCGTTGATATGGGAAATATAGAAAAAGAAAGACAGAAGGCGTAAGCTGAGAATAAAGAAGACAGTCCGCGCGCTTGGTCGGACTGCGTGGCTGGATTGAGTCTTCCATGTCTTGTTCCGTTGAAATTTACCTAGTCTATCTATTCTAACAATCAACAGAACCATATCATGATATCACCTCTGCTTTATATCTACATGTAGTTGAATAGTTGGAAATATACGTGATAGTTCCCATTCAAAAATATCACACTATGTCTTTAGTTCTATAATACATGAATTGAATTTGACCGATGGTCATATAGAGATGCACAGCATAGAGATCATATCCAAAAAAAAAAAAAAAAGAACAAGATGTATAAACCCAAACACGCAAACAAATCAAAGGGGAATCGAATCTACAACTTCATACCAAACATCTGGTGCACCCGCAAGCTCTGACGCATGCTCAGATCCAACATAATCTCCTCACTCCCACCGGGAATAGCATAGGCACGCACATCCCGGTAAAGACGCTCGATCTTGCCGCCCTGCCCACCACGGCTGTAGCTGAGGCCGCCAAAGATCTGGGACGCCTCGCGGGCGCAGAACTCGAAAGTGCGGGTGCTCTGGGCCTTGAGGCCGGCGATGGCGCCGCCCAGCTTGAGCATCGCCTCTGTCTCGTCCATGGACTGGCACTGGTAGATGATGTTCTCGAGCCAGTTGTAGGTGGCTTCGATCTGGCGCGCCATTTCGGCGAGCTTCATCCGGATGACGGGGTGGTCGACCAGCTTCTTGCCGAAGGTGCGGCGCTTGTGGCCGTATTTCATGGACTCTTCATAGCAGACGCGGGAGAAGCGGACGCACTGGATGATGATGCCGATGCGTTCGTGGTTGAAGTTGGTCATGATCACTAGACAATAGACAGTTAGCCGTTGGTCTCAAAACGGGAAGGAAAAAAAAGACGAGGAAAACACACCCTTGAAGCCCTGGTTCTCCTTGCCGATCAGGTTCTCAACAGGCACCTTGACGTCCTCGAAAGTCACGTAGGTGGTACCGCTGCTCCACACACCCTGGCAGTCCATCTTGCGGGTGCTGACGCCGCCGGCCTCGCGCTCGATGAGCAGCACGCTGATACCGTTCATGCCGGGCTTGCCGGTACGGACAGCGACGGTGAAGTAGTCGGCCCAGATACCGTTGGTGATCCACTTCTTCTCGCCGTTGACGATGTAGTGCTTGCCGTCCTCGGACAGCTTAGCCTCGCAGTTGAGGCTGGCGACGTCAGAGCCTCCATCGGGCTCGGTGATGGCCAGACAGATGCGCTTCTCGCCGGCCAGGATGCCGGGCAGGATGCGGTCGACGAGGGGCTTCTTGCCGAACTTGACCAGCGGCGGGCAGCCGATGCCGTAGCCGCCGACCAGGTTCCACACGAGACCGCCGCTGCCGGCGCGGGACAGCTCGTCGGTCAGGAGCATCTCGTGGAAGAGATCCCAGTTCTCGGGGGCCACGGACTGCACGCGGTGGGGGGTGTGGTCGACGGGGAACTTGCCGCCCAGGAGACCGGCGAGGTAACCGCGCTCTCCCATCTGCTTGTAGATGTGGGCGGGCACCGTCTTGCTCTCGTCCCACTCGGTGACGTACGGCTCGATCTCGGTCTCAACCCATTGGCGGACCTCGGCGCGGAGGGCGGCGTGGGTCTGGTTGAAGTAGGGGGAGTGGTACTGCACTATGTTAACACCATCCACACCCTCATGGAACCAAGGTCCATTGGCAGAGAACAAGAAATACATACACCCTGGTACCAGGCGGGATCGGCAAAGGGAATGAGATCACCAAACGGCTCGAGAGCCTCGTCGGACTTGGCGGCCTTGACGTCGACGGGGGCGGCAGCCTGAGGCTGCGGGGCCTCGGACTTGGCCGGGGCAGCGGCGGGCTCAGCGGCCTGCTTGGTGTCGAGAGAACCGATCTGCAGCTTGCCCTTGTACTTCTTCAGGATCCCCTCATTGTGGTACTTCCAGAACTGCTTCGAGGCGTCCTTTCCAGCGACACGGTTGAGGACTGTGATATAGGTATTAGTTGGGGGTCTCGCGAGGTCGCGGTATTATTGGGGTCATACTCTTCTTTCCACCTATACGCAAACTTGGTTAGGACTGTCGCATCATTGCATTCTTTTTTTAGGAGGACTTACCAGGGTGCTCATCCTGGAACTTGGTCAGATCATAGACATCCTCGTCGATGATGACCCAGAGGTTATCGGGCTTGCTATGCGACGCGACGTCGTCCTTGGAGAAGGTCTTGGACATAGTGGTAGAGAAAAAGGTCGCTCAAGGGGGTATCTATATAGGTAGGGAGTAACACGAAGGAGTGAGAAATCCGGAGACAAGCAATCCGGGGTAGGACAGGTTTTTAAATCAGAGAAATATAATAAAAATAAAAGCCAAAAAAATAAATAAGAAAGCCCGGGGAAGAAGAATGGAGGAGAGGAAAAGCGATATATACGGTACGCTCGGGGGTTCGCACGGGTAATCCGTCACCACTGGGGAAAAAAAAAAAAAAGCCTAGGCAAGTAAGCTTTCAAATCCAACTCTCCATATCCAATTTCCAGATGACAAGCGTAAGGGATTCAGATCCAATGACAAGACCGGATCAGAGAAGATGGAACCAGAGCTCGTCGGTCCCAAGGCCCAAAACATCGACTTTTCACATGTTCTCAACAAAACGGACACAATGTGCACATACCAAGAAGCTGACTCAGCTAGCTCCGTCCAATCAGCGCTGCACCTCGGTTGCTTGGTCAGCCAGTTTAAAGCTGCTGATTGGTGGACTGCTTTCACTGCGTCATTCCAGGTCATGTGGAGCAGCTAACCGCATTTAGTAACTGCCGAGGCAGGCTGCAGAATGAGGCATATGGACTCTCCTTACCTGCAGTGACATAGTAGGGAACGGACAGAAAGATCTCTATCAACCAGTACGGAGTATACTCCATGTGATTGTACACGAACCGAATGATTGAATTGAAACCCCCTGATCAGTGGATTGCATTATCATCACCATCCCCCTGATTTGTTCTCCCTCAGGGCCCTCCCTCACGCCATGAATCCACCCCGTAATCCACATCCCACTATCCACCTCCACTATCCAAACTCCCACGATATACTTAGTTAGTTCCTCTTTCCCCGACTTCCGTGCATGAGGGGAAAAGAATTGGGGTATTTAGATCAGAAATCTCTCCTTCGAGTCTAGTTCGGTCTATATGAGAGGGGGCAGGATGATATCAACCGGTCGTCTATCTGGCTTGTCATCTGGTCGATCGCATCACCTGCCCACTGTGGCTAGTTCTGGATCGGTAGGTCGTATTCGCCCTGGGCTAGGTGCTGCATACCTAGGTACTATCCTGGGACACCCCTCCAATTTGAATTCAAAACATAATCCAAGAGTATGATCGATGAATACAAGATGATATATCTTGAATAATAAAGAAAAGGGGAAAAGTGCAACACATGACAATCCATATTATTCTAGTAATACACTGCCTCCCATTTATTCGTCCTCCGTCTCCGTCTCGTACTCAAACTCCTCCGGCACTGGCGCCGGTTCGTCGCCCTCTTCATCCTCATCCACCGCCGTCAGCACCCCGGCTGCCGCCGCCGCGCCCGCCGACGCGTCGCGCCCCGAGTCCCGCTGCGGCGTCTGCATTGCCGCAGCCCCGATGGCCGCCTGCAGGCGGTCCTGCAGTCGGTCCTGCAGCGTCTCCGGGGTGGCCGCAGGCTGCTTGGCCTCCTTGCTGGCCTTCATTTCGATCGTCTCGCGGGGCTCCTCGGGGTTCTTGTCAAGAACCACCACGACTCCACCCGTCGGCTAGAAAGAAAATATTGTTAGCTCAGAAAACAATGGTAAGACTGAAAAGTAAGTGGGGGGGGACTACATACCCGCTTGACTGGCTCGTATCGTGGATCCGGGAAGGTGAGATACTTGAGCTGCGCGGGAAGCACCCGGGACATGTTCTCCAGCTCGTACCCCACCTTCTCCCGCTCCATCTTCTTCTTCTGGCCCTCCGCCGCCTCCTTCTCCGCCTCCTTGGCCTCGTCCTCCTCCTTGACCGCGCTCTCCTCGGTGTCCATGCGCTCCGCCAGCTGATCCGACACCTTCGGGGTCGTGGGCGTCTGGTCAACGTCCATGCTTTCCCGTCGCTGTTGCTTCTCCCGGCGCTGCGCCCGACGCTTGGCCTGTGCCGTCGTCGACAGCACGGCCGTCTTGACCTTCTCCGGCGCCTCCTCCGTCTTCACCTGCTGCTCCGGCGGGTAGTCGAAGAGGCTCTGTCGCGTGTTGCAGTGGAACTTGAAGAAGGGCACCTCCAGCTTCTGGTCCACCCCGATCACCGACGTCGGCGCGAAACTGAGCGACAGGAAGTGCGTGAGCGGGAACCAGTACCAGTACTGCACGAAGACGGCGGCGCCGACGATACCGGGCATGTTAAGGTTGCCCGTCTGGGTCTGCAGGCTGATGGTGCAATTCCGGCCACCGGCGTCGATGATGCCCAGGGCGACGGCACAGCCGAACTTGGCCATGGCGTCCTCGTGGCGGTCGCCCAGCATCTTCATCATGGTCTTGCGGAGGGAGGTGACCCGCGGGTTCATGGCCTCGTTCTGCTGGACCAAGACCATGGCCAGCGAGATCAGGGCGCCCTGTCGCACAAAGTCCGTAGAGTCCTTGAGCATCGGCTCCAGCAGGTCGATCGCCTCATCCAGCCCCGTGCCCGCACACGAGATACCGAGGGCCATGGCGGCGCCGTATCGGACGTGCGGGTTGTAGGACTCGGAGAGCAGTTCGACCATCCGAGGCACGCTCTGGTGCTTGCGGAACAAAATAAAGCCCAAGCTGAGCACGGCCACCCGGCGGACGTCGTCGTTCACGTCGCTGACGGCCACGTGCAGCAGTCGGCGGACGGCCTTGTTGTTACTGCTGCCGCAGTAGGCCAGAGCGATCGTCATGATACCACCGTAGCGAAGGGTCGGATCGGGATCACCAAGGAGGCCGTTGATCAGCTCATCGGCCGCCTCCTGGCGGCCGTACATGATCAACGCCATACCCATGGCCAGACCACGGACGATCTTCTCGTGCTGCGTGTCGTGGGCGTACTGGATCATGTCCTCCAGGGCCTTCATGTTCCCGGTGCCCAGCATGACCAGACCCATCGCGAGACCGACCGCCTCACCGTTGAGCGCCGAATCCGTATACAGAACGCTGCGTAGATCCTCGTAGATGCCCTCGTCGTCCGTGGCCATACCGGCCACACCGAGGCCCAGGGCACCACCGTGTTGCACCACCTCTTCCGTAGCCTTCTTGAAGTGGTCACGGATGAGGTCGACGGCCATGCCGCCGTGGTTGGCGTAGATCAGGCCAAACGCGTACAGCGAACCACCCTGGCTGTAGACGGAGCCCGAGCCGCCCACGCCCGCGATGTGCTCTCTGGGCAGGTATGGCTGCAGGAGCTTCTGGCCCTGGCTCAGGTTGCCCCGGTGGATGACACCGAGCGCGGCAGTCGCGGTGAACTTGGACCAGTTGACAGCCTTGCCCAACCACTCCAGGTTGTCCCGGAAGAACTTGTCGTGCGTCGTGCCGGCATGCATAAAGGCATTGGAGAGCGTCACGGCGGTATGGAAGATGGAATTCCGGGCTTCTAAGCTATCCCGAACCTTGTTCAAGATGCTGATGTCGGCCTTGTTGTTTCGGTAGAGGAATTCCAGGTTCAGCTGGATCGACTTGAGACCATCGAGGATGTCGAGAATGTTCTTGAACGCGGTACGCGCTTCAGGCAACACCTTCGCATCGTCGTTGGCCCCAATAGACTGAGATTGGTCGTCCAGCAGCCGATCGGACTCCTTGGGCTCTTCCGCATCGGCCTGTCCCTCCGTATCCTTCTCCGGCTCGTCGGGGACGAGCTCGGCCATCTCTTGACGGACCTTCTGCAGGAACTCCTGTGTGCTGTTGTCGTACAGATCGAAGGAGATCTGATAGGCCACGGCGAGCGAGCGAGCGTCGCCCTTTTCAACCAGCTGGCGGAGGATGGCGGAGGCCATGGAGTGCTCGTTGAGATAGACGACGCACTTGGCGATGGAAAAGAAGTCGGGGGAGGGGATCTCGTTGAGAAGGTCGAGGATGAGTTTGAGGATCTAGAATATAGAGTTAGCATGACGCCGAGGGCTCCGGTCGAAGGGAGGAAATCCTACTTCATTGCGGAAGCCACGCTCCTGCACAATACCCATGCAGATGTCCAGGACGTATTCCAAGAGCTCCTCACTCTCCCGGGATTCACCGGACTGCTTCTTCTCATCCTCGCTGGCCTGGATGATCGTCCTCCGGAGCACCTCCAAGCTCTTCGCCTCGATAGCGATGCCGATCACCTGACGATAGCGCTTCTCCCGATAGCATTGGTCAAACAGGCGCTCGATGACCGCCTGCAGCTGACCTTGTACACCGCGCTTGAGAACCAGGGGGGTCTCCACCTGGCTAACGCTGGCATCATCACCGCCCGGGTGGGTCGCATCCAGGCCAGGCGTTTCCTGACGAGAAAGGAGCGACTTGGACGGCAAGGCGGATTGCGAAAACGGTGTGATGGGCGAGGTCAGGCTCGCGGAAGTGCTGGTGGCTCCCTCCGCGGACGTAGGGAAAGCGGTATTCAAATTCGCCGGCTGATCACCCGCGGCGGGTCGCTTGGCTGCCGAGAGGGCGATGAACGTATCGACGCATTTCGCTGGAAGGGGGAGGGAAAATAGTCAGAATCTTGCTGCTTACACCTCAGCAGCTGGAGGAAGACAAACTCACCGATGATCGTTTCCTCAAACTCGCCACCGTTGTCCAGCTTGAACAGTTTTCCCGCCCCAAGGGCGAACACCATGCTTTCATTGTATTCCTGGAGATGATAATACACCTTGGCGGCTACCAGGGCAGCGAGCCCGCGTTCCGAGAACGACTCATCTTCGTAGAGTGCTTCTCTGTGATCCGCGTTAGTACGTCCTCAATAGAGATATGCTGCAGGTATTCTCCGCTAGAGACGAGATGCAGGCTTCGCATGCTGACGTTGGGGCAATGAGAGACAAACATTTGCGGGACGGCGTCGACAACTTCTGTCCAAAGTAGATCGATCTGAGAATCAAGGGTCTTCAACGCAAAGACCTGCAACTCGGGATCCGGCTCTGACAGAAAGCCTACCAGGCCAGCGGCCGAAGCAAGTCCAACCATCTCTGGAGGATTCTGCTATCGCAAAGAGGGATGAGGCGATAGCTGTGAGAGAAGCTCAGACGGCTTAGGTGGGCCCAGAATGGAGAGAACGGGCGAAGATCAAAGAACGGATAGAAAGATCTAAAGTGAGACCGATGAAACCGATAGAGAACAAGAAAGAAAAAAGAGAATTGATGGAAAGATAGAGTGAAATGAAGATGGGAAGCTTTCAAGCAGCAGCGAGGCACACGTCAACGTCAACGGAGGAAGCTCGCTCGGGACGGGCTGCCTTGGGCTGCCTTGGTTGCTGCGGTCCGCCCTAGGCCCACGTGACCATGGAATGCCATGGATTCCTGGCTTCCCACCAAAGTGACTATAACCAGTAGTTACAACTGTACTCCGTTCCTCACACGACCAGCTTGGAGCCGGTGACTTGTGATGATCCAGCTGGCCTCTAAAATGCAAATATAATCTAATTACTTCCTGTCATTTCTCTCTCTAGTCTCTAGACACTCTTTCTTTCCTTTGGTCCAAATCATTGATTTCCTTCCAGGTCGTTTTGTTTATCTAATGTGCAGTAGCTTCCAACTCCCCAAGCAACATGTCCACACTGTTACCACCAACCCTCAACCAAAGCTTGCAGACTTTACCTGCTAGCTCGCTCAACACCTATCAGGATCCCTTGCTCTACATTGGCCGTCAGGCAAAGCACATCCAGCGTAATTTGCAGGTTCTAATCGATGCCCAAAGTGAAGGCCTCCTAGCTGGCCTCACCGACTCTCCACAGCAGAGCGTAAGCTCCCCGTCAAATGGCAGTTTCAGCCCGACCCCCGACTCGAGTCGCACCCTGACAGCCCCGTCTACCGTGCCGGTCAGACAGCCGAAGAGGGAGAAGATTGGACTGCGCGCCGCCCGGGAAGGCATCTTCAAGTCCATCTATGACCTGCTGAAACTGAGGGAGGAAGAACGGGAGGTACTCACGTTTCGGGTGGGTGAAAGGAAGGATGCACTGAAGGATATCGATGGATTTTGCAAAAAGCAGGCAGGGCTGGAGGAGGCGATCCTGACGATCGAGAATGATCGAGAAAGCCAGCGCTCCCGGGAATTACGCGAGGAGGAACATAGGCTCGAAGCGGACATCCATGAACTGGAGAACAAGCTCTCCCAGATGAAAGCACGGCATCGGCAAGTGACGCAGGAATTATCACATGTGGAGAATACCGTGGAATCGAAGTTGTCGTCCTACAAAGCTTCTCTGTCTATCCTGGAGTCGGATATCCACCAGTTCCTCGCAAGTCCGCCGGTCGGGCCCCAGGCGACCGACCAAAATGAGCAAACGTTTTATTCCCTCAACCCCCAACGCCGGACCCTCAACATGGCCCAAGAATACTGGAAGGAAGAGCAGTCGGCGTTGCGCAGGCGACAAGGGGAAGTCGACTCGGAGATCGCGGCGCTCGAGGAAGGGGGTGGTGTGTGGAAGCAAGTCGTCTGGGAGGTGTCGGGCTTTGAGAGGCGCTTGAAAACTGCCATGCGCCGTTCTGTCCAGACCCAATCGCAACTTCTTCAACCTAGTGGACCGTCTGGGAGTAAATCGGAGGAAGACAACGTACGTGGAATCCTGGAAGATTTAGGAAGCACCGCAGAACGCGTGGGACAACATCTGAGGCTAGCGGAGAGCAAGGATTGGCGGTTGCTCGTCTGCTGCATTGCCACCGAGCTGGAAGCTCTGCGGGAAGCGCGGGGTTTGCTCTTGAACGCTTTTGGTGTCTCGGATGAGTCTGAAGATGAGAAGGGCAAGGAGCCTCGAGCTCACAGTGAGACTGATCGAGATATTGATTCCTGGGCGGATCCCCTTGGTGTCGACAATCCTGAGCCCCCAGAGGATTTATTGAGGGACACAGACGCGCATTCTCACAGCACGGGGTTTAAATCGGAAGACGAGGACGATGAACCTGACCCAGCGTGGCTACTCCCAGAAACCTGAGTATAGATTAGACAATTCAATATAGACTAGTGTGAAGTATATATATTCCGGCAGCAATGCATATTATTGTTCAAGCATTATCAATCACAACACCAGAAACATAAACTCAAGAGTTTTTTCACAGAATCTATCCACCCCAGTAGAGTAAATACTCTTTGAATGTCGTAGTAGATGTTGTAAAACTAGTAGACAGTGTTTGTGTTCCAGCGCCCAAGCCTTTCTGGCTGCAACGGCAGACGCATTGGCCATACGAAACCAGCAACCTCGTCACTTCCCCGATCACCACCACTGTTTTCCACCTCAGACCACAACCACCAATCTTCACCCTCACCCAAACCACCCAATCTCAATACCCCCTCGGCTATGTAGTTGACGAACCTCAAAGCGAAAGATTCCACAAGCAAGCGGCGAAATGACATATCTCCCTTCGTCGGCAACCACATTCACCATTCCTTCCGTCTACGACGGCATCCACCTCGACTGTCGCGTGTACCTGCCCCGCGAACTCACACAGCCAGACGACAACAGCATACCAACCTGGCGCGTACGCGGCGCGATAGTCGCTCACCCGTATGCGCCGCTGGGTGGATGCTGCGATGATCCCGTTGTGAGTTTTGTGGGAGGGGAGCTTTTGGAGCAGGGGTATGTGGTGGGGACTTTTAACTTTCGGTATGTACCAGATATTTCCTCGTGGTATACGGAGTAGCTTGGGTATATATTAGTGTAATGTTGAGTTTAATTTTATTTGATTCTATGTTATTATGCTAATGCAATGCATTCCAGCGGCGCGGGTAGTTCAGAAGGTCGAACAAGCTGGACAGCCAAACCCGAACTGGGAGACTATGTATCGTTCTACGGATTCATGCTTCTCTACCTGCATATCCTCAGAACGGAACGGGTCCCACCAGGGGCGAACCCATCAGGAGACACAATCCCAGATGTCCGGATCATCTTAGGGGGCTATTCCTACGGGTCATTAATCGCCTCACATCTCCCAACGACAGACGCCGTCATGGATCTCTTCCGATCCAGCGTCCCGGGTACACCGGTCGAGAAGATCTGGCAGATGGCGAAGAGGGTGTCTGACGAGACCGTCCTACAACCACGGTCACTTCCCGGCGGCTCTTCAGGCCTGGGTAGACTCAAGGATACTCTGGACATGGACGCTTCCAGGGTAGATGCATCGTATCTGCTCGTGTCGCCCCTGTTGCCCCCCGTGAACCTGTTTCTCACTCTCTTCTCGAGCCTGTCGCTGGAAGTGAGCACGCCCGGTGCGGTTCACAAAACGCACGTCCCTTGTCCCAGACCTGCCGACCAGCTGTGCAGGCAGCGGACGCTTGCGATCTACGGGGACGATGACACGTTCACCTCTGCGCAGAAGCTACGACGCTGGGCACAGGACATGTCTCATAACGTGAGCAGCAAATTCCAGTCGGTTGAAGTGGACGGGGTGGGCCACTTCTGGCGCGAGGATGGTGCAGAGGCGCGGGCGAGAAGTGCGCTCCGCGATTGGGTACGGCCGATCCCATGAGCCTTATTATTTCTATTTTTCTATAGAACAGAAAAGGGAAAAAAAACAAGGAGGATTAATAATAGTTTGTACCCAAGAGACTGACAAATATGGTTATCTCATCCTCGTGCAGATCCAAATTAGTTGAAGACGGGGCATCTGACATGGCCTCTCACATGCAAGGCTGGCCTTCGCATGTGAACGAGGCATCCATCAATCCAGTGCCGTCATAAATGACCACACCGGTTAATAACTTCGACGCCTGGATTGATCATCGGCCTTCAGCCTGATTTACCCTTTACATATCATGAGAGAGATCTAGTTGATCCATGCACACCGGGCATTCCTGTCATTATGATTCTTGACCACTTTGCATGTTAAGCATCTGTAGGAGGGAGACTCGGGGAGAGTCTGTAGATCCACTCGGAACCCCACATTGTATTTGCCGCCTATAATGAATGCCTCTAGGACCCCGCTGTCCGTCAGTAATAAACAAGAATATACAAAATTCTCTTGTACGGACTTGTACATGCTAGGAGCTGTGTAGTGTGTACTATTCTTCGCTTGTCTTCCTGCCATCCCTGTCATCCTGATGAATGGTCGAATCCGGCGACATATTGATCTCAAGCGAAATCGGAGGATACCTACTAGGTCGACTAGGGTAGTTGACCGTCTTTTCAGCTGGCTATGAAAGGCATGGTGTGTTTCAGTACAGTTAGTTAGTACAGTACAGTAAGTATAGTTAGTATGGATATGTGGGGAAATGAGATCATCGGACTCTGTTCCGTAGGTCGGCCGAAGAACATGGGAACATGTGGCACACTCAATCTAGGACACAATCAGTAATCTAGGTAGTCAGATTGATCTCGTTACCAGCCTGACCAGATAGACGTAATGCTGGGAGAAAGATCATTCCATAACCAGACACACTGTGAAAAGAGAAGAGAGAGATTCCAGTGAATAACAAACAAAAAGAACCATGTAGAGAAATCCATCCGGGGTTAAGATTCTTTGGGGGTGGCGATCAAGTCGGGCAACTGGCCAATCCGGATGGAATGGACCAGGGGGCCTCGTGACGTTGATCTATTTGGGCTGACGGACTGACTGAACTAAACACGTTGATCTGTGAATACTACTTTGCATCTCAACTCTTTTCTTTCTTCTCGATTTTGTACACTTATTCTCATTCTTATTCTTACTGTGGGGGATGATTGAATGTCGATAACATGCTCCATCTCGACTCTGAACTATCGTGACCCTGTTCGATCTCATTTCTCATTCAATATTACTTTCGGTCAAACACCGTAACGCAGATGCATGACAGTCATGTCACTACTGCCTGATTCCAGTCTGACCCACGCCGCCTGCAGTGGAAAGGCCAGGAGTGATGCGAAACCCTGTGCGAATGGACCCGTCAAGCAGGGTTACTCGCGTCTGCGCTCCATCTCCGTCCCCTCCTTGTCCTCCGTCGTGCGGGACTCGCTCTCGTGGGCGGGAGATACCCTCTATCCCCGGAGAGACGCCAAGTGGAGAAAGCTGAAGGAAGAGCAGAAGGAGACGCTGGGTGTGGGGGAGCGGAAGCAGGTTATGTATTACGATATGGAGAATGTAAGTTTATTTTTATTTACTTATTTTTTTTTTTTTTTTTTGAGTGGTGGACCAAGTCTCATGTTAGCAGGCTAGAACGTATGAAGACTGGGAGAAGAGTGCCCGCGAACTCGATCGTTTGGAGGGAAATGATGCGTGGAAGGAAACCGAAGAATGCGACGAGTATAATGCCCCTCTGGTGCGGGAGCGCCTGCAGCAGCTCGAAGAAGCCCGGGAGACGTGGGACATCAGTCGGATGTTGTTTCTGGTGCGCACCGCCTTGACCCGCGACCTTGGCTTCATGGGTCGGATCTCTCTCTACCGGCATTCGCATTGGGGCACCAAGAACCTGATCGAGCGTTACATCTCCACGGCCGTCGACAGCATCTCCGCGCTGGTCGACCTCTCTGGGAACAACCGGTGCGATCGGAGAGAACTTCGGTATATTCTCGACCAGCTGCTGGCGGCGAAGCAGGCGTTCGGTCAGAGTGCCCTGCTCTTTTCCGGCGGGGCTACCTTTGGCATGAGCCATATTGGCGTGTTGAAGACGCTGTATGACCATGATATGCTCCCGAGGGTTATCTCGGGCGCGTCGGCTGGTAGCATCGTCTGTGCCGTCTTCTGTAGTCACACTGACGATGAGCTCCCCGAGCTGCTGGACAAGTTCTCGAGCGACAATCTGTCTGTGTTTGGCGAACCGGGCCAGGAGCCTAATATCTTTCAGAGGATCTCGCGCTTCTACAATCATGGGTCGTTCATGGATATCAGTCACCTGTCCATCGCCACCCAGAGCTGGCTGGGTAACCTCACATTCCAAGAGGCGTACAACCGCACGCGCCGTGTCCTGAACATCTGTGTCTCGTGCGCGGGCATCTTTGAACTTCCCCGGATCTTGAATTACATCACTGCCCCTAATGTGCTGATCTGGTCGGCCGTGTAAGTACTCGCCGCCGTCACCCGTTGCGACGACGGATCAACTAACAATCTCCAGGACCGTTTCCTGCTCCGTTCCTTTCGTTTTCTCCCCACCGGCTCTCATGTCCAAGGACCCGGCGACTGGACTCCCGGTCCCATGGAGTGACGTCCACGGGAAATACATCGACGGATCGGTCGACAGCGACCTGCCCATGGACCGTTTGTCCGAGATGTTCAACGTCAACCACTTCATCGTCTCCCAGGTCAACCCGCACGTAGTCCCCTTCCTCCCCAAGGACGAAGGCGCGATGCACGCATCAAGCCGTCTATCCCCATTGAGCCAGCCGTGGGTCGGTTCCCTGGTGCGCTTCACAAGAGACGAGATCGTGCACCGGATCAACACAGCAGTCGACATGGGTCTGTTCCCCACGGCACTGACCAAGCTAGCGTCCATCGTCGACCAAAAATACTCCGGCGACATCACCATCTACCCCGAGATCCCCCTGCGCGACTTCCCCCGCGTCCTCACAAACCCCACCTCCGACTTCATCGCCGAGTCCTGCCTCCGCGGCCAGCGAGCCACCTGGCCCAAGATCGCGCGGATCCGGAACCACCTCGCGATCGAGATGGCGCTGGACTCAGCTATCCAGCGCGTGCGGGCGCGTCTAGCCTTCTGCCGCAGCGAGGTCGACCTGCTGCGCCTAAGCTGCATGATGACCGTATCAGGCGACAGCAAAAACAGCCGAAAGGGGGAATACTCAAACTACGTGACATACCGACGGAGTTCCTACAGCCACGAGTTCGAGATCAAAAAGGGTGTTCTCGACAACCACCGCAGCCGCCCGTTGCTAAGACGGACGCAGAGCGGGGCGTCGCCCGCGCGCCTAGGCACCATGACCCCGGCTAATCCCACCGAGACGAGCGTGGAAGATTCGCCGCCGGCCGAGGAGGGTTATTTCCCGGATGCGCAGGAACCGCCGTTCTACCCTGGCATCGACGACGAGACGTTTGACTCGCTGGAGTCTTCGTCGGCCGCGCATGACTCGCTCTCGGCCTGGCCGCCGTCGTCCATCCCTGCCTACTTCCAGGAGACCCTGGCTGATATGACGTCTCCGACGGCTACGGACCATTCTCTTGACTTGCGCTCGAGCCAGAATCGTCCTGCGACATCTTTGTCGACAAACCCTCCAATGTTGCTTATGACGCCTGCCAAGTCTCGTCCGAAGAAATGACGCGTGGATATGGGGTGTCCAGTGCGCTGCAGAGGAACCCTGTCCTGCAGATGGAATCCGGCCATTCCAACCAAAGATGTTTCGTGAGGGGTGAGGGGTCGTCTGATGACCTGACCGATAGGGTAAATGGATGATACATGCTGATGCTGTCGATTGTTGTTTTGCCTAACCCCCTTGATGGATATGGATAGGTGTTTTGCATAGCATAGATTTGGGTTATTTTTTTTTTTTGTCTTTTTTAACATCATCCTTGATTCTATTTACTTTGTGGGAAGATCTTACCCCGCGGTACGATATTACGGTGGAATTGCTGCATACTACTTCGGCTTAGAGTGTGTCAACCACACTACTGTCATGTATATAGAAAGTGCTCATGTTTTTCATATCGAGCTGTTACGAATATGCCTGTCAAGGATTATTCTATCTTTCATCCTCTTGATTGATTCTATTTGGATTCTGAAACAAAACAAGCCCTCGGTATTCCCCCGACCCCCCACTCCGCACGAGTAAGTGAACGAGTGATGACAATGCACTGCAGGCGCCTCGCTGGGAACGCTCAAAAACACAACTAGTCAAGTTTGCTACCCAGCTAAATATGCCAAATATGCTAAAATAAGAAAAATTAACCAGGTAATCAACCGGGATGCTCAATCTGCTTCTAAATTTGGTCATATTAATCCCCCTGTCAGTAAGACTAATTACCCCGCTATGCAGGTTAATACCCCCCGGATTAGAAATAATTATAGAACAATTAGCCAGGAATGAGCAGCAATCACAACCCTAATTCATCTCGGTCCCCTGCAGATTATCACTCGTGCGGGCGGTTAGACCATTAGGGGCGCTTTTTGCTTTGCTTTGCTTCTATACTTGGGAACAAATGTATGTATGTAACCCTCCTAGTTTCTAGACAGGGATAATCAATCTGCTGTTGTGATCATCATGGCGTTTCGAGACATGGGCGGTCCCGCTGTCTGCCAAGTTAGGGTTGTTGGGGACAAGCTTTTATATGGATTGTTATCCGCTTCCTGAGGGTTCTGAAACGATTGAAAGATTTAAAGATTTATTTAAAGTGTTGCTTTGGTCTGTGCTGGGTTGGTCAGAACCTTAGCGATCCTTTGATATTCTTTCAGTTGATGCTTTGATCTTCTACCCTGGGTCCAGTCGAGGCTGTCTCTCTTGCCTCCTTCATCTTCATCTTCATCAATAATCTATAATCAGTCATTCTGAAGAACCCTCCACAATGACAAGCATCATCCCGCGCCCTCTCAGCCGCTTCCGCAAACAAGACTCCTCAGACCGAGATCGCCGTCTCCATGAACGATGGGGCGATGTATCCATCTCTGCTCCCACAGGTGGCTCGTGGAATCAGTTCTCTACCCCTCATCATCAACCACCAACCCACCACCACCACAACAGTGACCTCCGCTATGGTCCAGGCTATGTGTCGGAACAACATGCTGCCTCCACCAGAAGCAGCAGCAACAGTAACAGCAGCAACCGACTAAACACCTTCCACCCCCGCCGTCTCTCAACGCGCCTCGCAACCCGCAGCAAGACCCCCACCCTCACAGAAAGTGATGAACCCCCCAGCCCAACAGGCTCCTGCCACCCGCTCATCGAGCGTCGTCCGGATTTCGCCTACCGTCCTATCCACCAGGATTATCCGGCCGAGGTGGCGTCAACCACTACACACAGAATGAGTCTCGAGCCGTCGCAGCGGTTCCGCTATATTCCTGCCACTGCGCAGTCTACCCGGTCTTCTTCTACAGGACGCGCCAGTGTGAGGGATAGTGTGCAGACTGTCTGGCCGGAGGAGTATGCGGATAAAACGCCGCGGTATCGGGAGAGTATTTGCTATGGGGATAATGATGAGGATGATGATGATGGATCTCGTCGGTCGGAGTATAGAGGTAGTGCGGACTATAGTCGGCGGTTTAGTGTGGGAGTGAGTGAGAAGAAGAAGAAACGGGCTACGAAGACGCTGACGATGACTATGGTTCCTGACTCGGACGATATTTATGGATGATTTAATTTAATTCATTGCTTGGTTGGAGTTTGTTGGTGCATTATGGGAGTTTTGAGCGGGCGTTGTGGATTACTATGATATTATTGAGCGTATTGATCAATGATGAATTAATGATATTGGACTATTCTATCACTTCTGTCTCTCTCTCTCTCTTCTCTTCTCTATACTGTATATGTCTTCTCTTCTCTACACGGCAGTGTATATCTCATTCCAAGACAGGTGTTCATACAGCCCTAAGTGCTCCACCAAACTAACCGCTGCGGCAACAATCCCGGCGCTTCCACCACGACCCACCACCAATAACATCAACAAGCACATCGGATCCTTCGACCCCTCCCATCTGCTATTTTTAATTCTGAAGGAACGAGCTCTGTGCTTTAGTCTGTTTCAGCCTGGTTGTTTTGTCTCTTCCCGCCGATCCGACACCCACGATCTGAGACCTGGATGCTTCTATTTCGAGGAGATAGCCGCGATGCGGATTAAAATAGCTTCATCATGCGGGTGTTGAAACGGTGAGGATGTTCTATAACTACTTCGTGTGTCCTGTGGTCTGGATGGATTTATAGCTTCAATCTTTGGTCTTCCTTTGGCTTGTCGTGGGATTCGCGACGGAGACATATTCTTCGATCTACACCTCAGTATAGGTAGTGGAGTGAGTGATCTTACCAGATCGATCAGCATGATCCTCCCCCACAACATCCACCCCTCCTATCCACTTCTACACACCCGATCAAACAGTAACCCAAGCGACAACACCACACAAGTCATCGTCGGTGTCGTTGTAGGCGGCGTCGCAGTCATCGCTAGTACGCCCTCATCCCCCCACCCATAACTAACAACCCTATGCCATATTAACATATATATCCAACAGTGACGGCAGGAATCCTCATCTTCTTCCTCAAAAAGCGCAAACGCGACCGTGCATCCCAGCACGACGACCAGTCTCTCGCCCTGCACGGCTCCGTCAGACACGGTCGCAAATCCCGTGACGATGCCATCACAGCGCAGCGCCCTTCGTCTTCTTTATCTTTTCCCCATCCTATCCACACGGTGGGCGTAGGCGTCGATTCGCGCGCTCACAACCAGTCTCCGTCTCCGCCGCCTGCGTATCAGCCTCGTCTCCCGGTGTATGATCCGTCGCGGTATCAGAGAGTTGATGCCCCGCAGCATCAGATGGGATGGCCGTCTGTGCCGATGCCGTCGCATATGCAAGCGCATGCGTATTCGCACACGCAGACACAGATGCAGATAGCTCCTACTCACCTAGCTCCAACTCATCCCACCCCAAATTACCTCGTCCCTAGTCAGCAGCGACAGCAACAGCAACAGCGACAGCCCCAGCATCAGCAGCACCAGCACCAGCAGTATTATCTCGCAGATGGGGCCCCCGTGCCCTACCCCCAGCCGCCACTTGCTGTGCCGCACAGCCAGACCAACACGAACCGCTTCTCGTTTGAGCCGCGGCAGTCGTGGGTGCAGATGGCTCCTGAAGATGTTGCTGTTGCTCGGGCAGCGCAGGCGTCATCTTCCCCTGCCAACTCTCCTCCTACAGGAGGAGAAGCAGAAGACGATAGACCGGCAGGAGAGACGCAGCGACCGCGCAGAAAAAGACCGGTGCTGTCCCGGCTAATCACTAATTTGGGGTAGACAGTGGATGGGGATCGTATAGCTGTGGTTTGGTTTTGTTAATGGTGTTTGGGTTTGGTGTTTGGGGGAGATGGAATGGTACGGTGTTTGGACTTGATTTCTTTTTTTTCACAGCCATGTCGTTCTTTGAATTGATGTTCTTGAGGGTCTTGCTTTGGCGGTCACGATGCTCATGATGACTGATAAAACCATGAATGATAATGATTATGACTGATTTTGTCTTTGTAGACAATGTTTTTTTGGTATGAATGGGTAGTGGATTAGGACGATATACCAGTCTGTCCATGATATATGAGACTAGGAATAGACAGGATAGACAATGTACTTGTGATTGAACACTAGTATAGTATGAGACAGACATGGATAATCCCCTCTTGTCTCCCCTCTCTCCTCTCTCTACCCTGGTTCAATCTCTTGGCCATGATCAACCCTTGTCATGGTTCATTTTCTCATCCTCTCGTCCTCTCGTCCTCCCAGGCGTCTAAGCCGAGACATCTGTCGGAGGGACTCCTAACTGAACTGGACTAGTATATGTCTAGCACAGTGAGCCAGACTGACGCTACCTACCTAACTACCTAGTCAGTTGCCTAGTCAATCAGTCAGTTGGTTAGTACCAGGTAGTTCACTACCAAGGTACGGAGTACTACTAGAGAAAACTGTCTACTTCCAAACACGGCAATCCGACTGACCAGGGCAACGTAAGTCTCTCTTTTGCCTATATTGCGCCGCAGAAATAGCTTCACACTAGTATGAGAAGAAGACAAATCAGCTGCTCTTATGCAAGACAATCCCCATCACGGCGCGTAGATAAGCTCTGTGGATGGCTCGGGGCCAACCGTGACGATCAAACCGGCGTGATCCGTTTTTACTATTATATTTAAGTATTTTTTCCTTGATTTATTGATTTGGAATTGTCTGAGTGAGGTTTTTCTCTACCTCGACTCTATCAAATATTGCCTACAGAGTATACTTCAGCGATATCAACACCATCCATTATACAGAGTACATCAACCCAACCAACAACCAACCACCTAACCCAAGAAACCAACTCGGACTCATCAACTACCGAGTAATTAAACACTGACTATTAAGAGTCGATCCCCGTCTTTGCTGGGTTCTTGCATGAATGAACCTCATATGCGCCACGACATTGGTGGACTCGTCGTCTCCACTGCTACCTCACTAGTCTCTTAGTTGCCTCGTCCGGTCCGAATCCTCAACCTACTTTCTGTTCCTCGCGATATCCGGTCATGGATGACCCGTCGGTCAGGGATCATGACGATGGCCCCCACCTCTTCTCCTCTCTCTTCTCACCACATTACCTAGGAAGGTCGACTCCATCCCTGTTTCTCTCCAGCAAGCGCCACGCCAAGCGGACGGACAACTTGACGCATGACTGTGCCGTAGTCTGCATTTCTCTCCGTTCCCCTCCCGTCATCCCCTCTCGATATGTCGGTTCCTCGCCGCCTTCAGGGCCTCTCCCCAGGGCTATTCCCTCATTTGCCGCTTCTTTTCCCCCTTTCGAATCCGTCGCGGTAACACCCTCCAACGCCTAATTAGACAAGTGGAGATCACCCGGTCTGTACTATCCTGTTCACGGCAGGTGGTGCGGTCCGTCACCTCCACCAGACGAGGCCTCCTGAAGGGCTGAACCAGACTGTCGGGTCCAAAAAGCAACGCGTCCGTCCCCCACGGAACCCGTGTGATTGATTGATTGCTTGAATCTTTGCTTTGCGGCGTACACACTACTTCCCCCCCCCCTCCCTCTTTTCGCCCCCCCTTCCCGTTTCCCCCCCTTCACCCCGGGCGAAGTTCTGGGTCAGGTTAGCCCAGGTCAGGCCAGGCCAGGTCAGGTCAAATCTGGCGTGAGGAAATGGCGCCCTTCCGTCAGGTTGATCACGTTCCTGTCGGAAACTTTCCTCAGCGATTCGTATGCGGCGGTCGCTGGACCGGCGGGCTTCGATGGTCCGATTCTGATATATCTCCTTCTTTCATGCTGGCTGGGAACGTGTCTTTCGTCTCTTCTTTTCGTCGTCTGCCCCTCTCCCCTTCTGCCGGTGGGTGACCTGTTCGTGGGGTCTTTTATGGTCGAAGGGGATTGACTCACCGATTCTCCCCCCTTTCGTCCCATTTTGGTATTCTACTATTACCTCAAGCTTTCTTGATAGTATGCTATCGACACCCACTTCTTTGGCCGGTACATGTCGCGTTAACCCTGTTTGATGAGAAGCCCGTGGAGGATCATGACGGCCATCATCCGGAAGTTGCGCCGGAAGCGCAAGCTCTCCTCGGAACTGGACTCGCGGTGGGGAGATGCCTCCATCACCTATCCCACCGAGGGGTCCTGGAGCCAGTGGGATCAACCTGCCGGTGTGGTGGCCCGGTCTCCAGAACGGGGACGACGACATAGCTCTGTTGACACGGCCGATCGCCGCAGCTGGTCCTCACCGCGCCATCCGGTCAATCGCACCTCGGGAGACTCGTCCTTGACCATCCCCCGGGGCCACTATGACTCCAAACTGCGCAATCGACCCTCGAAGAGGATCCCGGCCCCGTTATGCGCAACTCGCAATCCCCCTCGCACATGGCAGGATTCCGCCTCGGAGACCTTGTCCAGCGATTCGTCTGAAGACGATGACCCCGTGTCGGAGCTGGGCCCGTCCCGGGGACGGTACCCTTCTGCGTCCAAATCGCCCCCGCTGTCCGTCACCTCCAAGATGCGACGCTGCAGCATCCAGAGCAATACGACCGATGGCACGGCCTCGATGCCGGTCACGGCCAGCTCCAAACACACCAGCTACACCTCGACGGTCCCCTCGGCATTGAGCGAGGGGCCTCGATCTTCCCATCTTCCCACCCACCACGAAAAAATCAAGAGTCCCCGTTCTCCTTTCGTGAAATCTCCACCCCCTCCGCCGCTACAGCTGCCACCGCAACCGCCCCATCAGCCCCGGGGCCGGGAGCCCTACCGGGCGCCCGAGGTCGAGTCCACTGGACAGGAACTGGTGCCTTCTTACGAGGAGCTCTACGGATGATGCGATAGATGGCGGGGAGTAATGATTTCCGAATTTACAGCGTTCTTGTGTTTCTACCATTTCATTCCTTACCATCTACTATATGTGTTTCTCAGCAATTCGTGTCTCAAACCACCCATTCCCTCATATCAAGCTTCCTCTCTCCGTTCCTCGCCTCACAACCTGGGCCAACCAACCCCGATAAACCCACGATTGAATTGGGCTCTCTGTGCCACCCCGGGGGATGGCAACAGGTACCGTACGACTTGCATGGTGGCGTCTCGACTATGTCTAGGGAGGGTGTCTGTCCTTTCTTTGTTTGTTGTTGTTTATTTGCGTTTAATTATCCTTTATTGCGCCCAATCCCGGTTCAGTAGAATGAGACAACTTTGTCGATCATTTCCTTGATTCCGGTTCTTTCACTTCTTTGTTCTCGTAAATCTTATTCGAAGAGATCGATCTGCGAGCGCCAAGGGGGATCCACCTGGGTTGGCGGAGTCCGTTTGGAGTATTGTCATCACGTTGGACTTCTCCCCGGCCACTATTTAGACCCGTTATTTGATGTTTTATTTAATTTTTTTTATCGTTTGGGTATCGTTTTATTTCTTAAATATGTAATATAATATAATATATAAAAAAAAATATAGATATCACCATGGAAATCCGGACCAACCCATCCGACACGCATGCCCAACCAATCAACCTCTAGACTCAAGAGGGGTCGACGAGAACGACGAATAAAACGAAGCCAAACTAACAACTGCAGTGCGCGTCACAGTCACAATCGCCATCTCATCACATTCGCTCACACTCACGCTTTTCTCTCTGGTCGTTCTTGACAGGCTACTGACAGGCTACTGTCTAAGCGCCGACCATACACCCCCTCTTTCCGAACCCCACTCGCATATGCTTGTTCCAACTTGACTTCCTTGTCGGCGGGCGGCGAGGATGCACAGCGATGATCACACCCCGGTCTTTTTGGGCTGGGCGCGTTTTTTTATCAAGCTCTGGCTGTCCGGTCTGTTGGGGGGTTTGACTGGTTGTTTTTTTTGATGGGAACATTCGCCGGCTGTGGGCTGGATCGTTGAGTTGATTCATTTTGTCCTGTTGGTGTCGTTGATTGAGTATCGATCTCTCTTCGTTTTCATATATCGTTGCGCTTTATCGGGTGCTGCTGTCCTCTGTCCCCTGTCTTGGCTCGTTCGTGGTCACACTTCCATGGTCGGACTCAGTTGCCGTTCGGCTTGCTCGTCTCCTTGGCTGGTGTAGACTGAAGTATAAGAAAAGAGAGACACCAGAATGCTGGGACGAAGGACTTCAGCATGGGCGACGACTGCCCTCATCGTCCTAACTCAAATCACACCCATCCTCTCCCTGCGCATCACGCCAGGCTCGCCCTGCGAGGAAGTCTGCCACAAGCATTCGTCCAACACGACGGGATCGGAGATCGCCTGTCTGGACCGCGAGTTCACGCAGACCGAGAAAGGGTCCACCTTCCAGCAATGCATTGAGTGCGGACTGCGCAGCTCTTTCCACGATACGCCGACGAAGCAGTCGGATGTTGAGTGGTCTTTGTGTAAGTTTGTTCTCTGCTGTCGTTCCATGGCTTGATTCCTGCGTCGTGCGTGATTGTTCTAACCGAGTGTTGGGTAGATAACCTGCGATATGCATTCACCAGCTGCGTATTCGGCACCCCCGAGTCCGTCAACAACATCTCCACCCAGTGCACGGTGTCGTGTCAGCAGCTGGACTCGGCGCTCGAGTTCGAGATTGCGGACCCTGATGGGGACAATCTTGACACTTGGTGCGGGTCGAATGCGTTTGCCGATAATGCTATCAGTCAGTGTGAGCAGTGCTATAACTTGACTGATAATCAGAATTATATGTCGAACTGTACGTCTCTTCCTCCTCTCCCTGTTTGCACTGCACCCTGCAGTACACACGAGAGACAATTATTAATCTGCAATGAATCAGTCCTCGAAGCCCTCCGCTACAACTGCCACTTCCGCACCCCACCCACTGAATCCTTCCCCATCAGCCCAGCCCGCATCTTCAGCGAGTCCATGCTGCCGTCATCAACGACGAACCTGCTGGCTCCCAAGTCCGGCAAAGGGGTGAACTTGGCGGTTGTGATCGCTATCCCCATCCTGGCGTTCGTGATCGTGGTTTGTGCCTTGACGGTATGCTGCTTCTTCTTTGTGCGGCACCGTCGTAAGAAGGCGAGGCAGCTGCGCGAGGAGCGAGAGTTGAATCGCTTTCATGCTGGGTGGAGCCATCATCATAGCCTTGCTCAGGCGCAGGCACAGGTGCCGGATGGGTATGACCCTGCTGCGGCGGTGGGGATGCATCATCCTTACGCGTATGGGAGTGGTGGGGTTGGGTATGGGAAGCAGGCGCAGGTCATGGAGACCGGGGTGGCTGCGCCTGGGACGGTGTATGCTCCTGAGAAGGAGGGCAAGAAGGAGAAGGGTCCTGTGAAGGGTTAGTATGCTCTATTTTGGTCGGTGTCTATGGTAGGAAGGATGGAGATGCTTGGATGAGAAGATGTCATATACCCTCATGATCTTAATAATATGTTATACCACATAGTATACACTAGATGGTACAAGTAGATGGATGGACGACTTGTTTATTCCAGTCGAGACAAGTACAGAAAATCCAAACAGAGGATTTCTCTACTTATGTACCCAGTACCCCCGCGTCTTGACCATCCTGTGTCATTAGGCGCCCGCTATAAATAAACACGACATGCCAAGGTCGTTCGGCCGAAGGTTCGGCGTTACTTCATTAGGAGGGATTATCATGGATATTCTTTATTCTTATAAACATCTGTCATTTAAAACTGTTGATCATTTACCAATTACAAAGATAATCATCATCATCTAGTGATATAGAGGCAGAGTATCAGACACATGGAGTATCCGTAGACAGTATAGAATGAAGAACAGGAGACTATTCCCCATCGGGACATCTCCAATCCACCACCGTTAACTCATCATCATCTCGATCTTTCTCCGCTCCCCTCAATTCTCAATTGATCTTCATGCTTGAACCCCTCAAAATACATATAATACACAATCACCCCATATAAGATAATATAAAATGTCCACCCCAACAAGAGACCAAATCAAAGCCCTCGAACAATCCCGCCAACGTCTCGTCCAACTCACCCACTCGCTGGCCTCCCTCATCGCAAGTTTGAACCAGAGTGATCCTCTTCCGTCCTGGTATTCCTCCTCCTCTCTTCTTAATACTAATCTCTCCATACTGTATATATACATACCTTTCAAAAGAACAGTCACTAACAATAATGGAAAAAAAAATACAGGCCCTCCCTCCAATCCCAAGCCACAATCCTCTCCAACAACCTCCTCTCCATCTCCGAACACCTCTCCGAGAACCAGCCCCTCCTCTCCTCGCTAGTCGCCTACCCGGGCCCGGAATTCCCCGGCCGCACGCAAGCGCCGACACTTGAGCAGCTTCTGCGGACGAAGCTTGATCCGCGTGTGGAGGACTGGGTTGCGCGGGGGAGACGGAGGGCTGTCCCTGATACCAACACTAATCACAATGATCATGGCAACAACGACGGCAATGAGAACGATAACGACCATGATTTAAGCGAGCATGATCTAGCTGAATTATGGCACTGGGCGCCCGTCGAGGCTAATCGCGAAGCGAGACAGCGTGACTGGGGCGGGGACTATACCCTCGAGGAGAGGGAGGGCGGTGTCGCGAATGTGGTGACTGGGTTGCGGCGCGTGCTGGACGACGGGGAGGATGATATGGGGAGTACGAGTGGGAGTAGTGAGGGCGAGGGGAATGAGGGGCAGGGCGAGGAGGAGGAGATGGAGGTTGTGGGCGTCAGGATGAGGCCTGGCGCCGGGGCTGTCGCCGGTGGTGGCGGGCTTGAGTTTGATATTGCTGCTGGGGGCGCGCACGGTGCGGGTGGTGTTGGGGGAGAGGATGGGGTTGGTGTGCAGAAGGTGATGGCTCCGGTTGTGCCGTTGGAGGGTATTCTACGGTTTATGACTACTGGGGCGCAGCCCGGGCAGCGGTAATTTTATGTATCTACGATGGATGGTGTATTGCATTGTGTGATGCGAAACATTATGATTTATGGATTAAAAAGAATAAAAGAAGTATGGTGAGAAATCAACCCCGTCGCCGCGTGGTAGGCCCCTTGCCCGACTTGGGCGATGCCCCCGTGCTCTGCGCGACCGGCTTCTCCAGCTGAGCCTTGGCTTTCGAACGGGTCTGTTTCTTGGCCGGGGCGGGAGCCGGCGAGCTGTTCCAGTAGTACAGCATCTGCGTGGCAAGCACCAGGTTCAGACTGAACCCTGCGATGAACCCGTACAGGATGATCGGATCGTCCACCTCCTGCAGGGTCGTGAAGATGCGCGACAGGGATCCGGCGAGATAGTTGAATACCTATTCATAGTTAATTATCGGAATTGTGACTTTAAACCAAGTGACGGGATGAAACATACAGCAAAAGCACTCAACTGCCCGGTACTGCCCTCCTGCCAGATGGTCAAAATCTGCGGCGCTTTGCTGGCCACACCCAGCGCTCCCGCGCCCGCCTGCAGATACGCCATGGTCTGCGCATAGATGAGCGTCTGGTCGAAGAGCAGCGCATAGACACTAGCGGCGACGACGGCGACAAACGCCGCGGCTGCGGTGCCCTTCCCGGCGAAGCTGAGGACCAACACGCCCACCACAATATCTTGCACGGCGATCAGGGCCGTCTCCCCGTAGGTGCTGAAGGGGAACTGGTTGCGCACGCTGTAAGACAGCGTGATCAGCAGACTGGCCGTCTCCAGCGCATACGAGACAAACGACACCCCGGCCGACGATTGCGACTTGATCAACTTGAGGATCTGCGGCACTTTGACGATGGCGCTGGCGCCCACGATGGCGATACCCAGTGCCTTGGAGATGGCGAGCGAGGTGCATTCGGGATCCTTGGCGACGTCCAGATCGACCAGAAGGGTGCTATGGCAGGGGGCACCGACTAGGGAGACAACGGCATCGTGGACGGGTTTGGGGAGGGCGGATGCGATGGGTCGGAGGAGGGGTTGGAGGGGCTGGACGACCGCTTGCTGGATGGAGTCCATGATTGCACGTAGTTGACAGTGCCAAGAACCAGAGAAACTAGAGAAATGAAAAGAAGTCGGCTCCTCGTCGAGGTGGTGGTCTGTCCAAAAGTGAAGTTGTCCCGAGTCAATCAAAACGCGATCAAAATAAGCGGTGGGGTTCTGCCCCCTCCCACCGCCTTTTCGTCTTCTTCGAGGACTTCATCCGCATCAAGATCTCAATTGTTTCCACGCTCGGCGGTCGTTCTATCCCTGGCCCATGTCCCCGTCATGGTCTTCCTCTTGCACCCCTCATTGCGGAGGCTAGCTCCCCCAAGGGATCCCTCGCGTATCTGCTCGCAATGCCTCCTCCGCGCACGTCCTCATCGCCCCACCGTCCGCAGCTTTCTCTCGTCCTCCCGATGGTCTTCCGGCGTTGGTCCGAGCCAACCTGCGGCCTCCACCCTGAATAAGTCCTATTTCTCGTCGAATCGAGACAATGATGGTGCCGGTACCAAGGACGGCCTTCTGGCGTCGCTATCCGCTGCCAATGCCGCACGGGAATCGTCAAACCCCGCCTCGTCGCGTACGGCGGAGACCACGGATGGGAGTGCCAATGGCCCGGATACGGCGACGGCCGAGCTGCCCCATCGTCGAAGGAAACGCTTGAAGGAGGAAGAATCCGCTCGCCAGGGCCAAGATGATGCAGACCATGTAATCCCGCCCGATGCGTCGGCACAACTGTCCAATATCTCCTCCGCCCTTCCCAAGTCCTCCCTCCGTCGCAACATGGCCGCCTACCTCGCCCTCACCAAACCCCGTCTCTCCATCCTGATCGTGCTCACGACCACCTCCGCCTACGGCATGTACCCGATTTCGTCTCTCCTGACCCTTGACCCGTCCATCGCCCCGCTGCCGACCCTCTCCACCTCCACCCTGACCTTCCTCTACCTGACGGCCGGTACGTTCCTGTCCTCGTGCAGCGCCAACACCCTGAACATGATCTTCGAGCCGAAGTACGACGCCCTCATGTCCCGCACGCGCAACAGGCCTCTTGTCCGCGGACTGATCTCCCGTCGCGCGGCCGTGGTCTTCGCGATCGCAACCGCATTGGCAGGGTTGGGCCTGCTTTACTTGGGCACGAACCCGACGGTAGCGGCCCTCTCGGCAAGCAACATCTTCCTGTACGCCTTTGTCTACACGCCGCTGAAACGCCTGCACGTCATCAACACCTGGGTGGGCGCCATCGTCGGCGGTATCCCCCCACTGATGGGCTGGGTCGCCGCTGCCGGCCAAACAGCCACCCCGGGCCACGACACCTGGCGCGACATGCTCTTCAGCGAGGACAGCATCGGCGGCTGGCTTCTGGGCGGCATCCTCTTCGCCTGGCAGTTCCCGCATTTCAACGCCCTCTCCCACACCATCCGCGACGAGTACCGCGCCGCAGGCTACAAGATGCTCTGCTGGACCAACCCGGCCCGCAACGCCCGCGTCGCCCTGCGCTACTCCGTCCTCATGTTCCCGATCTCCATCGGCCTCTGGTGGGTCGGCGTCGTCGGCCACGGCTTCCTGGTCGGCAGCTCCGTCGCCAACGGCTGGCTCGCCAAGGAGGCTTACCACTTCTGGAAACACCAGGGCGCCCACGGCACCGCCCGCGGCCTCTTCTGGGCTAGTATCTGGCAGCTGCCCATCCTGCTGGTCGGCGGTCTGGCCACGAAGAAGGGCCTCTGGGATGGTGTCTGGCGGAGTGCGTTCGGACAGGGGGAGCCTGACGAGGACGAGGACGAGTACTTGTACTATGATGAGGAGGAGGAGCAGTCGCCGTCGGTCACATCGGCTGCTTAAGTGTGTTTCACACTTGGGTTTTTTTTTATATCTTTCGTGACTTTGTATTAGATTCCCTTCTTTTCTCTTTTTGTTTGTTTCAGTCTGTGGGAAGGCGTTTTGTATAACAGCATCTGTGTGGCTTCTGCGACCCGCTTGTGTAGATATATTGATTGAGTTATGAATTGCAGTTGCAGCATTTATATTATTATTACCTTATCTATTAGTATTCTTAAACTTGTATACTCTATTTTGTTGGAGTGTCAAGTGATTGAAAGGATTGAAAGGTGAGAGGGTATCGCATCTATCACTATCAGTACACAAATCACATATACACTACAAATACAGTAGCCCCAACCATCTTCCCAATGGCTAAGAAGGTGGTTTCACTCCCTCAACCTCAAATGATACGTCCCCAACGCCTCCTCACTAACAACACTAGGCGCCTTAACCATCTGATCCTCCCCCAGCTTCCCAATCTTCGGAAAAGCAATCACGTCCCGCACGGACTCCTTCCCCAACATGACAGCCACCAGCCGATCGAAGCCCAGCGCCAGCCCCGCATGCGGCGGACACCCGGCTCTCAGAGCCTCCAGCAGGTGCGCGAAGTCAGCCAGTCGCTCGGGCTTCATCTGCAGGATGTCGCGTAGTATGAATTCCTGGACGGCAGCGTCGTGGATACGTCTGCTGCCGCCGCCGAGCTCGACGCCGTTGACGACGAGGTCGTAGTGGTCTGCGACTACCTTTGTTGGGCCCTGCAGGAGGAGGTCGACGTCGGAGGCGGTTTTGGGCGCTGTGAAGGGGTGGTGTGTTGATGCTATGCCTGCGGCGCCGCCTTGGCCCGGTTCGGTGTCGCTGGCGGGCGAGAAGAGCGGGAAGTCGTTGATCCAGAGGAAGTCGAAGCCGGTGGGGGCGGGTTTGAAGTTGTTGGTGATGGCGGCGGTGTGGAGGGCTCGGCGGAGGTCGCCGATGGGGGTCGATCCCCCGGAGAAGGGCGCGTTCTCGCGCGCTTGGATCACGATGAGGTCGCCGTGGTCGAGGTCGAGTTGTTCTTCCATGTATTCGGTGGCTTCGAAGCCGAAGGCTGTCATTCCGCAGAGGGGCTTCTTGGCGTCGTAGACGAAGACGCCTGGGGCGCCGGCGGGGTTGTTGTTGAATGGCGCGCCGGCGGGGGAGTCGAAGAAGTCGCGGATGAATTGGGACATGGCTGCTGGGTCGTTCTCGTTGTTTTCGATCTTGAAGACTTCGACGATGGGTTCGTCGAGGTCCGAGATCTTGTTGACTAGGTCTACCGGGATCATGTAGTCGATTCGCGAGATCTCCATGCCGTATCGGGTGTCGGGCTTGTCGGACCCGTATCGCGCCATGGCTTCTTGGTAGCCCATCCTGCGGAAGGGGCCTGCGGGGGCTGGCTCTGGCATTAATGCTGACCATACTCGTCGGATGACTCCTTCGATGACCTTCATTACGTCCTCTCCGGTTGCGAAGGACATTTCCATATCGAGCTGGGTGAATTCTGGCTGTCTGTCTGCACGGAGGTCTTCGTCACGGAAGCACCGCGCAAACTGGTAGTACCGGGGGATGCCACTGGCCATGAGAATCTGCTTGTACTGTTGCGGGCTCTGCGGGAGCGCATACGCCAGCCCACGCTTCCGAGTAGGCACCAGGAATTCGCGAGCACCTTCCGGAGTGGACTTGAAGAGGATGGGCGTCTCTACCTCGAGAAAAGGTGGTACGGACGCGTCCAGCTCCTGCTTGCAAACATTGTGGACCTGGGCTCGAAAGCGGAGGGCATCGCGTAGTTCAGGATCCGCGCGCAGCTGCAGATACCGATGCTTTGGGGCGAAGTTGGTGTCCGACTTCATCAGGATGTCTTTCGGGAAGTCATTGAGAGGGTGGACTTCCTCCACGAACAGCTCCCACGGCTCGGCTTCTTCCATTTCGGCACCTTTGGCTTTCTTCGGTTGAACCTTGCCCTGAATCGCGACTGGACTGTTGGCTCTGATCGCTTTGAGTTGCTCCAAGGAACCGTTGTTTGCCATTGAGATTAGCTGGATACTGTGTTTCATCGTCGGGTCCGTTAGGCGCACAAAGGCCAGTTTCTTGGATACATCACGACGGACTCCTAGATAGCCATGCAGCATGACTTGTTGATCCGCGGCTGCCTTTGAGAAGAACGTCTCAAAGTCTGCCGTCGCCGGTGGGAATTCCACTGGAGCAGTAACCATTAGCACGTCTGGACGAGAGGCACATGGATCCTTCGCACGTAACTACGGAGGCGACAAACGAACCGGCCTTCTTGTACTTTTCTAAGAAATGGATATCATCCTTTTGGCCATTGCTCTCCTCAAGAAGACAGGAGGAGCGATGGAAGGGCCTCGTCGTCGCCCTGGGACCATACCCTCCGGCGCGGAATCCGGTTCGGCGGCCGCGGAGGTAATTGGAGATCTCGATATAGCTGGAGGAAAGACGAGGGGCGACCCTCCCCGCGCGGGCGACAAACATACTGTCTCAATGCTCTCTACCGGTCAATAGAAATCCGAGAAGAGTAAACCAAAGCATCAACGAGACACAACCAGCAATGTAGAAGATGTTCTCGAGTGACTCCATCGGGGAAATCAATCATGGCGCATCGAGCCACCGGCAGAAACATTCCGCCTTCCTAAACAAGCTAGCATCACATGACCCACTATGAAATCGTATAAAATCCGCTGATTTCTCACACTCTCTTTTCCTTCTCCATCCTTCCAAGTTTTATAACCGTGAGTCCTACCTTGACAGTTCGACTGTGCTTTCAATGCCCTGATCTGTAAACTAACTCTCTCCAGATGATGAAAGCCTAGCGTGTTCTATTTGATTCAATCTCTCCTCCTGGAGCCCTGTGGCTCTCCTTTCGAGGCTCAAGGGCTGCTGGGCTCCGGTGGAGGGAGGATGATATCTGCGTTCGGCACACCACCTTGTTACTTTACGGACGCGATGAAGGCATCTCTGATCACATATTACTTGCGGTGTTGGCTCGATGGAGCAGTGTCATGTTGTGGACCCTCGAGAGGTGTTGTTCAGTCTCAGCACCTTGATGATAGGGCTCTCAACATGGACTTTTAATATATAATATTATATATAGCCGGATTACGTATCCTGGCTGCTGAATTAGAATAATCATACAATAATATAATCGATAATCATGGATACTTGGTGAATACCGCAGTAGACTGGATTAGTCCCCTGCTGATTGGTGTACGATCAGTGTAAAACATAAGATCAATGACCAGAGCACGATCGAAGTGTCTTTCCAGTATTTCTTCCTGTCCGTATATTCTTCTCTTATAAGAACTCTGCTTTCAGAATGTTGAAATTTTCACCACTTGGGACTGTCATTCCGCGGCCCATCGAGTCACGCATCAACGATTCTCCGTCGGGGAAGTGACTGATCGGCTTCTTATCGGAGTCGCGAAAATAATCGCTACCGCTGCGAATCGTCCATGTCCCTCTACTTGACCAACTTTGCCATTTGATTTCCCTTGTCTGGCTAATTACTCATTTGTCGACAATCATTGTATTCGACTGTTGGGTTATAGCCTCATCTCATGAGGCCCCATCTCGGCGCGTTGCCTACCGCGGCACGCCTGCGCATGTCCAACCTTGCGCCAGGCGGACGGACGGTATGCCGCGCTTGTAACTATGCTCGGACGGCGGAATTCGTGAATACAGGCCTGATCCGCCCGACGGGGTTACAATCTCCTTTGGGGAGTTCGATCATCGGATTCGGAGGCCAGCAAAAAAGATGGATCACTCAGAATTACGTCCGACGCACGAAGGAAGCGGAGCAGGAATGGGCGCAATTCGCGGAGGAGATCAAAGCTGGAAAGAGACAGAGTTTTGTGGAACACTTGGAAGAGAGAGGATTGATCCATGATGTCGTCGGGTGAGTGACCGCCACCATTCGCATGGATTGTGATTAGATCTGTCGACTGACTTGCTATCGTATGACACTACAGAGAACGAGACATTCTTCATCGCGTCTTCACGGAGAAAAGAGCGGGGATTTACGTGGGTGTGGACCCGACCGCACCGTCTTTGCATGTCGGTCATATGCTGCCATTTATGGTTCTGGCTTGGGGATATGTATGGAAATTGCCGGTTACGTTTCTGGTTCGTGCCCCTCATCTCGACTCTGCACCAAGGCCTGGGCAACGACGCTAATCTTGAGAAGCTGGGCGGTTCTACTTCCCGGATTGGAGATCCCACCGGCCGATTGAAGGGACGCGAGCAGGTGCATTCATCGGTTCGGAAAGCAAACATGGCGAGCATGCACATGCAGCTCAAGAAGCTGGGCATGAGCATCGAGAAGTACGGCGAGAGACATGGATACAAAAAGACATGGACTTCGCGACGGGCCTTGACCAACAACAACATGTGGTGGAACGGACTCCCGTTCCTTGAGGTGCTTCGGGACTTGGGCTCCCTCGTGCGCCTGGGCCCCATGCTCGGCAGAGATAAGTGAGTCAATTCGTTTCCCTTCCCTGCCCGCAACACAGTATCTGACCGACGGTCCAGTGTCAAAACCCGACTGCAAGGCGACGGCATGTCCTTTGCGGAGTTCTCATACCCCCTTATGCAGGCATGGGATTGGTGGGTGCTCTTTCGCAAAGGTTGCCAAGTGCAGGTGGGAGGTACGGATCAGTACGGAAACATCCTGTTTGGAATGGACGCAGTCAAGCAAATCAGCAAAACCACCGTTCTGGAACAGGAACGGAACCCCTTGACCGACGACGTGGACAAGCCCATCGGCTTCACTACGCCTTTACTGACGGCCCCGTCTGGGGAGAAGTTTGGCAAGTCTGCGGGGAACGCGATCTGGCTCGACAAGGACATGACGTCCACTTTCGAGCTCTACCAGTTCTTCGTCCGGACGCCCGACAACGTCGTTGAAAGTTACCTGAAGATGTTTACTTTCCTGCCCATGCCCGAAATCGCGAAGATCATGGAGGAGCAGAACAAAGACCCGTCCACACGCGTCGCCCAGCATGCCCTGGCCGCGGAGTTCGTGGAACTCATCCACGGCAAAGAAGAGGCCGACACGGTCGCCCTTCAGCACCGGCAATTATTCCGACCCCGCAGCTCGACCGCCGAGCCAACGCCACTCCCTCGCACGCCGAACGCCCCCGGGGGTCACCCCCAGTCCCCGGTCTTCGGTTTCTCGAACCCCCAATCGGGGAACAAGTACGCGCCGCAGACCAATTTCGCCAACATGCCAAGCGTGAACGTGACACTCCCGCGGTCTCTGGTCTACGGCCAGACTTTCAACAAGATCCTCTGGTCCGCCGGCCTGGTGACGTCCAAGGCGGAGGGCTTCCGGATTGTGAATAACAAGGGTGCGTACGTGGGAAGCCGCCCGGGCAACAGCGGAGCCATGGAGGATCAATTGACGTTCACACCCATCACGAGCTGGAAAGCCGAAGAGACGGAGAAGTTCATCCACGACGGCACTCATTTGTTCCTCAAGCTGGGCAAGTGGAAGTTCAAGATCGTGAACATCGTCAGCGACGAGGAGTTCAAGGCGCGCGGGTTGACCGCGCCCGGGTGGGAACCCGAGTCGGACGCATCCCAATCCGACAAGACCACCCCCGAGAAGACGGATTAAGGTCACCATGCACTTGGTGCAAAGATAAGCATGATCGTCTGGCGGAGAAGTTGACCAGAGACGAGCAAGGCGTTCTGGTAACCCTGGCCATTTTGCCACCTGAAACTATACTGTATTTCTAAACCTGTAGCTCTGTTGATAAGCCACATCTATGTATACCATCACCGATTCCATTCAAAAATTCCGATTAAATTTTGTTCAGAATCATGTAGATATTAGACTCATGGGAGAGAAGTACATCGATGTGATAAGGCGATAAAGAGCCAAGAATGTCGGCGGGAAACGAAAACCACTAAACGCGTCGACACGCGTGACGCCCTTGATCTATCAATTCCGTGCGACTCCCTCCCCTATCCGACCCTGCCACTCTCCCCAGACTTCCTTCTCCCATCCGACATGCCCTGATCCGTCCGCGATATCTCAACGATTTACGACTGATAACCAACCATCCTCCAAGAATGGCCAAAGGACCATCCGAGGCACCGTCGCCCACGACCGCAACGCCTCCGTCCGCGGCGTTGAAACGCACCACGTCCAGCACCCAGAACATGAAAAGCCAGAAGTCGATTCTGGGGTTTTTCCAAAAGTCCTCGCCGTCCACGCCGTCCGCTGCGAGAAGCAGAGAGCCTGCCTCGTCGCCCGCTGAGAGGGCTTCCGCTCAACGTGGGGCAGGATCGGCTAAGAGTGTCGCGAAAAAAAAGAGTGTGCCGCAATTTACGCAGGACTTGCCTCCAGTTCCTAGTAGTGATTTGGTGGCTCCTGAAGAGGAAGAGGATAATGCGCCGGTAGGCATTGGATTCTGTATTTGCTAGATGGTGGGCTTGCTGACGGTTGTTTAGCCAGTGGATAAGACCGCGACGTCGCCGTCTCGCCGGGTAAGTTGATTTCTCATTTTCCTTCGCGTCGATATCATACAATACTGATTGGTGTAATTGCAGGCTAAGAAGCAAGTGAACTATGTCGAGTCCGACTCCGAGGGCGAAGGTGATGCCGATAAGATATTTCGCCCGACCGGTAGGAATGGCAGAGCGAACAAAAGACGGAGGCTATCCCCAGAAAGCGACGATGAGTTCGAGGGAGCAGAAGACTTAGATGGTGGCTCAGACGATGGTAAATCACTTTATACCAGTCCATTGCTGTTCTAGCGGAAACTGACGGTCTGCAGAGATGGACGATTTTATCGTCGCCGACGAGTCGGACGAGGAAGTCAAAGCACCAAAGAAACGCAAGCAGGCCTCTCAGCCGCGAAACAAATCCTCGTCTATGCCTCCCCCGCCGTCATCAGACCACGAGCTCGAGCTTGATATTCCGGAAGCATCCGGTGGCACCGCATTGAAATGGACGTACGACCCCAACAGCGCGGAGCCTCGCCAGGCCAGAGCCCCCCAACAGACACCGAAGAACCCCTCCAGTGCGAAGAAACAGAAAGCACATGTGACGGAGCCGGAGCAGCGCTACTCCTGGCTTGCGAATATTCGTGATATCGATGGAAATCCTGCCGGTCACCCTGATTATGATCCCCGCACGTTGTACATCCCGCCTTTGGCCTTTTCTCGGTTCTCGCCCTTTGAGAAGCAATATTGGGAGATCAAGCAGAAATTCTGGGACACCGTTGTCTTCTTCAAGAAGGGTAAATTCTATGAGCTCTACGAGAATGACGCCACCATTGGTCACCAGCTGTTTGACCTGAAGCTCACGGACCGTGTCAACATGCGTATGGTCGGTGTGCCCGAGATGAGCTTGGACCATTGGGCAAACCAGTTCGTAGCCAAGGGATTCAAAATCGCCCGCGTGGATCAGATCGAGTCAGCCCTGGGTAAGGAGATGCGCGAGAGAGATGGCAAGAAGCCAGGGAAGGAGGACAAAGTTATCAAGCGAGAACTGTCTTGTGTCCTTACGGCTGGAACTCTCGTCGAGGGATCCATGCTCCAGGATGACATGTCCACCTATTGTGTCGCCATCAAGGAATCAACTGTCAATGACCTCCCTGCTTTTGGACTGGCTATCGTTGACACCGCCACGGGTCAATTCTTCCTATCACAGTTCGTTGACGACGTGGACATGACTCGGTTCGAGACGTTCGTCGCGCAGACCCGTCCGCAAGAGCTGCTTCTGGAAAAGTCTGCGGTATCGCAAAAGGTCCTCCGCATTTTGAAAAACAATACGGGTCCTACGACGCTTTGGAACCACTTAAAGCCTGGAAAGGAGTTCTGGGAAGCCGACATCACGGTCAGGGAACTGGATGCGAGCGAATACTTCGTCTCGGATGATGCGGACAATATCCAAGCATGGCCTCCGGCCCTTCGCGAGGCTCGCGAGAAAGAGCTGGTCATGTCAGCTTTTGGGGCTCTGGTGCAATATCTTAGATTGTTGAAGATTGAGCGGGATTTAATTACCATTGGCAACTTCTCCTGGTACGATCCGATCAAGAAGACATCCAGCCTGGTTCTCGACGGTCAAACGCTCATCAACATGGAAATCTTCGCAAACTCCTATGACGGAGGCTCGGAAGGGACGCTCTTCCAGCTTCTCAACCGCTGCATCACACCTTTCGGGAAACGGTTGTTTAAGCAGTGGGTTTGCCATCCACTGGTGGATGCAAAGAAGATCAACGCGAGACTGGATGCCGTGGAAGCTCTCAATGCTGACCCTACCGTTCGGGATCAGTTCTCGTCGCAGTTGGTCAAGATGCCCGACCTCGAACGTCTCATCTCCCGCATTCACGCAGCCAACTGCAAAGCGCTGGATTTTCTGCGCGTACTGGAAGGCTTCGAGCAAATTGATTACACCATGAGCCTGCTCAAGGACACTGGCTCGGGCGATGGGGTTATTGGCCAACTGATCAACGCGATGCCCAACTTGCAGGATCTGCTGGAATACTGGAAAACCGCATTCGACCGCTCCAAGGCGAGAGAGCATGGAATTCTTGTTCCCAAGCCGGGGGTGGAAGAGGACTTTGACACATCTCAGGAGCATATCGAGCAGCTGCACAAGGACCTCGATGATCTCCTGAAACGCGCACGGCGCGAACTTGGCTCCAGCGCCATCTGCTACAGGGACAACGGCAAAGAGATCTACCAGATGGAGGTGCCCATCAAGGTAAAGAACGTGCCCAAATCTTGGGACCAGATGTCAGCCACCAAGCAGGTCAAACGGTACTACTTTCCCGAGCTGCGCAGTGTGATCCGCAAGCTGCAAGAGGCCCAAGAGACACACAGTCAGATAGTCAAGGAGGTTGCTGGACGATTTTATGCCCGATTTGACGAGAATTACGCTGTTTGGCTGGCGGCCGTTAAAGTTATCTCGCAGCTGGACTGTCTGATCAGTCTGGCCAAGGCGTCTGCCTCCCTGGGTGAGCCCAGCTGTCGTCCTCAGTTTGTGGAAGCCGAGCGAAGCGTTCTTGAATTCGAAGAACTGCGCCACCCGTGCCTCCTCTCGTCTGTTGACGATTTCATCCCTAACGATATACAACTCGGCGGCGAACGCCCTAACATCGATCTGCTTACCGGAGCCAACGCTGCTGGTAAATCCACAGTCCTTCGCATGGTATGTTCTACCCCATTATCTCCCACGAGGGAAACATAAGGAAATAGAAACTAACTAACCCACCCAGACCTGCGTCGCAGTCATCATGGCCCAAATAGGCTGCTACCTCCCCTGCGAATCCGCACGCCTCACCCCCGTCGACCGCATCATGTCCCGCCTCGGCGCCAACGACAACATCTTCGCCGCGCAATCAACCTTCTTCGTCGAGCTCTCCGAGACCAAGAAAATCCTCTCCGAAGCGACCCCCCGCTCCCTCGTCATCCTCGACGAGCTCGGCCGCGGCACCAGCTCCTACGACGGCGTAGCAGTCGCACAGGCCGTCCTGCACCACGTCGCGACGCACATCGGTGCGCTCGGCTTCTTCGCCACACACTACCACTCTCTCGCCTCGGAGTTCGACAACCACCCCGAGATCGCGCCCAAGCGCATGAAGATCCACGTCGACGACGACAACCGCCGCATCACCTTCCTTTACAAGCTGGAGGACGGCGTCGCGGAGGGCAGCTTCGGCATGCACTGCGCGTCTATGTGCGGTATCCCCGAGAAGGTCATCCAGACTGCTGAGAATGCTGCTCAGCAGTGGGAGCACACTAGTCGGCTTAAGGAGAGTCTCGAGCGTCGTAAGGGCGGCGGCTTCGTTGCGCTGGGCTGGTGGAGTGATGTCGCTTGGGCTTTGCGCGAGTCGGATTCTACGGCTGAGACGGATGAGAATAGTGGGGAGGCCAGTGAGAGGAGCTTGGAGGTGCTTCGTAGAGCTATCGAGGCGTTGTGAGGGTCGATTTATAGACTTTCTCAATAGCCTGTGCTCTGCTTATACGTTTTAGTATTATGGATCGGCGTGGTTTGTTTTATTTGATTGACATATGATGTGATCTTTGTTGTTACTTTTGTCGTTGTTTTTCTTTTTCTTCTATACATGCTCGATGGTTTATAAGGATGTGTGGTCTTCAGCGGTGGAAAGCTAATGGGTTTGAATTATATGGTTTCGGGTATATACCCTTGAAAATGACACTTAGAGTGGAATCTAGATATGAATCGCATTTTCGAAACATGGTGAACTTGCTTTGAACTGAATCCCATTTCTTCATTGTGGATAAACTTGCTCTTGCGCTTGCTCCTCGAAAACTGAACTGAAACTGTAAACGCCAGCGATAACCGCATTCCTACCCACTCCTCTATCACCTGTCTCCACTCTTCATTCTGCATTAAAAAAAGCGCAAACCCGCCTTGAATGGCCATGGTCCACCAGGTCGTAGCCTTTGAAGCAGTTCAGACTAGTCCCCTGTAAGAAAAACAAAAGAAAGAAAGAAAGAAGGGCGGCAAAAACTAGAGATCCACTTCATGCTCGACATCCTCCATCTTGATGGCAGCGCGGGCATCGTCACCCAGATGATTGAGCTCTGCATCCAGTTCGGCGTTGGTCATGATCGCGTCGCCGTCATCCAGCGCGCCCTTGACGATCAGCTCACTGGTGGTCGTGGAGTCGCTGTCTTCGCATTTCAGGGTCGGACGGGAAGATGTCAGGGCGCTTGTTTCGCCTTCGACTTTGATGCCTTTGTGAGGATTGCTGGTCATCGATGGGACTCCGGTGTTGCTATATTTTCACGGAATGGTTTGTTAGCGGACGTTCTGTGATGGATTTTGAACAAAATTGATGGATGTGTCATACCCAGTTTCAATGTTGGGCGCAGGAGTGGAAGCCCCTGCCTTCTTCGCGGGGGTCTTTCTCTGGCGTTTGGGTTTGGGAGTCACGACTTCATCCTCCGTGCCGCCGCTCGGATCTGTCTCCGCAGCTGCGACTTCCTTCTTGCGGCGCTTGGTTGGGGTCTTTTTGGGAGTAAGCGCAGGGGCTGCGGTGTCATCGGCGGGAGCAGCGGCGTCTGCAGCAGTGGGCGACAAGGAGTCTTCTCCGGGATTTTTCTCGAAGAGAGCCTTCCTAGCGACGCGGTACATAGTTTTGGCTGAGGCGCCGTTCTTGTAGTTGCCTTTCGCGGCCAGCCTGTCACCGTCCAGCTGCGGGTGTTGTGTTAGACTCGTGGCACTATACTGGTGGGCTGGCCTAGAGACATACCTTGCCAGTCTTGTCGGTGCACAGTATACCCAGGAGGAGGACTTTCGCCTCCGCCACTGAGAGACCCACGAGGCCTTCGGGTTTTCCTTTGGTCGCCATGGGTTCGTATTTGGGAAAGCGGCTTGACTGAATGAAGGGTATGATAGGGAAGTACAGGGGAAGAAGAGAACTTTGTGGAGAGAGATGGATGGTAGTAGAGAGGTGAAGATGTGAAGTGAGGAACGGAGATGTGAAGAGAAGGAAAGAGAAACCCAGCTGAGAAGGGGAATTATGAAACAGGTGATTATAAGTCCAGCGGCAGGGAAAGTGAGTGAAAGGACAGGTGAAGCAAAAGTGAAGTGTCTTCCTCAGTCGTCTCAGCTGGCCAGTGAATGACAGACGTCGATGAATGAACTGGGCTTGGGTGCCCGATTGACCGTGTCAAATCAACCACCCATTCAATTTCTGGCAAACAAGAACCCACGAGAACCAAGCCTCGGCACTTTCATCAATGGAAACTGATGACAACAAGAAGAAATGATTTCCGGGTATGTTTGAATCCTGGACGCTGTGGTATTTCCTAGAACTACAAAGAGCTGTTGCAAGAGGGACTCGAAACTCAGAATCAGGTCCGGCGGGTATTATTCTGGATCTGCTCGTATACATGATCCCACAGCCCGGGCCAGTAGGCCGGCGTTTGTTTGCCTTTCTTGGTGGTCGGGGGAGCATAGAATACATCGGGCGTCCCCTTCAACGTAAGAGCGGGCCCACGCTTAGTGTCGCGAAAGCAGACCGGGCGAAGGGTCGACTTGCCAGGGACGAGGTCACCAAGACGAACCGTGGTGGTGCGGGGAACAAAGGTCGCATCCGTGGTGATTATACTGAGCGTCGCTGTCGGCGGCAGGTTCTTCGCGTATTGTAGGGTTTGGTCCCTCGATCGTCGAGCAAACATGGGGAGGGAGAGATAGATAAAGTTCACAAAGGGTGCAGAGGTCCAAGTGACCACGAAGAACGGGATCGTGGATCCTATGGCAACTGTAGAATTTGGTTAATCAATCATATCCAACCCTGGAGGGAAGACCGTGGAGACTGACGGGTTGTCGCTAGCCACAACGGGAGTTGGCCTTCTTGATAGGCCGGCACGATGAGCAGGCCCGAAGCTACCATAAGGCAAAGGGCCGTGATCCGTATGGCCCCTAGATAGAGCGGTTTGGTCGTTCCAGCATGGAAGATCAAGATGCGCTCCGGCATTCCTAGACGATCTGTTTCAGCACCAACCTCCAACCTTCCCGAATATGGTGTGGGAACCCCGTACCTCCGAGGCCTTTCCGAAGGGCATTGTGCCCATGCGCCGTCGACGACTTGTTAACGGCGCGAAGCGGTACGGCATCCGTCTGTTTCGTTTTGAGGTATGGGACGTCGTTCCTGGGCGGTTTTGGGGCGGCGTTCGTTGTCTTCAACCGGGGAAACCATTGACTGGTGAGATCTCTCCGCACGGCGCGAGGGAGCGAGGCCCGCAGAAGCGGACTGAGTAGGATTTGGCGACTCATGATGGGCTCGAGGACATGACCTGCCCCCTGTAATGGTGTATACTGGTGTCGGAGAAAAGAACAGTCGAAGGATGGAAGAAAGAAATGGATCGGGCAAGTTTGGGGGAGGAAAGATCTCCGAGAATTAAGCCGGCTTGGCGTCGATTTGGCCTTTCTTTCATCTCCGTCGCGGCTTCATCTCCACTTCCTCCTTCAATCCCTTCACGTCGATATTTCCTGTCGCCATTCCATACACGTCCTCTTCCCGTCGTCTACGCCAGATCTCGATTCAGGCAATGATCGCGCCCTCACCCGCGCTCTGAATCGCCATGTTGTCGGCCACCGGGGGCCTCTACCATCCCTTTCTCTCGATATGCCTCGCGCTATTCCTCCTCCTCATCCCCGGGGAAGCCTACAAGGACATCTCCGACGCGACATTGACCTCTCTCCCGCGACCGAACGGCGACTTCGACATCCAGAACGGGGCTCTCCTCGCACCGATCCTCCAACCCCGCGTCCCCGGCACCCCTGGCGCAACAGCCGTGCTCGAACACCTCGTGAACTATGTCCGAACCACGCTCCCCAATTGGCACATCGAGCTGCATAACTCGACGTCAACGACGCCCGTCTCGAAGGGTAAACCGGTCAAGTTCGTCAATGTCATCGCCAGCCGCGACCCGCCCTGGGCTAACAAAGGCGACATCGGCCGTCTGAACCTCGTCGCCCACTACGACAGCAAGCTCGAACCCACGGGCTTCATCGGCGCCATCGACAGCGCTGCCCCCTGCGCCATGATCATGCACGCCATGCGCAGCATCGATGCGGCCCTGACAGCCAAGTGGGAGAAGATGCGCGTGGCCGGCCACACGCTCGAGGACGCGGAGGGCATCCAGGTTATATTCATGGACGGGGAAGAGGCCTTCCAGAGCTGGTCCGACGATGACTCCCTGTACGGGGCGCGCGCGCTGGCCGAGCAATGGGACTCCGAGGTCAACCCGGCGCTGTCGACCTACAAGACGCCACTGTCGTCGATATCAGTGTTCATGCTGCTGGATCTGCTGGGAGCCAAGGACCCCACGATCCAGTCCTACTTCGAGGCCACGCACTGGGCGTACAAGAAGCTGGCGGCGCTGGAGCGCCGCTTCCGCGCCCTGAAGCAGTTCAAGTCGACGACGCCCCGGCCGTGGTTCCCCGACGCGGCCAAGTCCGAGAGCCAGCTCCCGAAGTCCCTCGGCATCGGCGATGACCATGTGCCGTTTCTGCACCGTGGCGTGGAGATCTTGCACATCATTGACGCCGCCTCTGGACCGGGGATGCCCTTTCCTGCGGTGTGGCACACCATCGACGACGATGCGGAGCATCTGGATATGGACACCGTGGAAGACTGGAGTATGCTTGTCACGGCATTTGCGGCCGAGTGGCTGGAGCTTGAGGACTACATGTCGGCTAGCGGCGGGAATAGCTCGACAGAGGACGCGGGGCATCAGAATGAGAAGCATTCGAACTGGGCTAGGAAGACTGAATTGTAAGCTTTGCCCTGGAATCTGTTTGGCTTTTGATACTAGTACTGCACGATGCATCTCCCCTGCTTTGTAGGTTTTACGATTCATTATGAATGTATCACTCATGGCTTGAGTAGCGCTGATGGTAATTTACTTGCACAGCTCTTGATTGGCGCCTTTGCTTTTCTTGTTCTTGTATTAGGAACCGATTGCCAGGCTTGATACCTAATAATACATTTCCGGTGTTGTTGTCGCTTTTGCTATGTACGCGTGGAAAGACCCGGCTTATCATAATGAACCGCGGAACTTCCGATATCTACAATGCACTGCCCAGCATGAATCCCGCCATCTCTGCCACTCCCCACACGGGCTGCAGAACCGCGCGCAGGACCGCAGGACCCGGGCACACTCCCCGTAATCCCCAGGCGAGCCCGAAGGCCGCGGCGCCGGTGACAAACCGCCAGTCGATGTCGGCGACGGTGGCCGTGGGCAGCCGCCAGGTCTCCGCCAAAGTGGGCTTCGTAGGCTTGTCTGCGCTGTCACTCGTGTCCTGGCCTGGTTTCTTCGATAGGTACGTGATCAGGGACGGCCCGATGCCGAACAGAATGATGAGGGCTAGGGACGGATCGAAGCGGGACGGGTCCGTCAGGATGGCGAAGAAGCGCAACACCTTGGCCGGGTCGGCCATGCCGGAGAAGATCAGGCCGATACCGAACTGCAGACCGGCGATGTACGAATAGATCGTTTTCGACTTTTCGGATCGCTTCAGGACGCGCGGCACGACGATGAAGTTGGTGATGAAGGTGAGGATGGTCGTTCCGATCATGACTGCCAGTTCGTGGCTCGACGGATAGACGGGCGTGTAGCAGGGAATGCCCCCCGCGCAGGCCGGGATGTTCTGACCTCCGCCGACGAAGTTGGCCGTGAGCAGGGCGGTCGTGAAGAAGATGGCGGTTGCAATCAACGAGCGCGGGGACAGACGCGAGAGACCACACAGCATGTGGCCCGATGTGCAGCCTCGACCGTTCTAGTCATTGTCGTGTCTGATTAGCCGATGCCTCCCCTCTCTGGTTGCCATTCCACACTATACCTTTGTTCCCCAGCCCAGCAAGAATCCAGTCCCGACGGTAGATGCCAACGCGGCCCACGTGGACGGCGAAGCCGGATATGACGGGAGCAAGGACGGGGCGAACAGATAAACCGGGGCAATGCTGGAAACGAGGCCCGCGATGATGGGCACATTGTCTTGGTTGGGGTTCAAGACGCACCCTGACAGGAAGGACGAGATACCGAAGACGGCCCCATTGTGCAAAAGCAGGCCGGAGGAGCCCTGATAGAGCAAAAGAGCGCCCAGGGAGGTATGAACCGGGGTGAACATGGTGCTCAAGTGTGTAGGAACCGAGATTGAGCGATAATCGTGCCGACCCCTCACTCTATATCAACTCAAGGTAGAAATAAAAATGAGCGAACAGATGCGCCATCCCAACTTGTGAAGTAAGGGATTCAATTTTTACTTCCCCGGGAAGAGGAGATAATCGGGGACCATCAATTATTAACTCTCATGGCGTCAACGACTTCCGAGAGTCCGGAGAGTGTGGAGATGGTCCCCGAGCCTGAAGTGAACCTTGGGTCGGCCCATGGAATTTCGAATCGTGGTGAATGGTGACGGGTGAAGGGGTTGGCATGTTAAGAGGTATTCAAGTTGTCAGGTATGACGGCGCTTTTTCAAGTTATGATACAATTCTCTGTTTAGGATGAACCCTCGAGTTGTACTCCGTACCAGATCATAATTACCAAATGGAGTCGGCGATCGGCTTCCCCGAGGTTCAAAGGTCCCCGATTCCACATATTGTTCTGCACTAGGTCCATTTTGTAGAATTTATTGACAGTAATGACCGAAATGAGGATCATGCCAGTCTTTTTTGACGTTGACTTATCAGCAAGGCAGGCCGCGCGCGCGGGCATGACACCGTAGTTCAGGAAAAACATACTAAATCACTCCAAAATCGGCCTCCACCCACGTCTTGGCAAAAACCCTTGCACACCCTCATCCTCGAGGATTTCCTTCCCCAATCTCCCCGTCACAATACTCCGTTCTACCTCAGGTCCTCGAACGTAGAACGGCTCGAAGCCCAGCATCTGTTGGTGGTTCGCATCCAGCTGCCTTGTCCACCGCTTGCCAGCCGGACCAGATCCCGGCTCGTCCTTAAACCCGGAATTAGTTCGGTCAAGAGTGAGAAACCAGCGGCGTTGGTGGATCGACCCGATGGTGTTAACGGAGCCGGGGTAGGCATTCTCGGCGCGAATCTTAGTATCTACCTCGTCGTTCTCATCGTCCGAATGGTCTGGGAGCTTTTGGGTGCCTTCAGTGTTGGAGTCTAGGCTTGATGATTCGGGTGGAGGTGTGCTGGCTTGTCTGGTAGGTTGCGGTATGCGTCTACGTCGTTTACGAGGTGTCCGCGGCGACTGTCCCTTGATATTGCTAGATTTGTCGAGACGCAGGGTGACGGTGTAGTTGAGCGGCAGTCGAGTGCCATGTAGCCGGAGACGGATTTTGCGCTGTCAAATAGTGAGTAGCGCATACAACGCATGTTAGCTGGATAGCGCTCATACATCCTGAAAAGCTTGGAAGAGCTTCTCGCTCTCGCCCCTGTCATCTACTGGACTAGACGCCGGGACTGACGAGTCATCGGTCCCGGAGTCATCGGTTTCCGGGCCTACCAAGTCCATCTTGTAGGGAAGGATTTCATATTCTCCCGTATCCCAGATAAGCATACTACCTGTTCTGGCAGATGCAGTTTCAATCAAATGGTTCTGTCCCTGTCAGCTTCTTCATCTTTCACGTTGATGTCCCCATCAAGAGGAGCCAGAAACACACCCACAAGCAATGCACTCTCGTCTCAGTTGCGTTGCGGTTCAGACGCCGGGTGTTGGGGTCTCCTGGAAGGCCGTACATGATTGACCAGCTAACGGAGCTGGTCTCGGAAAATTGCAGCCGGAGATCATAATGCACCCCCGCAATGGGGTGATCGTGTTGGTGGACGACGAAGTGTCGTCCCTTGGGATGAAGATTACGCCTGTATAAGTCTAGCCACGCTGCAACATCTAGACGGGGAGACCCAGGTAAAAATGAGCGAATGCATTGGGTCAGTCGTGAAGAGATGATGGCCGGATGGTCCGTGACTTGAACTTGGCCAGCTTCGATGGCGGCTAGATGGGGATGTTTGGCGGGGGTGGATCTCTTCCGAGGAGGCGATACGGATGCATGGAGACTGGACAGAACGCGTGTGCCTTGTTGTTCTTGCGGAGATGACGGACGGGTGTGGGATTGGTGACTGCGTTTCATGACTTGAGATATCCTATAGAGTGGTGGGAGAAAAGCAGTATAGAAGAATGACGGCGGAGTTGGAGTTCTTGGCGGGGAATGACAGAGCACATGATCTCTCCATTTCCCTTCCTTCGTCACCTTTTCCTCCTCCATTTCCACGCATCAATCAAGTCAGTTCCTCGCGTCGAGTCAGTCACTCCGCAATTTTGGAAACGAGAGACTGGGAAATGCAAATCCCGTTCTCACTCCTTGGTCCATGACGGGCCAATGATCCCGTTCAGGCCATTGCGCAGATGATTGCCAGCCACCTTGATTTCCTTACCACAAAACTACAGATATATTCGGGCCGAAAATTAGAAATTGAGAAATCCAGCTGACGCTTCTAAGTGAGATGATCCGCTGTGGAACTCATGAACAAGGTGGATCTCCACACTCTTCCAGCCCTGGCTGAGAACTAGCGCCATTCAGATCGCAAGCCGCACGAGACCATCGGGTTTTGATGATGCAATTGGTGTTCAGGTTTCAGCTCAGATCTCAATATTTGAAAGTCAAAGGCTCTTGGGCTCAGCTCGGTGGATTTGATTTTGGTCCGTGCTGTTTGACATGGCCAGTCAGTTCCTTGTTGTCTGGTTTAGTTCCTTGTTGTCTGGTTTGCTACTACGTGGAGTAGGGTAAGTGGAACTTGCATGCTCGTGTTACATTCACATTCAATCGCTCTGTCGATGGGCTTTTCGAATACTTCGGCAATTTATCAATGCGATTAGCCCGGTGGTAACGATCGTAGATCTGTTCAGGCCATCTATCGATCAAGATAGATCGGTTGATAGATACCATTGAGACGCTTAGTCCAGGCCAGTGATGAGCTAATGGCTTTGGAAAGCGTATGATCGGCATGTGTAGCTGAACTACTTGGCGCAGTGAGGTTGTCACTATTAGTCCGTACGGTGTGACAAGATCTCCTAATAGCGAGTCAGAGGAAAGGGTGGTTGCGACAAAATTCCCTCTTACGCAGGACATGGACGAAGAACAATCCGATGGGTGGTTTTTTGAACTATAAAACCGGATCCCGTCCCGTGGAAGGAAGTCATCATTCACTCAGTCTCTCTCAGATTTCGGTTATTCAGAATGCGATTCCTTGGTCTCTTTCCCTCGTACAGCTTGGGTGCTTGTCTGGGAGTCCTTCTATATACTGGGGCTGCTGTTGCCGATGTATATGACGGGGGCTGCACCGGAAGCTCCTCTGTCAAGCTGCGTATCGGCAACGGTGGTGCTGGCCAAAGTGGCCTGGTCAAGGGTGAGTTGCTTGTCTACCTGAAACAAAACGAGACCTCTCGCAATGCTAATAGTTTATGAAACGGCAGAGCTTTCTGACAGATTTATCAAGAACCAGACAGATGATTGCCGCAGTCACAATCTCTTCAAGGTGGAGTGGGTCAAAGGTGATACTACGGAAACCATAAGCAATATGGGCGCCGGCAAGGTCGATATCGGAATCACCTACAGTGCTGCAGCCGAAGAAATTGCCATCAAGTCCGGTACTGCGAAGGGCTGCAAATATCGTGGGAATGCCACCAGCGGAATGCCCTGCTTCGGCGAGTGCAAGGGACATACTGAACGACCATGCTATACTTTCCGCGATCACTTCTACCTAGCTGGTCCAAAGAACAATACTCCAGAAATCACGAGCTCTGATGATATCTCTGTCACCTTCTCAAAGCTTTACAACGCGGCCGAAAATGGGACAGCCCGTTTCCTCAGCCGGTACGACAAGTCGGCCACCAACATCAAGGATGCGCAGCTCTGGATTAATATCGGACAGGTTCGTCGCTATTTTGATTTCGATGCCAACTGATAGCGGGTGTTAGGCTCACACAGAAACAGGTTCCGTGGGCGACTGCGTACTCAAAGTGGTACCACCAATATGTTGCCTACCCTGTCCAGGCTTTGAAGGCAGCGATTCTGCTAGAAGAGTTTACCATTACCGACCGCGGAACCTTCCTCACCCTAAGGGATGAAAACGAAGGCCTCACCAACAGGGCCAAGATCTATAAGAGCGGGGACAAGGTGTCTGAGCTTCTCAACCCAGCGGATATCATCATCTCCACGAAAGCCAAGGGCGAGACAGACCAGCTGGCCATGGCTTTCATAAAATGGGCCCTCGGTGGCGAAGGCCAGGCGGTCATTGCCAATTTCCAGAAAAAAGACAAGTACTGCTTGTACAAGGGCTACCCGGGAGGCCCGACGGTCAGTCCATCGTGCAAGTGGGATATTGAGGGACAAAGTCGTGAACCTGATCGTTTGGACGGCCAGTTTGACCTCTGATTCCACCCACTGATGCATAATCACACCACACTAATCTGAATATATGTCTATGTTTGAACCTTTGATCAATTGGATCAAACGCCGGGGTTGGCAGATGTGGTGTTCGGGGTTGGTCCCGTCGGTCTACTGTGCGGCGCGGTTGCGCGGGCTTTCGGGGCAGCAAAATTGCTTTCCGCATCTTGTGGGGACTAGGCGTACAGAAGAACCAACAATGGCAAGCATATAACATCTTATACAGTACGTGGTAGTACTGCTACTGCCGTTACCGGATAGATATTGGTGAAACAATTTGATATGTTAGTACTGGCGAGGATACATGAGCAAATCAGCCCCTCTTTGCCGAGGCCGTGGGCTGACAAGGGGTGTGTGAGTTGCAGTCTATCTCCAGCATCTGAGCGTTTTTACACTAGGTCATCCTGCCCATGTGTAACTCCATCAAACTCCACACGATCAATTACACGCCCGGCGCTACGAGCACCAACTAAGGGTGAACAGGCTCGCAAGATCTGGGCACAAACTCCTTCTGTGCCCCATCCTTTCGGGACCAAGCAGAGTAAATAGTAGCACCTATCATCGCTTTCGAGTTGTTGCGCATCGATCCGTAAATTGCTGCTTCTAGATATCAAAGTCAATGGTCCTGGCGAATTCGATTTCTTGGAGCGTGCCCAGACAGAATTATAGTTTTCGAGTTCCCGACTTCTCCGGATATGCCAGGTTGGATCATCAGTGGGGCAAACACCTTCCAAGAAAGGGAACACCGAGCTAAGTGATGGCAGAGATAAAACTAGAGAAGAATTGATCAGGTCATGGGTGAAAACAAGGGGAAGGGAGAAACAGACCATCAGGCCGAGTCATCACTTTGAGGACGATTAGCTCCAATGCTTCATCCGAAAGAGAACCGCAGGGCGAAGCAAGAACATTTTTCCTAGTATCCTGAACAGATTCGAAGAGGTGGTCCCGTAATTCTAACCTCTCAGCACTAGGTGCGGCTTAATCTTTGTCTTCGTAGGCTGGAAAGATCACCCTTACCGCTCATAGATCTGATCCTCAAGCTCCTCGATGTCGCACTGCGATATCTCCTTCAACGGCTCAGGCCGGCGAAAATCCATCAGGTAAGTTCGCACAGGGGTAAATGTGTATGCCATAAATAGTAAAGCACGGTGTCGTAGAAGTCTCCGAGAACCCTAAAATGATCGTCTCGCACATCGCCATGGGTGATCCCAATCCGATATAGTGTCATGAGATGACGAAATTGGTTAGCAAGGAGTGGACCGTACCATTTCTTTTCCGAATCGCTGGATCGTTTGACCGACTCCGTTGTAGAACTGGGATGATCTGCTGCTAAGATACGTCGAGAAGCCAGGCGCGGCTGGATAGCCTTGAGTATAATTGCACGGCGGTAGATACACACAAAAGTAAACATCGACTTGTCCAGATCGTTAATCACGCTGTGAAATCGGGGGAAATATGGCCTCTCTGAGCTGGTACAGAGTTCATCGATTCGACGAAATGCTCTCGCCTCCGCGAAGAATGGAGCTCGTCCCTCGAATCTTCTACTTTCCGACGTCTAGAGGGGATGCGTCGAAGCTGGGCTGCCGCGTCCTTTACTGTATAATCAGGGAACTGCATCCTAGACATCAGTTCTCGACTCAGAAACCTGCCAGACTAGATGACTCACCACCTTGGCCACATAGCTGACCACAGATCTGCCGTGGGATTCCGTGATGACCTGCAAAACCTGGTTGCAATCTGGGCCCGCATATGTCGTGCGTCTCACTGATTTCCATTACATCCATGATACTCGTGCTGGAGCTTTTTTAGTAGAAGAGTGAGGCCCTTAGTGGAGATGACGTTCCAGTTACGTTGAGCACGTGGGAGTCGGGCCGAGACCAGATTCCGTACGGTACCTGTTAACGAAGTATATAAAGTGTATACCGGTGCCGTAGTGACTGAAATCCGATGTTCGACTCAACTGTGAATTGCCTGTGGCTTAGGAAAGGGTTGTCAGAGATCAGTGGACCCAAACTGACTGTTTTTCCTCAGTCACTCGTTCGGTGGTCATATCTATACAAGAGTGTACGCCAAATATAGAACAAGGACACCACAATAGAGCACGTCAACAAAGATAATATTTGACTAACCATCCTAATAAGGACTTATCACAATGATAAATCAATATCAGCCCCGCCCTCTAATAATCGCCAGTAGGCGCTCCGCTACGACCCGGAACATGCTGACCGTGAAAGCCGAATGCCACGGGTCCATCCACATCAGCTCGACCAAGCTCACTCAAATTGCGGGCGTCTAGACACAGAAGGTAGCTCTTGCCGCTAGGGCCATTCAAAACAACACTCAGAAGTACACCGTCATCCTCGTTAGTACCGTTCGGATCCGCGACGAAAATCGGCTCGCCTGGCGAGTGTGCCTGGTCTCTCCAGGTCTGAAACGTTTTGGTCTCGCTGTCGAATTTCATGATCCCGTCGAAAAAGGTCGACTCGCTCGTGTCGATAATGCCGTAGGTGTAGCGGTGCTTCCGGGTGGTATATCTGGGGTTCATGGTGGGCAGTTCCGGCGAGAGTTCCCTGCCTTCTGACCATTCCACTGTGGCGGGTCGGGCCCCCTCCGTTGGCGTGGTGGGGATGTTAGGGAGCCGGAATCGGGTCAGGCTTGACCGAGCCTGCTCTGACCGGAGCTTCACATATTCTTTGGCCTTGGGGGACGATGACATGAGCCGCTCGTAGTATACGGACTTCACGAACTCCTGGTTTTCAAAGGTCGCTATTTCCGCGACGATGTCGGTCTTGCTGGGGTCGTTGGGCGATGATTCTTGCCATGCGTTGATGGTATGGAAGCAGAAGAATGGCGCGCTGTCGTAGGTTGCAACGAGCCCTTTGTCGGTCTTGCGATCGACGAGGTACCATTTGGCCGGCTGAGATGGATCAAACGGCTGCATCGCATCTACGAAGTTGCCTGTCTGGAATTTGGCGGGAGACAGATGCGAGTTCCACACACAGAGGATTACATAGTCTTCGGTGATCAGGAGCGAATGAAGATACGCCGGAACCGCGGAGAAAGTCGCCAGTATATCTGTTTTTCCGGTAGAGGCAGAGACGCGAAAGATACGGTACGTGGGAAGTGGTTCAAATCCCAAGTTGAAGTTGAACACATCCCCCGTTTTGGGGTCAGACCGTGCATGCGACGCCGTCAAAGGACCCTTCAGGTCGGGATGAAAGTTTCCCTGCGATGCAATCCCAATGGGCTCCATGGTCTCGGGGTCAAGCTGCTTGAATGCGTTGTAGTCTGTCTTCGCGTACAGACTCTTGATGCCGGACGAGGTGTTCCACCGCCCGTCTGCGACGCTGCTGCCGTCCAATGCCCCCAGACCAGGCATGTTCACGGAGAGCGTCACGCCAACGTTGACCTCGGACGGCGCAGGGACATACTCCGATTGAACCTTCTTGTAGGCTTGCTTGCATGGGTCTTGCTTCTGTCCGAAACCCAGGCGCTCGCCCCTCCCTGTCTTCCGCACTTCTTCCATCAATTTGTCCGTGGAGAAACGGGAATTGTAATAAACACGCATGGGAGAATCCGCATTCTCCGTGGCAACAAGTTGGAATCGGTGTGTCTGGGAGAACCCATCGAACCAATGGTCTACTTTGAACGACCCACCCTGCTCTGTGTCGACTGTCCGTTTACCCGGACCAGTGCGATAGAGAATACCGGCCACATAGGGTGGAATTTTGCCAGTCACAGGCAGCTCGACCGGATCTTTTTGCTCAAAGCCCGCATCGAACTGCAAAATAGGTAAGTAAGAATAAATCTAGGCGTGGGGCGTTTGGAACTTACCCCTTGGTCATTAGGCCAGTTATTGAAGTGATCGGCGGTTGCGTGTGGCGACATCTTTGTTCGACAGTTGGCTTGCCGTGCGATAAATTGTGGGTTTATGGAAGAGAATGCAGAGGACGGTTATATGCTGAACAAGATCTTCTTGACCATGGGCGCAACCATGAAGTATTTATGGGCCAGGGACAAGAACGGTGCCATTGATAAACACAGCACATCATTGGCACATGAAACGTCCGTCCCTGACTTGCCCCGCGTGGAGAAATCCCGACGGTGGAGACACTAATCACCAGCGGGAGACGGCAAAGGCTGAGAGCTTATGCGACGGTCGTTTCCTTTTTTAGACGAGATGATGGGCAACTATATAGCAGGTTGTTTCTGTAATCATTTGGAAAATGCTGATGCCTCCGAGGTTGAAGTCCGTGGATCAATCCAGAGTCTCCTAGCATGAGGGCCGAGGCTTCGGTCCGGTAGAGTTCAATTCTAAGCTTTCATTTTGTTCCAAATTGCTTCCCTATTGTAATTGATTGAGACCAATCTGTTCATCTTCGCGATCTGGTCTTCCCACATTCTCTTGCCTGAACACGACCCCGACGGAAGTTTGGACCCTGCTCCATGATGTATACCAATAATATTACGTCATTCGACATGAGCATGCAGCTAACCAAGTTAGGTAGAGCGACTGTGTGCTCTGTACCAGGCATGCACAGGTGGGAGGAGGGTCTGTAGTCCAAGATTCCACTGCTTTGCATTGTGACCTTGGCTGTCCTCTTCAATGGGCTTCTCGTAGTCATCATCTGCGGAAGGACAACCCGCACGCCGGACACGGGAATCAGGCTCATGACTCTCGGAGAGACGTTGATAAGTGCACTGTTTTTGTCGGGATTGACACTCCACACAAGGCAATTCTCCGCTACACGACTTCTTCAAACCGGCGCAGCTATCGCATGCCTTTTTGCCCTTCCCACCTGGCCGCGGGTCTGGGATAGCCCTGCCAGATTCTTTGCGCACGGCGCAAGTCTTCCAGTGCCGACGTAGTACATCCCTTGGTGACAACTCCAATCAGTAGGTTGTTACTCGCTTTCAATTAAACACAGGCGGTTTGATAGTAGTGTCCTACCCTCGTTTGAACGGTGCCTCGCAAAAGATACATTTGTAAGGCTTGTCCCTCGTGTCTAAAAATCACAACCATTTAAATTTTAGTATGCAATTCTTGCTCTCGCCAAAGGCCATTGACATACGCGTATCTAAGTGGCGTTTATAGTGATCAATGCGATGAAAAACCGATGAACAAACGCTGCATCTCCATGCCTCGTGCGCTTTCGGCGGCGTTGTGTCCGTCTGGGTAAGTCCATGATTCATATTAGAAAGCACAATTCAAACGACAAATTGTATGTCATCTTTTGACCTCCTCGGCAGAGGGGACAAGTCTGATCAATGAGTAACGAAGTGACGCTATGGTCAGACTGATGGATGGAGATGACAGGAGTGAGTGATGGTGACAAGTCATTTGCACCGGCGGGATTCCCCCACATGACTGTCTCCACTTGTGGCTTGGCGTCTTTACTTGGTTTTCGGTTTCTCATCGCTTGTCCCTCGGCTTCGCCAATTATGGCCTCTCAGGGATAAATGCGTTGGGATACGAAGAGAGTTTGCACTAAGAATACTAATTCTCGAGCTCACTGGAGCAATATACGTTGATATGGTCATTAGAAACATAGTGCCTTGAACCATGAAAGGCCGCTCACCGATTCAACAGTGCGACTTTTGCGGCATTAACCGACAAAAACTTGTACCAGTACATCATTACTCCATCCTGGGCTCAGGCCCAGGTCTTTCCATGCCGTCAACACGTCTATCATCAGGACTGTAGATTCATTGCCTCCCTGCTTCCACACTGTCTTCCGGGGCAGAGGTTCACCCAGTATCATCACCATAATGTGATCGTCGATGTCCCAGTCACGCAGATCAGAAAAATAGATCCCCAATTGCCCGAGGCCTTTGAGGCGGACTTCAAATCTGAGCCGCCCATTGGTCTCGACTTCAATGTCCGAGGTCCCGAGAGCTGCGACGCCGGTCATTTTGCCTAGTAGTCCGAGGATGGCAACTTTCGTTTCTCGCCCGTGTCCTCTTCGAACTCTGAAAGATTGGAGTGGGTACATGGTGAGGATTTCAGCACTTTTTGGCTCCAGTTGCACGGATACTAAGGAATCATGCGCCGCTGGCTGCATCGGTCGGGTGATTTTGCCGCTTGAGTGCGCTCGAACGATGTATTGGCCAGTGTAGCCCTCATGGATGCCCGGGAAATCCATCAGAGGAACTATGGCGGAGCTGCTAACGTCTGAGATGTTGAACAATCCTATTATTCCACTACCGGTTCGTGCCCACCCGGTGTAGCTACCCACACGCAGGATGTGACGCTCGTTAAAGTCATGATACATGTCAAGTGTGCGTCCCGCGAGATTTGGCCGCAGGGTGACCGTTCGTGCATCAACAGTAGGCATTGTGATCTCATTGATCAACGATCGATCATGCTCGCCTGGCACATCGGTAATGCAGATCGGGCCGCCAGACACACATCTTGCGGCCGCGTGAAAAGAGGCGTACGGATGACTAGTCTGGAACATGTCCCAGTCAGGAATCACGTTCAAAAATCTCGTCAGAAGGGCGTTATGCGCGTTACAGAAAACATGCCATGGGTGAGAGTCAGATATGTCGGGAAAGAAGTCATCGGAGTTTCGGAGAAGGATGCTGGGTTTGTTAGTCGGGAGCTGGGAGTGGAAGATAGCGTGAGGGAACATCGACATGGACGATATAGCCCTCGAGCTAAAATGCTTCAATGATGAAATAGACCAAGCGTCTTGGTAAGCGTTCAAGAAATTGCGTCGGTCCTCTGGATCTTGCAGAAGATCCAGAAAGAATTGCGCGTCTGTTTTGACGCTATCCACGCCAACGGATGTAAGGTAACCGAAGAAATCATCATAAAACTTCTGGACATCATCCGGATGCACGGCTAGCAGCGAACCTCTTTCGAATGCCTGAGCCATAGGCCCTCCTGCAGCCGGATTTTCAATGCTCACTTCTTTAGTCTTATACTTCTTCGCGATGTCTCCATCGGGGGAGATGCCACCCCAGTAGCCGAGCAATGCATGCCAGACGGCAATGTGTTCAATTTTCGGATGCACACGACGGATCGTATCTGTAGTTTTCTTGAGCCCCTGTGGGAAGGCGCTCGGGTTGCCCTCGAAATGTTTCCATCGACGCTTGAATTGTGACTCGCCCTCGCCATCTAGAGTCTGCCAATTATCATCGATAATAAGACTGCCGATGTTGATCTCCTCAGCTTTCAACGTGTCTAACGCGTTGAGGATCTTGTCCTCGGTCAGGTCCTGGCCTATCCCGTTCCAAGTGCAGTATGTCAGTCCGTCATACCACTCGGATAACCATTGTGCGTGAGGGTCCTTCTCTACCAGGACCTCGTCGTCTCCAGGGGGCGATACCGGAGTTGGGACTCGATAGGCTGGGCCATCGGTAGAATACGGTCTCGTCAGCTTCCGCGCCTCGTATACGACGGCAGACATGGCTATATCGAAATCATCCGCGACAGAAGCGAGGACCTGGAAGTCCGATGCATCGGTGTTATCACTTTGCGCTTTGACAGTGACCTCTCCGTGGTCTCCGGATCTCAACAAAGTCGTCACGTTATTTACTCCGGATACCGCCAGAAGGACAACGTGCACTCCATCCAAGCGAAGGAACGAACAGAACAGTGCGTCCTCATTCAACTTCAGCTTTTCTTTACCGTGTCTGGGGGCCAGCCACGGAGTCCACGACCGCACTAGCGCAAAATATCGATTTACCGAAGAGGGAACACCAAGTGAGATATTGGTCAACCCCGAATGTGACCCCTCCGCAGGATCAGCCTTCCCTGAAAGACACCATAGCCTCGAACCGGGGGATTCACTTTGGCGCGGTTCAACCCGAATCTCAGACGAAAGCTTCTCAAAGTACCTGGCAAGGTCTTCGCTATTCGGCAATTCAGACATCAGGTTGAACTGGGATTCTTCGGCGTTGAAGACGAGTTCTCCGTCCGCTACATGATACTTCTCGTTCACCCACTCCCAATCGGCGTCGGGACACGCTCGAAACCGAACCGTAAACTGGGCCGCTCCTCCATTCCGTGAAAGACCTATCTGTCCAGCAAATACATAACGGTAATTGCTGTAGCTGCTCTCATCCCCGTTCATCAACGGCGCAGTAGAGGAGGAGCACTTCTCGAGCAGAAGCGCTCCCCACTCAGGACCAGCGACGTTATGCCATATCTGCGCTTCCAAATTCTGCTCTGGAAATGTATTGCTTGATTCTATAACGACTGTGAACCGAATCTGTGAACACAATAAGCGGGTCAGTCCAGTTTCATATGCTTCAACTACCTAGTAGTTTTAAGCACTCACAACATCTTCATCGTTGCGACCCAGCGTTTTGTATGGTCTCTTTACACAGGTGACTTGTCCCAGAGGTGGATAACATGTCACTCGAGAGAACAATCCCATCTGCGCCGGACTTGCGAAATGAATCCGTGATGGGGTAGAATTGGGGCCCGGGCCGGTGATGGGAAGTGACGTAGTCTTCCCCGCTTTGGCCTGCATTGGGGTGTTTGGATTCCGCCCGACGAACGCGTATAGTGTTGGATAATAACGATAGTTTTCGATGGATGATTTTAAATAGAGGCAATCGTACTGTTCTAGACACTATATAATGATTAAGAACAAGGGCGTTGAGGTAGGGGGTGAGGCCGGTAATGCACGATGAGCTGGAGCGGTAGTGACGATGCGGTGAGGGGAAATGTGTACTAAATGTATCAAAGGGATGCCAGGGTATTATATAGGCAGAGGAAAAGTACCCGTAGTATAGATATACTCCCAGAAAACCAACAACCCTGCCGTACAACGTTGAATGCAGGGGACTACTTTTGCATCTACACGCACTACCCTCTTACATATACTAGTAGGATCAATATTTTGATATTCATTCGTGACACACATAATTGCCTGCTGAATACATTCACAGCCAGTATTACACTATATTATAGACAGTACGCTATAGTATCCATTAATCGATCTTGATGGTCAGCTTGCCAAAGTGCTTTTGGGCCCACTAGATGTATCCGTTAGCATGAAGTCCACGTTACGAGATAAGACGGACTTACCATGTAGTTGTACGCCTCCTTAGCCTGGTCAAGGGTGAAGACCTTGTCGTCGATCACAGGGTGGATGTTGTTGACCTCAATAGCCTTGATCATATCTTGCATCAAGGCCTTGCTTCCAACGTAGACACCGCGCACGGTGCAGATGTTGCTCAAAACCTCGAGAACCACAGGCTGGTTCGCCGGGTTGCCACCGCCAACGAAGCCGATGACGCTGATGATACCCTCGTATTTGATGCACTTGAGACTTTCCTTAAGCGTCCCGGCGCCTCCGACTTCGATGATGTGGTCAACGCCCTCCTTGTTCGGCGTCAGTCCACGGGCAATCTCGCCCCAGTTGGTCTGGGTCTTGTAGTTGATGATGTGGTCGGCACCAAGCTTCTTCAGCTTCTCGGCCTTCTCGGGGGACGAAGTCGTGGCGATCACAGTCGCGCCCGCCGCTTTGGCAAACTAAAAAGATGGGAACGATTGTCAGATCGATATTCACTTCTGCTGTGGAGAATTAGAAGGAGCATACCTGCAAGGCGAACATGCTGACACCTCCGGTTCCTTGGACCAGGACGACCTGTCCGGGAAGCAACGGCTTCAAGCCATACAGGGCATTCCAGCTGGTGAGGGCGGCACAGGTAAGAGAGCTCGATTCGAGATCGTTGAGGTTCTTCGGGCTCTGAACCAGGCCATTCTCGTTGAAGACACCATATTGACGCAGAGTACCGTCGACGACACCACCAAGACCAGAGTTGGCGGCAATGGGATTCATAGGTCCATATTGGTGCTGCTGGTTGAACAGGGTAGTCACTTTGTCTCCCTTTTTGAACAGGGAGACCTTGCTTCCAACCTCAACAACCTCGCCAGCACCGTCAGAGCCCGGGACCACCGGAAGATCCAGAGGGAAAGGGTACATTCCCTGTTGGATGTGTTAGCTGATGGACATGGGGCTAGTCTGGTGACCAACGGAGACGATTTAAACAAATAACGGTCTCTAGGAGGAGAGGGCCAGAACACACCTTGGGAATAATCAGGTCGCGGTAATTCAAAGAGGCCGCATTAAGCTTCACGAGGACATCGTTTTCACCGCACTTCGGCACCGGCGCATCGCCGAGGACGAGGCCATTGAAATCATTCTCCTTGTTCAGGACGGTCCACTGCTTCTGAGATGACATTGTGTAATGAATTGCCGTGGAATACTAGCTCTGTATAATAAATTTTTTGCTACTCAACATGAGGGTGACGGCGAAGTATAAATACATGAAGCTGCGGCGTCTTGACGTAAGTGGGGAAGGGTCCTCCCCCCACCCACCATGACTACTATGATGATAGCCAACAAGCGCATTTCACCACTGCCGGTCCACCGGTGCACCGGGTAGTTCTGGATGAAGAATTCCGTCGCTATCAGCAAATCAGAATTTTTCAGTCTCCACTGAAGCTCTTCCCGCTGACAAACGGACCCACGCCATCATTTCCTCATCTGGCAGTCGAGCTGCTGTGGTGGACTTGTGGGTGACAGATGCAGTGGGTATCGGCCTGAAGTCACTCCATAAACCCTCCGAAGTGGCCAAAAAGTGAGGGAAAACTTCCCGAAGGTTCTCAAATTCTTATACAATAGTCCAATTTCTTTGTTGAGCTTTCCGAGTGGGGGGAAATCGACTCCACGAAGAACGTTCTCTAGGTTCTTCTTGATGATTGATAGGGTATGTCTCTGGTCGGCTTAGAAACGATCCTTCAATTGGGACAGGCGTCCCTCGGATCCTTTCGGGCTTGGGATTACCCTCCCTTTCCGGTATGCCGCATCTTTTGACTAAGGCCAGAACAGCGTCGTGAGGATGGCAGGCAAAGTGTGTCGATACGATCAGACAACCATAAAGGATGCATGCAGTCTGAAGTCTAAACGAGAGATTCACCATTTGCTTTGGCAGGGACATAATTCCAGCTCACTTAGTCAACCGATTTGTAGAATCCGAATATGGAAGCTGTAGGTGACAGACGCGTAGTATTATTAGCATGATCCCAGGACTGACTCATGATATGAATGGAGACTCTTGTCCTCTTGAGCAAGTGATTTTCGCAATGACTGTAATCATGGTCTTTCGGGATAGTGAGGTTATTCTGCGGGGTGGCTCCAAGGTCTCGAAATATGTAGACAGGGGAAACACTTTTACCAACGATCTCTCTTTCAAACTCTAGATTCATCCATTTGCCTTGATTAACCGAATGATCCAAGAAGCTCTTCTTATCCGCCTTGCGACGGCGTAGTTGTAACAAGGTGTGATCGTATCGGCGGGGGCTGCAAGGATGAGGGGTAAAGAGTCTGCGCATACTTCATGCCCGAGATATTCCCCTCTTGCGTCATATCTCACTTCTCTTTCCTTCCACCATCTGCTAATGTCAAATATTCATCCTATAATTGTTAATCCGTAAAACAAAAGCGCGAGAATCTTTCCTCCCTAGATTGAACCAGCGATATGGCTCAAGGGCGAAGCTTCAAGCTAAACACCGGATACAACATCCCTGCAATCGGTCTCGGGACATGGGTAAAGACCCCACATAAGCTTCTTCCTAGTCAGCAATATTAACAAGGATAGCTCTCAAAACCACACGAGGTGGAAATTGCCGTCGAAACGGCCCTCCGCGTTGGATACCGTCATATCGATGCTGCTACGTATTATCAGAATGAACATGAAGTGGGAAATGGATGGAAGAAGTCCGGCGTTCCCCGCGATCAGATCTTTGTATGTACCAGCATAACTTCAACCTGGAACATTCTTTCGGCATTAACATTCCCTTGCGTTTGGCAGATTACCGGCAAGCTTTGGAACACCCATCACCATCCCGAGCATGTTGAAGAAGCTGTCGACAAGTCCTTGAAGGACCTGCAGACGGACTATTTCGATCTATATCTGGTATGCGATTGGCAAGAATCCGATGACAGGCTCACCTTCTGACTGTTGTAGATACATTGGCCCGTGGCGTTCGAGTACACCAACGAGACGCTTGCCCCGACCGACCCAGTGACGAAGCGATTCCGGCTGGCAGACGTTCCCATCGGCGACACATGGGCAACTCTCGAAAAGCTTGTCGCGGCAGGAAAGATCAGGAGCATCGGAGTGAGCAATTGTACCATCGAAAAGATAGAGGAGCTCCTCAAGACTGCCAAGATCCCACCGGCAGTCAATCAAATTGAAGCCCATCCTTATCTCCAACAACCTAAACTTGTTGCTTACCTGAAAGAGAAAGTATGCAGCTTTCAAACAGTACCTGTGAGCCACTATACTGATCGTTGATGCAGAATATCCTTCCTGTCGCGTATAGCCCGCTGGGTAACAATAGCCATAAGCTCCCACGGTAGTTTCTTCTATTTACATATACTATAAGACACCGCTGACAACGAGCAGAGTTATCGATGATCCTGCTGTGCAAGAAATCGCAGTCAAGCTGAACAAAGACCCCGCCGCACTACTCATCTCCTGGGGTGTCCAGCGCGGTACAGGCGTCCTCTCCAAAAGCGTCACTCCTTCGCGGATTGAGAGCAACTTTCAAGGTTTATTTTCTTGCTGCTCTATTTTATGCTAGGTTGTCCAAACTAACAGCCCCAGACTTCATCGTCCCGGATGCCGAATTCGAAGCCTTGAACAAGATGGATCGTAATAAGCGATACAACTTTCCATTCCGCTGGGGAGTCGACATTTTTATTGAAGTTGGAGCTGAGGAAGCTGAGAGACGCGCTGAAGAGCATGCCGCTGCGCAGCGTTAATAGTATCCGGTGGGGGAAGATCTCATTTTGGTAATATCCATAGTAGGGTGGTAGTTCCAAACAACATATATATCTGACTCAAGACAATACTTTAACAGTAACATTGAACATTTCAAAAAATAGATAACTCTACCACAAAACACATGATTGAATATGGATTATGTTTACACGCAATCAAACGAAGGGGAAAACCAATAAAGGTCTGTCTGTAATGATGATCCTTGTTGGTCAATGGCGGAACCGAGAAAAGCGTCGGACAGGATGTTTTCTGTAACCCGATTTCATTCTCTACCTACACTCTCCATACCAAACAACACTCTTCTTCAGAAACCAATACCTGCTGAAAATCCCAATCACCTATATTTTAATATAATTATTCCAGCAATCGCGTATTCTACTATACAGTGGAGCAAAAGTGTAAAAAAAAAAAAAAACCCACAGCATGCCATCCTCAGTCAAGGGAGCCCGAGTAACCAAAGCAAGACGAGCGTCTGCCAAAAAGCCGACAACAAACAACAGCAACACAACTACCACAACTACCACAAAGGGTGAGTAAACCCACAACGATTATGTTACAATTACTCCCATAGAACGCGTTATAACACGTCCCAGAACCCAAGCCACTTCCGCTCATCGAGCGCACCAACCAACTCCCACTCGACGAGTTTATCTCGCTTTATGTGCCCCCGGAGGGCCTCACATTCGAGTCTCATCCCCGGACCATTAATGATACCGCGGGAGGGGCCGACGATGAGTCGGATAGGGCTCGTCAAGTGTACACGGCAGAGCTGTACACTGCGGATAACATCCCCGCGGAAGATCTGGAAGCGTGCTTTCAGCTCATCGAGCATACTTCGGCTGAGGCGTACCAAAGCTCTAGCATTGGGTGGGCGCCTGTGGCGAAAAAGAAGGAGATGCGGTTGCCTGATATGAGGTATATTGTTGTTCGAGGGCGCGAAGTTTCGTCGACTACTGCCCGCGACGATGCCGATGGTGGCGAGACTAAGGGTCCGCTTGTGGGCTTTCTTTCATTCATGGTTACGTATGAGGACGGGAAGGAGGTTATTTACTGCTACGAGGTCCATATTCAGCCTGAGGCGCAGCGTCAGGGCTTGGGGCGGTGGTTGTTGCTGGCTTTTGAGGATATAGGACGCAGAGTCGGATTGGAGCAGGCGATGCTGACTTGTTTCTGCTCGAATGCGGCGGCGACGCGGTGTTACAACGCGCTTGGGTATGTGGTTGATGAGTCTTCGCCGAGGCCGCGCCGTCTGCGGAGCGGGGTGGTACATGAGCCGGACTACATGATCTTGTCTAAACGCTTATGATCTCGATGGCTTGGCCGGGGTGGCGTGAAGTGACGCAAATGCATAGTATATATGATGAAGCTACGGGATCTCGCACTACACCTGTCTCACATCCTTGCCCCGCAGATGCGGGTTCTCCAGCTCCCACTCGTCTCGGAGGGCGGCGAAGATGGTGTCCGCCAGTAAGATTGAAAGACCAAGACTCCACACAAGCGTGATGGCATAAAAGAAGTTGGCGTTGCCGGAGCCGGCGTAGATCCACAGGTGGTAGAACGCGGGACCTAGCAGGGTGGCGTACAGAAGCGCCGCTACCGCGAAGAACGTATAACGCATCACTGGCTTGGGATCAGTACAGCACGAGCTAAAGTGGTTCACCAGGACTTACATGGAAACAAGTGTCGATAGAGTGGGAGAAGGGCGAGGAACAGGGAAGCGTCGGAGATACTAGGATAGGGTTTGAAGATGGCGAACACTCCCAGCAGAGCCGTACAGACGAAGAGCGGTTGACGTCGCAATCGCACGGTCAATCCACCCACATATGCGGTGAGATGTAGCCAGAAAACGCCAAGGAAGAACTCTCTGAAGGAGTCAAAGATCTCGATGAAGAAGTACCACCAGAGGCCGACGTTGGGCGTCAAGTCCGGCACGAGGAGCTGGAAGCCGTACGTGGCGGAGATGATTTGAGAGAAGTTGCCGATAATCAGGAAGGACATTCCCAGTAGACCGATCACGCTCAACAGGAGAGTCGCCAAGTGCTGTATCACGAAGGCGGCGAGCCCAGGAACGGCCTTGGTCCTTTGCGCGCGCACATCATAGCACAGGAGAACCAACGGAATGAATAACAGCGCCGGGTAGATGGACAGGTACGACGCCCATCCCAAGGCCAGCATCGCATTGAAGCTGTTGCCACTCACCGCACTGCTGACTGCATAGAGGATTCCGCTGGTGGTGAACACCATGGTAGACCGGCCCAAACATGTTGCGATAGTGAAGGGGTTAAACAAAAACCTGGACCACCTCGTCAGCGACAAGCCCCTCCACGACCCAATGTCAAAAGATAAACCGACCATGCAGCGATCGCAAGCCCATCCCATCTGATATGCTTCCGCAGCGCCGAATAGAACCTCCCCGAAACCGCTTGTCCCGAATCGGAGATGGCGATCAACGCGTTCGCATTCAACAGGTCGATCAACGAATAAAAGATCACACTCGGCAGCGGACTATCCCTCGAATTGGGGAGCAGAGCGAAAATGGGAAGGAGAAGTGGCGCCTATCATCGGTCATATAGAGTCAGCACGAGGAAGTCGGACGATCGACTGGAGCTCCACGCCTCTGCTCATACCTGGTGAAAGACACCTCCATCGTAAGGGGACACATTCCGCGTGTATAGAAAAAGGCCTTCCTGAACTGATTCCACTAATATCAGCGTCGCGACTCCCCAAGCACCATAACGCTCTTTCACGCGACTACTCACGTCTCTTGAAACTGCTAACCGGGGTCGAGACCTCAACCCGGCCCGTCAACAAGTCAGGGAGAGAGGGAAAAAGGACGATAAGGAGAAGGCGCAAGAGAAACGCCGCGGCAAAGACCCCAGCCCTTCTGCGATCGAGCAACATCACGGAAAATCAGGAGAATCTCCCCAAGAGCATTGTTTCCACCAGATTGGACTGAAATGAAGTCGATCTATTGACGATGTTTACCCGTAGGTGGCCTTGGGCTGCCAAGACCGACGGGACCTCCGCGGTGCACGGGCCACTCATGCCTCAGGCTGCTGCTCCGAAAAAAAAAAAAAAAAGGAAAAACTTATCGAGGCAAAATTTCTGTTATCAGAAAAAAAAAGGTCCCTCTCTTCTAGTCTTTCCCTCCCCATAACAACTCCCTTACCACCACAACATCATCCATCAAGATGGGTAAAATCAAGAAGAAGGGTATGCTCTTTGATTCAATGGAATTTATGGATTTTTTCAGTTTGAACTGACTGGTTTTAGGAACCTCTGGCCAGGCCAAAAACTATATCACCAGAACACAGGCGGTGCGCAAACTTCAGATCTCGCTGCCCGACTTTCGTCGACTTTGCATCTTCAAGGGTACGTGTTATTCTGGTCGCATTGATCTGCTGTGTGCGGTCAATGTTCGACTCCCTGTGATATTGTGGGTGTCGATATTGACGGAAGCCGTGCGTTATAATAGGCATCTACCCTCGTGAGCCGCGGAATAAGAAGAAGGCGTCCAAGACCTCGACCCCGAGTACTACGTTCTACTACACCAAAGACATCCAGTATCTCCTCCATGAGCCGCTGCTGAGGAAGTTCCGTGAGCAAAAGGCGCTTGCGAAGAAGATCGCCCGGTCTCTGGGTCGCGGAGAAGTCGGCGATGCATCCCGCCTGGAGAAGAACCATGCGCCTCGCATGACGCTGGACCATATCGTCAAGGAGCGCTACCCCACTTTCATCGACGCCCTCAGAGATCTCGATGATGCCTTGTCGCTTCTGTTCCTCTTCGCCAGCCTGCCGTCTACTACGCATGTGCCCCCCAAGACTATTGCGCTTTGCCAGCGCCTGTGCCACGAGTTCCAGCACTACCTGATCGCCACCAACTCCCTGCGCAAGACTTTCTTGTCGATCAAGGGTATCTATTATCAGGCGACCATCCAGGGCCAGGATATCATGTGGCTGGTGCCTTACCGATTCGTCCAGCGCGTCAATGGAGACGTCGACTACCGCATCATGGCCACGTTCGTGGAGTTCTACACGACTTTGCTGGGTTTCGTCAACTACCGTCTGTACTCGACCCTCGGCCTGAGATACCCGCCCAAGTTTGACACCCGCAGCGACGACACGGGTGCCGAATTGGCCGCGTTTACTCTCGAAGGTCGCTCCGTCGGTGACGCGCCCAAGGCCGTCGAAGCCAGCAACAAGCAGACCAATGGCAGCTCCGCCAACCAGGAGGTCTCGCGCGAGGTCCAGGAGAAGGTTGACAAGGTGATCCAGTCCGCGGGTCTTGATAACACCAAGGATGAGAAGACGGTGGAAACGACCGAGGAATCGACGGACGCCATTGACAAATTCGAGCCTACTGCGCCCGAGGCCGATACCCTGCCCCAGCCCGATTTGAGTGTCGAGGAAGCCGGTGCCCTCTTCGCCCCGTTCACCTTCTACATCTCCCGCGAGGCCCCCAAGGCGCCTTTAGAATTCCTTCTTCGCTCGTTCGGTTGCAAACGGATTGGTTGGGACGAAGTGCTGGGTAGCGGGGCTTTCACTCACGACGAGACCGACACCCGTATCACTCACCAGATCGTGGACCGACCTGCCTTGCCCGAGTCTGCCCTCCCCCCCATCCCGGCCGCGGCCGAGAACAGTGCCACTCCGAAGGTCAAGCCCGGTACGCGCATCCCGGGTCGCACCTACGTCCAGCCCCAGTGGGTGTGGGACTGCATCAACGACGGGAAGCTGCTCCGTCCTGACTTGTACGCCCCCGGGGCCACGCTTCCCCCTCACTTGAGCCCGTGGGTCAAGCCCTCCAAGGGCGGCTACGATCCTCGCGCCACTCTGGCCGAACAGGAGGAGGAAGGCGAAGCGGAGATCGCCGAGGATGAGGAAGAGAGCGACGAAGAGATGGCGGACGCTTCCGAGGACAAGAAGGCGGATGCCAAGGCCGAAGCCTCCGCGGAAGATGACGAGTCCGAGGAGGATGACTCCGACCCTGACATGGACGTTGCTGACTCCGATGATGACGAGAGCGGAAGTGAGGAGGAGATCGAGGACTTTGACGGTCTCGAGGACGACGCTGCCTCCGAGTCCGAGGATGAGGAGGAGACTGCGCGGTCACGTCACCAGAAGGAGCTGGAGGCCGAAGCCGCCGGTCTTCCCTTCTCGTCCAATGGCGGCGCTGCCGACGACAAGAAGGGCAAGAAGTCGTCCCAGGCCAAGAAGATAGCGTCCAAGAAGCGCAAGGAAGAGGAGGAACTGGAGAGACAGAAGATGATGATGAGCCGTAAGAAGCGGAAGCTGCTCGAGAAGATGATGCACTCGAACAAGAAGACGTCCGACGAGGCGGCCAAGTTGCGGTCCAAGAGAAGAAAGATGGAGAAGTCGGAGAAATAAGCGGTGCAATAAAAGTTATACATTTTCTTGGAGGAAACGATATCCGTGTTGGCCATCATGGCGTCTTTGTACTGTCTATAGGAGTTCATAGAGTAATGTGTTGCGCTTTCATATCTATCTTTGTACACGAGTCCGTAAACCACCACAACCCTGTACCAGACGAGAGTATCTTGTAGTATCCAGCTTCTAGAACCTAGCAACTATGCCGACAAATCGGTACATTCACCAATCAATGAAGATGGCTGAACATCTAAATGCCAAAAAATACATCATGTGACCCGCATTTGAATCACCAAACCACGTGATATGACTTTTTTTCGACGAGTCCAGTGATCACTGACATTCCATCCTGCCTCCCATCGCATGGTCTATTATTTCACTCGAGCATGTCCGAGGCACTGCCTGTGCTGTTGATCAATTAAGTACGAGTGTGGTACCTGCACGTCTCGGCCGCAAATCATGGTGTCCGACGAAAAATCTGCCAATTACATTTTGCCCGGAATCATCCATAGTTGCGCTTCGACCAGGATTCCAAGATTCCGACCAGCTCCAGCTACAGTCGTACAATTCATATGAGCATTTTTACGTACGATCTTAGCTGTCTCGTTGGGTGTCTGTGACTTGCGCTTTTATGAGGCATGTCCTCACTGCCGGCCAATAGCTCGCCGCGGTCTACGCAACCGCCCCAGTCCGCGCAGCCATACCAATCACTGTTCGAGGGACCCAGCAGCCAGGATATCCCGGACTCTTCTTATTATGAATCCGCGATACAGACGCGGCAGGGGCACAGCGCCTCTGACCAGGATGCCCTGGACGCAATCATGGAAGAGGTGCCACTGATCGACAACGACCTTTCTGACGACGCGACGTACACGGCCAGTGATGATGACGATGATGGCGGCCTGGGCTCTGACGACGACACCGACACCGAGCAAATACTCGACGACATGTCGAATCCGCATGCGACGGCAGCGGCCCCCGCCCGTCCGGAACGTGCGCTGTCATCGTCGCCCGAGTACCGACCTAACAGGTTCCGCGGCCCAGACTCCACCTGGCGGAATATCACCGCGGAGGACCGCCAGAATGCACAGGCTTTAGAGGAGATGCGTGCGCGGGACTTGTCGGCCCATCTGTATAACGCTTTTGCGTTGCGGCTTCGGGCCCGTGACATTGCGAGGCAGGCCGCGCGGAGTAAAACGCCGCTGAGTGAGTCGGATGCGTTTGTTCCTCCTAGGCGGTGGGCCGCCTGGCCGGTGCCCTCTAGCGAGGTACCTAGGGTGAATGAGCGTTTTCGAATTGAAGAGGATGCAGCGTGGACGTTGCGAATGCAGCCGGATGCTCGGCCTAGCGCTGACTTGGAGGAGTCAGTCATGGCGGTTATGTTGAAGACAGCGAAGGAAAGATTCGAGGCGAGACCGTGGCGGTTGAGAGGGAGGTCCCTGGTTCGGAAGAGAGGGGGCATGGCCTCGTCACAGGCGGAAACGCAGGATGAGAGTATGGGCGTGATGGAGGAGGAAAGCGACCCGGAGCTGATAGACGGCGTTCCTCTACGACCAGCTGTCCAAGCAGACGACGACCACTCACGACAACAGCTCCGCCCGATCACCAGGAACATTCTCACTCAACTAGACCATCTCCTCATGGGTTTACACCATGCTCGACAAAGCGGACTCACCGCCGACGACAGCGCCAGCGAGCCGCCGACCGACGCGGAGAGTATAGCCTCCGGGACCTCATCGCCCAAAAAACGCACAGCCATCTCCGCGGAACGGAGCCAGTCACGAGGCAGGAAGCGCACGCGACGGGCGTCTAGGGGAGGCGCATCAACCGGTACTCGTTCCCGAAGTGTACATACATCTCAAGCGCACTCAGCCCGCGCCTCGAAGTCGCGAGACTCGACCAGATCTCGGGGACGGTCCCGCGGAAGCGAAAGAGGACGGTCTCGAAGCCGCGTTCGTCTCGGCGTCCGAGACTGGAGTGAGGTGTTGGGCGTGGCGTCCATGCTTGGACTACCCTCCGCCGCGGTAATGCGAACTGCGCAGCGCTGCACAGCGCTTTTCGGAGAGGATATGACGTTCCAGACTTTCAAAGAGGGCAAGCTACAAGAGGTAAAACAAGAAGGAGAAGAAATCTCTCACTGGGGCTATATCGGAAGCGAGTCAGAAGAGGAAACTAAGCCCTCACCCCCGGCGTCACCACCGCCTCTATCCAGCCGGCCTCACTCCCGGGCTATCTCGACGAAGGGACAATCACAATCGCGTGCGAACAGCTCCGCTGCGCCAGATACGGACGACGACGGGTTCAGACCGAAGGGCAAAGGCCGGCACCGCAAGCAAGACTTGCTATGTCCGATCAAGACCTGCAAGCGAAGCACTGATGGGTTCTCGCGGCGGTGGAACCTTAACCTGCATGTCCAGAGAATGCATCCGGGGGTGACTTTGACTCCGAGGGGTTCGGGGGCCAATTCACCGGTAGATTTTTCCAAGGAGGAGACTGAGCTTGGCTAGGCCTGTCCAATGTTGTATTTGATACTGTTTATACTTTACACCCAAGAGTTATGAATACTCTATATGGTTACTTTTACCATTTGATATTAACCGTGGTCTCGGTATTACCCAGAAGTAGAGCCTGAAACCCCTTTGTACTTAATTCAATTCCATCAGACCAAAATACACCATAGTGAATCTGGATCGCCTATCTGCACCAAGTGCGCTCATCTCAGACCCATCTACTCCATCAATGTATAATCATCACGTGATATCCACCCGAAGCCTCCACATATCAGGCATCGTTTCAATCGATCATGCAACGACAACAACTTCACATACACGCACGGCGATTTCTTGACTTAACCCCCTCAAATGACCATGGCGTCGACACCCGAACACGTCGCGCAAATTCTGCTCTCACGGCATTCACTAGACCTAGTTTCATGCAAAACACTCCAGACACTATGGGCAGGCTACGGTCAAATCTGCGCCATCAAAGCGCGTGCAACAACCGACGCCGCAGCAAAACATGTCAGCGCGCTCTGCGGGGCTGAAACGACTGGATCAGCGGGGAGCACGTACCCTCTCATCCTGAAGCTCATTTCTCCGCCGCCGCTGCGCAAAGGTGCCGGCGGCCAAGAAGTTGAAAAAGATGAGGGCCACTTAAGGAAGATGCTGAGCTATGAGGTGGAGTTGCATTTCTACGCTGATGTGGTTCCACTGTTGGGTGATGATATCGCTGTTGCGAAGTGTTTGACTTCGACGCGTGACGGCGTGAGGCCGGGAGAGGGGAAAGAGGAAGAGGAGGAACTTCGTGGCCTGATGGCGATTGTTATGGCGGATTTGAGACCGCGGTTCCCGGTTGCTGGTGGGAAGAGGAGTGCGTTGGATTGTGTGCAGGTGCGTGGGGCGTTGGAGTGGTTGGCGCGTTTTCATGCTCGTTCGTGGGGGCTGTTGCGGCGGGGTGATGATGGTGATGAGCGCGGGGCGTATCTATTGCCGCCGCTTGAAGAGTCGAAGAGGAGGAGGGGGAAGGATGCTGTTGGTGGAAGCAAGCTGTGGCTTAATGGCGGGTACACGTACCTTGCGACACGGCGGACAGAGTATGCTTCTTTGGCGGAGGATTCTTACTCGGAGTGGTCGGACGCCATGTGCAGGGTGCCGGAGGGGTCCGCGATGTCCATCGCTGAGATGGCTGCGCTGGTCTTGACGCCTTGTGGACGGCCGGTTGAGTCGTATATCCATGGCGACGTAAAGTCGGAGAATCTCTTTACCACGACTAAGGGAGATGAGGTCGCGTTCTTTGATTTCCAGTATGTTGGACTGGGTTTAGGAGTCTGTGACCTGGCTAAGCTGTTTACGTGCTCGGTGCCGCTGCATATGTTGCTCGATGATGATGTCGACGAGCCTCTGCCGGAGGAGCTGACGATCCGGGATGGCGAGAGGGATCTGTTGGAGCGGTATCGCCAGAGTCTCCTGTGCAACGAAAAGTCCGGCCACTACGAATGGGAGGACTTTAAGCGGCACTGGGAGACGGCCTTGGTGGACTGGTGCCGATTCCAGGCCTCCTGGGGCTTCTGGGGAAACACCGAATGGCTCGAAGCTCGTGTCAGGTCGATCTTGAGCGACCCGACGTGGAAAGACTGGCTGGATCAGAGTGTTGGTAGTCGGGTCGGCTGATGGGAAGTGCAGGCACTTTTGATTTCCGACTATACTATTATACTATAGATTAGGTTTTGACTGAAATAGAGTTACAACGAGACACAGCACACAGTGCTTGCCCAACCACACAAACTCCAACTCACAGCCCAACTCACGCCCCAAGAGGATGACAATTTTGCAACTCCTTCGACACATAATCATTCGCATCACCAGAACCACTATACATCCACCAAAAGTCCAAATACTGCGGCTCGTCCGGCGGCACGGCACACTCGGCCGCAAAATCCGGCAACCCACTCGACAAGATCTCCGTATAATTGCCCAGCGGACACGAGTAGCCCGGCCCCGACACGCAGTCGCGGAAGGGCACAACGGCTTCGTTCAGTACCAGACGAACGTAGGGGCCTCCGGCGCCCAGAGCCGAGGTGCCACACTGTAGGCGCTCGATGGTGAGTCGGCCGCCCATGGGGACGAGCTGTGGGAGCGGCCAGGTGTCTGTGAAGGAGATTTGGTCTACGGGGAGGTCGTGTGCGGGGTTGACTATGCCGAGGGCGTTGATAATGGGGGTGATGTTGTCGTCGTGGGCGCTGGGGTGGTTGGTTAGTAGGGGAGGGTGGTAGTGATGGATGGGACTGAGGGTGTCATACAAGTTGAAGACGAGACTCCCGGCTGCAGGGCCGTCGTTGAGCATGGTGAGGCTGGCGTTGGCGTAGACGGCGCCTACTGCGCGAGAGTGTTCGTTTCCGGGGCTGACGTAGCTGTTAGGGCTTTGTGGCCATGGAGTTGGAGGAATGATTTAGGGATATACTCACCCAGAGCAGTAGTAAAAGCTCATCCCCCACGCGTAGTCGAAATTGACCCATTCGTCCATGGTGAACACCTTGATCCACTCGGAGTGGTCACGTACGTTCAGCTCGTAGGCAGCCATAGCTGTCAATAATTAGCGAAGAGAGCCCTGATTGTATGAAAAGAAACTACCCACTCATCAGCCAAAGGACATCCTTCCAGTCCAGATCCAGCCCAGGATACTGAGCATTCAGTCTCTCCGCAGCCGGATGAAACTGCGGTAGATCATGCGGCCATCCATTGCAAATCTCCTCCGAAGCAGGTTTACTTCCACGACACTTGGGCGTCAGAGAATCAGCGCCTCGATCCGTCGACTCGGATATGATATTCAGCGCCGCCTTGGACAAGTACTCTTCCGTGCCGAAAAAGCCCTCGCCAAAGTGCCGCGCGGTGTCAATCACTCGGTGCAAGTCGCTCGCGAACAGCGGCAGGACGTTCTCCCCGTCCCAGAGGTCCCCGTACCGCTCGCGGTACTCTTTGCCGTGGTTGTAAGCGTCCAGGAGGCCGGCATGGGAGCCTGTTGTGGTCTCCACCTCGTAGCAATCGTCGGGGACGTAGTACTCCCAGTTACGGACGAAGGCGAGGTCGCCGCTGTCGGAGGTGATGGTTGCTTTGCGCACCTTTTGCAGAGCGTCTAGGATTGGTTTGGCTTCGTATTTTGCTGGGTATCGCTCGCCGTGGCGCTTGATCATGATGACTTGGTCCACGGAGCATCCTGCCGGTGTGTCGCGGTCTATTCCCACGCTGTCGCGATCCAGGTAAGGGCCACGGCCTCCGCTGTGCTTGATGGCGTCATCATCACTGACGGGATGCAGGGAAAGGTGTCTTTTAGGGGATATGCCGGCAAAGGGGGACGCAAGTGCCGCTGGGATGACCCAGAGGCAGAGACCAGTGCTGAAGCGAACCATGGTAAATAGAGGTCAGGGGTCGATGCTAAAGGAGGGAAGAGAAGATGCCAGAGGAGGAACCTGTGGCCTAAGCTTTATAATGCGAAAGACAGCCCAGGAGACACATTCCTAGCCTTGGTCTTGTTTAGAAGGCGGCTGTTGGGAATGCTGGCGCGAGTCTTTCCGTTGGTGCTGTGGTCGTCAGAGGTACAGATATGACTGCTCGACATTCAATGCCCGCGGTGGCTGACATTTTAAACGAGTGAGTTGCCTAGTGACAGGTCTTTTTCTTTTTTGACTGCCATCTGACAGACGGATAACGGATGCGAATCCAGATAGTGCGGATTGCGGCTCAATCAGTTGCCTTCCAGGCGAAAAGTCCAAGTAAAAATGAGATGCACATTGTACTATACATATATGAAGCAGTATTCAACATAAGCGCCGTAACCAACCAGCTGGTGGATTCCCAGTCAACAATAAACATGCGAACAGTCCCGAAGGGCATCCAGACGATGCCGTATATCCACACAAACGTATCTATGCCTCAAGCCGCGGTCTCGAGAGCCCAGAAGTCCCATCCGACGACTTTCCGCATTCCCCTCCATCCCTCTTGCTCATGACATTTATTTCCCTTGCCGTTGCTTGTGCTTGGGGTTTTTCGAGCTGCACACATTGGTGAGTATCATGTCGATAGCGTCCTCGAGCGTAGACTTACCAGATGATGTAGACGCGGTTCTTTCTCCGTACGGGCTGAATCACAGTATCAGTAAAGATCCTCAACAGCTTGCCCACTGTTGCATTATCCAATCCATACCTTGCACCCATCACACAGCCGCTTCACAGACGATCGTGTCTTCATTCCCCGGACCTGTTCAATCTGTCGGACGGTAGACCCCACACTCGCAACAGACACATTCTCCGTCTGCGCCTTTCCAGCGCGCAGACTCCGCAGACCGTTACCGAGGGACAATCGTGTTAATTGCGTGAATGGGCGGGCGACGTGGGAGAACGGCTGGCGGATCATGGAGGGGAGAAGTTGGCGCAGGGCTCCCGTCGAGGGGCGCAACACGGAGCGGAAGGACAACATGGTGGCGGAGAAATCGGGATCCTCTATAACCGCCGATAGAGAGACGCGAGACCGATTTGAAGGCGGATTTGGGGCCGGGAAAATGAACTGGGGGAGAGCGATGATCGCAAGTGTTGACGGAGATGCCGCTTTTGCTCGGAGCAAACGCTGTCCGGAACTTTGTACGGCCGGGATTCCGGTGGTTCTGCCTGAGTCCACCCCGATTGGCTGTTAGTATGTCTACAAACAAGGGAAGGAAATTAATATTAAAATAAGGTAAAAAATAGTAGCATATAGAAGAAGACTATCTAGTATTCCTGCAACTTAGTATATCTCTAAAATAATCCAATACATAGATATCTAACTTGGTATCTGACTTTGTATATCGTGGATAGCATGATAGTCGAGACCTCGAAAAGTACCGTTCCGGTACGACAGCGTACCTGGTGTCTTGAAAATTACAGCCCCGGCTCCGAGCGACGTCATGCCATGGTTCGTCCCTGGTGAAAAAACAGTTCAATTCTCCTCGATCCCATCGCAGGAGCACAGTCAAGTCTCACAACAAAGGTAATGCTTCTGGATTGGGGTAGTGGTGTGTGTTGTCTCAAGAGGGGATTGCTGACTCGACTCCAGGGTGCGCGTTCCAACCGGTTGCTTGACCGTTGTCCCTTTCTGTACCTGCAAATATCGAAAATCTTCACCCCAGACAGCACTCGTCCGTTGATAATACTGGCCTAAATACCGTCAAAATGAGCAAAGAACCTCTTCCCTCGTCCCTAGACGATAGTCCGTGCGTACCCGGAGACTCCGGCAGTGTACGAATACAAGTATTCCTGACGAGTATCTAGTCAATTCCAAGAGGAGACGTCGCTTCAGAAGTTCCGCAGAAGACTCAAGGAGGAGCCACTGATCCCGCTGGGTAATTTCTCCACTCTTATTACCCGTTGCATGTTCATGCGAGTCCGAATTCATCGATTGACTGGTATTTTTGAACCGCAGGATGCGCCGCTACCTGCTATGCGCTCTACCGCGCCTATCGTTCCATGAAAGTGGGTGACTCGGTCGAAATGAACCGCATGTTCCGCGCCCGTATCTACGCCCAAGGCTTCACCCTGTTCGCCGTCGTTGCCGGTGGCATGTACTACAAGGTCGAGCGCACGCAGCGCCGCGAGTTCGACCAAGCGGTGGAGGAGCGCCACAGCCAGGAGAAGCGCGATGCCTGGCTGCGCGAGCTGGAGATTCGCGACAAGGAGGACCGCGACTGGCGTGAGCGTCATGCGGCCATCGAGGCAGCTGCCAAGGAGGCTGGGAAGAAGCCGTCCCCGCCGGACGCCGCTCGCTCCGCTATCGAGGCCTCCGAGGAGAAGTCCGTCGGTGTATTAGATGCTGTGAAGCTACTGTGGTCGAGACAGTAGTGAGTAAGGATGTTGCAGAAATTGGAACCGTCTGATGTGATTTGGGTATCATGTTTTATTGTACATATGTCTCTCTCTCTTTTCTTCTGTTTTGGCCCTTGAATATCCAGAAGCCTTCTCGACTCTATGCCGGTTTTTGACATGGTTTGATCTCATCCTCAGCCTACAACTTGCTCGTCTATATACCGTCTCATGGTATCAAATTCGGCCTTTCCTGTCTGCTCCTTGTTAGATGCCTGGGATTCCGAAAGGTCCGGTGGATTCCATACCGAAAGCAAGTACCGGATATGTTGCTGCGCATCCTGTCAGTACCGCACATCCAATACTACCGGAAAGCATGGCCACTCACCAAGTCTGTGATGTCGCGACGTCGCTCGAACTCATGTCGGGCATAGTTATGCAGTTCATCTCGAGTTGACGACGGTGGAATTTCTGCGCGAGTGTCAGCGTACCGACTCGAAGTATTATAATTTTGTTTAATAAAAATCGAAATAACATATAGCAAGAAAATACTGACTGTGCAGCGCCCTGACAATCTCCCGCCATAGACCAAGAACTCGCTGTCTCTGAATAAACTGTCTCTTAGTGTTAGCACTGGAGCTGCAGAAGGTCTATGCAAGACTCCATACATGGTCTAGGCTGACGGCCGGTTTCTTCAGCTTCGACGGCTGTCCACGCGAGACAGCCGCTAGAAATCTCATACCCTGTCGCATCGCTGCGTCTACTAATCCAGTCAATCAACCAGGACAAGAATTAGAGCCAGAATGGCGAACAGATCGCATTGAATCAGTTGGAGAATTGGAGGTCTTCCATCTGGTCCAAGACATCATAATCATTTTGGTCCGCGGAAGTGAAGGCGGTGAGCATAACGTATTGTCACGTACGATACGGCATGTCAGTATAGACAAAGACATGGAGAACCTTGTATATTGTCAATCGAATAGAAAAAACAAATTCATATAATTATTCCTATAGTCTAGGTAGACTTAGTCTATACATCCCCACACTAAATAGTAGAGTAATAGTCATGATGAATGGCCTGATATTGGTTTGAATTCCTCGTCAGTGAGTGGCCAATCCGGCTCCCCACGTGACCCGTTCCTGGCTTCCCCGAACTTTTTTTCTCGCGCTGTGATTCTTCTTGGTTTCCCCAAAGCACCTGCGCTCGATCAATTTCCCGGTGTTCTGGGGGTTCAATAGCCATGAGGTGTCCTTCGCTTACACGGTTGCCCTACCGTGCCGTTTCTGGCCTGACCAAAGCTCCTGTTCGTCTGCAGTCTCAGACCTTCTTGTCCCAGAGATGCGCGTCCACGGCCGCTTTCCGTTCGCCCTCCGCGGTCCCGCTCTATCGGTCTGCTGTCTTGAACAAGGACTTCTACCAGAGACGCAATGCCTCGGCAACGGCTTCGGCGGTGTGAGTAACTGATGCTCTTTTTTTCATGGCCTGTTTTGTTCTTGTAATCCTTTTTGTTCACTCCGACTAATCTGTTTACTTTTCTAGTCTTGAAGCCGCCGCCGCCAACCCCGAGACTTTGTCCCAGCAGGCCATCATCGAGAACCTGGATCCTGTCGAGGCCGAGCGACTGTCCCGAGTGCGAAACATTGGTATCGCGGTAAGGCTTCCGGGTGATTGGCGACAACAAACCGGATCATCCAACTAACAAGTATTGCATGATAGGCCCATATCGACAGCGGTAAGACCACCTGTACCGAACGAGTTCTTTTCTACACCGGTCGTATCAAGGCCATTCACGAGGTTCGTGGTCGTGATGCGGTGGGTGCCAAGATGGACTCCATGGATCTGGAGCGCGAAAAGGGTATCACCATCCAGTCCGCTGCCACCTTCTGTGACTGGGTGAAGAAGGACGCCGACGGCAAGGACCAAAAGTACCACATCAACTTGATCGACACCCCCGGCCATATCGATTTCACCATCGAGGTTGAGCGAGCGCTGCGCGTTTTGGACGGAGCCGTCATGATTCTGTGCGCCGTGTCCGGTGTCCAGTCGCAGACCATCACGGTGGATCGACAGATGAAACGGTACAATGTGCCCCGTATTTCCTTCGTCAACAAGATGGATCGGATGGGTGCCAACCCCTTCAAGGCCGTCGACCAGATCAACTCCAAGCTGAAGATCCCCGCGGCTGCCGTCCAGGTGCCCATCGGCGCGGAAGACGAGTTCGAGGGTGTTGTTGATCTGATCCAGATGAAGGCCCACTACAACGTGGGTGAGAGTGGTGAGGAAATCCACGTGACGGACGAGATCCCCGACAAGGTGAAGGATATCGCCATCGAGCGCAGAAGGATGCTCATCGAAACCCTCGCCGATGTCGATGACGAGATTGCCGAGCTTTTCATTCTCGAGGAGCAGCCCACGGAGGACCAGCTGAAAGCCGCCATTCGTCGGGCCACCATCAACCTTAAGTTCACTCCCGTGTTCATGGGCACGGCCTTGGCCAACAAGTCGGTGCAGCCGATGCTGGACGGTGTGGTGGACTACCTGCCCAACCCCTCCGAGGTGCAGAACCTCGCCCTGGACAAGAAGCGCAAGGAAGCTTCCGTGAAGCTCGTCCCCTACAACTCGCTTCCCATGGTCGGTCTGGCCTTCAAACTGGAGGAGAGCAACTTTGGCCAGTTGACCTACATCCGCGTGTACCAGGGTACCCTCCGCAAGGGCATGAATGTCTTCAACGCTCGCAACGACAAGAAGGTCAAGATCCCTCGCATCGTCCGCATGCACTCCAACGAGATGGAGGATGTCTCCGAAGTCGGAGCCGGTGAGATCTGTGCCGTGTTCGGTGTGGAGTGCGCTTCCGGTGATACCTTCACCGACGGGCAATTGGGCTACAGCATGTCTTCCATGTTCGTTCCCGAGCCGGTCATTTCCCTGTCGATCAAGCCCAAGCACAACAAGGACGGCGCCAACTTCTCCAAGGCCATGGCCCGATTCCAGCGCGAGGACCCTACCTTCCGCGTGACCCACGATGCCGAGAGTGAGCAGACGCTCATCTCCGGCATGGGTGAGCTGCACCTGGACATCTACCTGGAGCGCATGCGCCGCGAATACCGCGTGGACTGCGAGACCGGCCCGCCCCAGGTCGCCTACCGCGAGACGATTGGCAGCCGTGTGGAGTTCGACCATCTGCTCAAGAAGCAGTCCGGCGGTCCGGGTGATTACGCCCGTGTCGTCGGCTGGATGGAACCTACCGGTAAGCTCGAGGAGAACAACTTCGAGGAACAGATCGTCGGTGGTAGCATCTCGGAGAAGTTCCTGTTCGCCTGTGAGAAGGGTTTCCATCTCTCCTGCGAGAAGGGTCCTCTGATCGGCCACAAGGTGCTTGGTACGCGCATGGTGATCAACGACGGTGCCACCCACATGACGGATTCTTCCGAAATGGCTTTCAAGAACGCCACGCAGCAGGCCTTCCGCAAGGCGTTCAACGAGAGCGGTCCCTCCGTCCTGGAGCCTCTCATGAAGACCGTTGTCACCGCGCCGGCCGAGTTCCAGGGTGACCTCATCTCGCTGCTGAACAAGCGCGGTGCGACCATCAACGATTCCGAGGTCGGTGTCGATGAAGTCACCATCTATGCCGACTGCAGTCTGAACGGCATGTTCGGTTTCAGCAGTAACCTGCGCGCTGCCACCCAAGGCAAGGGTGAATACAGCATGGAGTTCAGCCATTACGAGAGGGCTCCCGGTCACCTACAGTACGTTCCACTCCACCTTTCACAGTTCCCTGGCTCTCCTCTTGTCTGCACTGAGTGCTAACCACATCGCGTTTACAGAAAGGAACTCATCCAGAAGTACCTCAAGGCCCAGGCCGACCGCCACAAGAAATAAACGGCCAACCCTTGTCGCCTTCTCTCCCCACCCCCTCGACTACATAACCCGCGGTCAGCTCTCGCCCAGTTGATCTCGAATGTACCACGCCATCCCTTCTCTCCCCCTACCTTCTCGACATGTATTCCAGACGAAGTCGATGTGTATTCTTTCCCTAACCGTTTAATTTGGCGCCTTGTATTACTTCCAACAACAGACAGATAGACCTTGTGGGCGTTATATATCGAAAATTCCTTTTTTTCTGTTCTCTTTGTTTCTAGAACGAAATGTGACTGCGTCTGCTTTCTGTGTATGATATAGACCGGATGGATGTGTTCTATGGTCGTCGGGACAGGTGAGACTGACTGACACTCTATATGTACATATGTATGCTTTCGAATTTTGTTCTGGTGGGCTTTGATCTCCTCTCATAGCTGCGGTTGGGGTATTGGGTCAATATGAATTTAGGTGTTTGTTTGGTTATATCGGTCTTTGTTCTTGTAGTGTGGTTTTTATGGTAAGGGTCTTTTGGTGCAAAGCACTGTCTGCTATAGATCGTGTGGTCTTAACCAAATGCAACAAATCTATACATGACCAAGGGAGCCTAAAAGCAGAGGTGGATCATTCCTCGAAAGCCCGAAGCACAGCGAGCGTAGCGGCCGAGAAGGTAGCGACGCGATTATGGCCTACGTAGCAGCGAATGTGAGATTAGCGTCCGCCTTCTTCTGTATCCAGTGTTGTCCACTTACCACCGTAGGTAACCCGCTCCCAACGGACCTTCTTCACCGCACCCGCCAGCTTGTTCTCCCAAACGCGGACTTCGCTAGGGCCGTTGGCGTCCTTTCGCTCGTAGACAATAGTACCCGGAGGGCTCTTCTGCTTTTCGCCCGTTGCGGCCAGCCAGACGCGGTGGCCTTCATACCATGGGATTTCGTTATCGTTCCATGCATGGACGACGACCAGATCCAGGCCCTTCTGTGCATATGCGCTGCTGGAGTCCTCCTCGGCGGTTGGCCCGGCGCCTGTTAGTCGTGCGACGCGCGCGGCGGTGTCCCAGCGGTCGAGGATGTGGCTCTTTGTCCAGTTTTGGATGCGTGGGTAGCCCATGAGTGGGGAGAGCATTGGGGGTGATATTCCTTTTAGGCTGTATGAGTCGATGAGGCTGGGGACGTTGCTGAATGATGCCATGAGGACTATGCCGGCGAATGGCTCGGGGTCTTTGATTGCTGGTTGGATGGCCGTGGGATCGGGAGATCCGAATGCGAATCGCTCTGCTACCGCTGCGCTGACGGCTGTTCCGAGGCTTTGGCCGACGATGACGATGCGCGATGGGGGGATCTTGAGAGGACCGGCGGTGAGGAAGTTGACGAGGGAGACTCCGTCTGTGATCAGGCCTTCTTCGGTTGGGGAACCGGTTGATATGCCGAATCCGCGGTAGTCCATTGCGAATACATGGACGGGATTCGCTGGCGTCGAGAGGCCTAGGAGCTGACGGTAGATCTCTGGTCGCTGCGCGGAGCCAATGTGGGCGGCGTTTCCGTGGACTGACGTGCACACATCGTTAGTGAACAGCCCGCGGCATGTCTCAACTGTCTCGGGTTACGCACAGCTGATTACCACACGAGCGTTGGGGTCGTCCGCCAACAGTCTGAACGCTGGGCTCTGGGTATAGTCCTCCGCGGGACCCGACGGCTCGTGCGCATTGAGCAGTTCCTCGTGCTCCCGGCACAGGTGAAGAGGGAGGAGGTGCCATGTGTAGAGCGACTCATTATCCGGAGTGGTCAAATTGAAGGGTTGGACCTGCGTCTCTGGCCAAGTCAATGGCGTGCGCCTTCTGAGGAGAGATTTTTGACATACTCAGGAACCCAAATTTCTCAACTTGATTGACGTCTTGCCACAGCACAGGGTTGATTTTGTTCACGTAGAGAGCTCTATCATGCGCGTCAGCGATCCCCATCGCCCGTATGGATCGGAGCCCTTACGCTCGTTGGACAGTCGGATAGGTCATGGAGCAGACAAAGCCCATGTACACAAGACCAGCAGCGGCCAGCGACCAGTAGGCCTTTTTGAAGATGGATTGCAACTCCACCATGGCCAGATAATCTCGTCGGAAGACAATGGGAAGTGTGGAGATGATCGAGCGATAGAGCGATAGTGATGGAGTTGTTGATAACGCCCGATTCTGCCGCCCCGGTGGAAGGCGGTGAGCGGGGCCCGTGACGATGGTTCAACGTTCCTCTTTTTCTCCTTGTCGCGTCTCTCTCACATCTCCATCTCCCTCTCATTCGATTGTCGCCACGTTCTCCCCGAGATGCTTACGATTTTCTCGGGTGGTTTATCTTGCTGTTCTGCTTTGTGTTAAGATCCAGTGATTCCCAACATGGCCGAAAAACGCCGGCTGTCTGCCCGTGACCGTCGCGAACCTGCGGCCAAACGCCGAGTCTCCGAAGCCAATACGCCCCAGCCTCCGTCGCAACCCCAACAGTCGTCCAAGAAGAAGGCTTCTACTCCTGCTGCTGCTCCGACGCCCCCTCCACCGCCACCGCCAGAGCCCGTCGATCCGCCATTGCCGACGAAGATTCGAGACGGAGAAGGACTGCCGACGGTCACAGCACCGCAGCCCGACAACCTCCCGTCCACAGACTATCAGTCAATCGCGGAAAGGTATGGTTGATATCATGCGACTAGCGGAGAGGCGAATATACGCTCTACTCAAGAATAACAAGGGTAACTGATGCGTTATAGTGCTGTGCTTCTCGCTTCATTGGAACGGTCGAAAAAGAAATGGCTGAGCGATGGCATCCTCGTGCGATACTGGACGAAACCGAAAAAGTCCAAGAGAGAGCAGATAGAAGGGAAGAATCCGCCCAAGGAGACCATGTCGAAGGTTGGGCCCTGCAGCGTTGTGGTCGGGCCTCATCTCTTCGATGCCATGGTCTACACGGTCAAAGACCCCAATGCGCCGCCCCCGATCCAATACACTCCTCCCCAGCGACCGATGGTTCACTACGGCCATCCGAATAATTTCCAACAGTATCAGCCTCAACCCCCTCCATCGCAGAATCAACGACAGCAGTCGAACCAACATCCCCCCGCCAGCCCAGCGCCCCCTCAACCGGGTTACTACCAATCGCCGCATCCGCCTCCTGCACGCCCGGCAAAGACCCCCAACCAAACCCCCCGTCCTCCTCCCGGGCCGCAACCAAACCAGCCCATCCAGCGACCCTCGCCGGCCCAACAGCCTCCACCCTCCCAACCTGCAAAACCCAGTCCAGACCCCGTGATTCAGATGCTTGCAACAAGGGCTGCTTCCGACCCGGAACTGAAGGCTCTGATGAGGGTGGTGGCATCGAGCAAGGCGTCGCAGGAGCAACTTCGAGCGTTCCAGGCCCACATCGATGAGCTCAATGCCATCATCCGGGCCAGGGAGCAACAGCAGCAGCGACAGCAACAACCGCAGCAATCGCAACCTTCCACCCCTCAGACGAAAGCCGCGCCCCGCACTCCACACCCTCCACAGCTGTCACCGCAGCCAGCCCAACAGAATGATCAACAGAAAAGGCCGCCTCAGCAAATACAGCGCGTCGAGGTGCAAATTCCGAGGCTGACGCCGTCTGCTCCTGCCACCCCTCGGGCATCAACATCAACCCCGCCCAAATCCCCCCAGAACCCCACGCCCCAGCAGCCTAGTACAGCCGCGCAGGTGAAGCAAGAGCCCGGGGCACCGCCAGCGCAACCGCCCCCGGCAGGCACATCTAACCTAAGTATCACGCCTGCTCCACCGTTGGCAGCGCAACAGAGTGCGACCCCGAACCCATCCAGTCCCGCCGTTCGACCAATGCCGCCCCCGCCCCAACCGCAGAGCGTGGGACCGAAACCCGGGCCACCCTATCCCCCTCCGCAAACGCCCCATCAGGCCACTCCACCCTCGATCCAGTCCCGACCCCCGCCACAAAACTCTCCGGCCCCGTCTCCGTACTACCACCCTGGTCCCCCGCCACCACCGCCGGCCCCACCCAGGATCAACTACAAGTCAGTGGTGTTTGAATTTACCTCCCCCTTGACGCCATATGGAAGCAGCACTTCGGGCCATGCAGGCTCTGGAGACCGCTATCTCTTCCCAGAGTACTCGATCCTGGAATATCTCCCGGGGGGTACCACGGTGCTTGCATCGTTCTTGCTCGTTAAGAAAGTCGACCCGAACGCACCCTTTCCCATCGAGAACTCGACCGAGACGAACACCTCGCGGGCAAAAGGAAAGGCAGGATCTCGATCCAAAAAGAAGAAGAAGACCGCCGAAGACACCAAAGAGCAAGACAAAGGCAAGGACAATCCCAATCCCAAGGAAAAGGGCGACACGAACGGAAAAGACAAAGAGAGCACCACCAGCGCCCAAGAAACCCCCAACCCGCAAGCGCCCCCCGACAACAAGCCCACCACCACAGGCCAAGACCCCCAGAAGCCCGACCAAAAGGACGCATCATCAGAAACCAAGCCCACCCCCGACAAGCCCGAAAAAGACCAACCCAAGGAGAAATCCTCCGACACCAAAGACACCCCCGACCCCACCAGCACCGCCAACCTCAAAGAATACTACCAGCCCATCACATGGCGCATCCACACCACAAACGCCAAGGTCCTCGAACCCCTCAGCCGCATCGTCAAACCCGCCGACGAAGTCTGCAAGTACATGAACGAGATCATGGACCGCGCGGAGCGCGCGCCGGAGGGATTCCTCGCGTTCCGTCTTCCGCGCGAGGATCGGCCCGTTGAGGAAGTCGACAGTGCAGACAAGGAGAAAGAAAAGGAGAGGGAAAAGGAACGAGCCAGAAAGGGAAGCACGCCTCTTCCGCACAGCAGTCGCAGCCGCAGTCGACATTCTAGAGGGAAGGTCGCTGAGGCGGCGGAGTCGGATGCTGAGATGGTGGATACTGCGGCCGAGGACGAGCCGCAGGAGGAAGAGGAGGAGGAAGAGGAGGAACTTAGGGATTATTATGGTCCGCCGACGGGGCTTTCGCCTATGGGTGTTTGTTGATTTGTGTAGTGGGCATATGTCGTTAGTAGGCCTTGAACTGCATGCATTATTCAATTAAGGTATGTTGTATTGATGCTCGGGCTATGAAAGATAGGACACTGTATGATATAATATAGAAAATTATCCAAGTCATGAATTGCCTGTGTCTGACAACACCGATACTATCCCAACGATGTTGATCAAACCAAGAAAAGACCCGAACAATGCGCCCATAGTAACATACTCACATATTGAGTATGGTGGGCAGCTCTCACAGTCTAAGGGACAGTCCTTCGCCGCAGTCATCGGGATTTGGGCATTAAACAAGATAAAAGAAACAAATATATAAAAATAAAAATAAAAAACAAACCAAAAAATCCAACTACAGATACCTCGACTCACTCCCCACAATCCCCGCCGTCTCAAGCAACCAGCGCGCGCTCTCTCTCGCAGGGTCACCAGCCCCCGCCTTCAAATTCAAGTTGCGTCTGCGCTCGGCCTCGCGGGCCTCAAAGTCCCATTTCTGCCGCTGCTTCTCGATGGCGCTTTGGCCTTGTTCTGAAGATGCGGTTGCGGGGTCGGGCATCACGCCCCAGACTTCGAGGTTGAGGATGTGGATTTGGGTTTTTGAGGTTGTGTGGTCTTGGGAGGATGAGGGGGAGGGGGAGGAGGGTGGGGGGAGGAAGACGCCGTTGGAGCCGATGGTGGAGATGTGGAGGTCGGCGGTTTCGAGACTCGTGTCGACTGTTAGACTTCCTGCGCCGTGCGGGATTGGGGGTAGTTTTTGGGAGCGGGATGCTGGCGGGATTTGGCAGCCGAGGGCGAGGCCTGTCTCGGTGGAGAAGTAGGCTGCGGGGGCGTTGGGGACATTTTGGACGGATGGGGATGAGTTGCCTGGGAGGAGGATGTGCTTTGGGGAGAGCTGGAATAGGCAGGGGAGGGTGGTGGTTTCGGAGACCTTTGATGTCGAGGTGCTGGATTTCCACGGTTGTGGGAGGTATGCGCCTATTGTGATGGGCTTTCCGGTATCGAGGGTTCCGTCGAGGAGGAGAAGGGTGCTCGATTGCCAGGTAAGGACGTTGTGGGAGAACGAGGTCAGAGACGACCCGTGCGCTGTGGTGGAGAAGACAGGATGCAGACGCACGTTGCCGCGCAGGAGGTTCACATCGGCTGATGTTGAGGGAAGGAAGAACGAGAGATGAGACACGACGGTCGGACTCAGTATAGCGGACTCAAAGTCCCCCGGGAGCGTGATTGAGAAGGGCGCGGACGGCGAGGGCGTCGGTGCTGATTCCCCAGCCGGTTCCTCCACCGGTTCCTCCACCGGTTCTGGTTCCGGTTCCGGCTCTGTAGAATCGGTTTTACGCCTGCGTTGCGAAAGATCCAGGTTCTTACTAAACAGAAGATGCTCAAACAACGGGGTTAACGGGTCGAACAAATACGGCAGCGACGTAGATACAGTCTGCGCGAAAGACCTGTAGCTAATGCCGCCCGACGGCTCCTGGCCGAAGGCGGACAGGATGGTCTCGGCTTCATTGCAAATATCCTCCATGCGCTGCTCGCTCAGTTCCGAAGTATACGGCTTTACCGACTCCAGCGGCTTCAGCGGCGAGATGACCAGCAACAACATCACTAGACGACGGAAAGTACTGATCGAGACGCGGGCTTCATAGACCGCTTTATCGATGCGCGAGTCATGCTTAAACACTTCAATCGCATCCAGCGACTCCAACGCAGCGAGAGCAAGATCGTCATCATCATCCTCGTAATCATCATTCGCAGGCTCATCAATCAAGAAACCCGGAGCGTGCGATCTCGGCAGGGAGGCAGCCCCGCCGTCCTCCTCACCAGTCTCATCCTTATCCTCATGAGTCTCCGGGGACCACGTATCCTTCCTCTGAACATCCGCCAGACTCCCAAAAAGCAGCCTGATCCGGTCCTTGCGAGCTCGTCGCAACACCTTCCCATAGCGCTCCGTCAGCAACACCACAACTTTAACCATAGCCTCGAAGGTAAGAGCGCTGGGCGCCAGGGTATTCTGGAACGGAAACGCCCCCAGATACGAAACCATGCGGAAGACCACCGGCCCCGCATCCAATGGGCAGTGGGGAGCGCCCGCGCCGGCGTCTCCGTCCCCGTCCCCGTCCGGGATGCCCAGAAAGTCAGAAAGTGTCTTCTCATTCCAGTACTTGACCCCGTCCTGGTCTGTCGCGCGGCTAAAGAAGTTGTCCTTGAAGTGGGTCAACTCCAGCGGGGTGAAGCATTTGGCCGCGAAGCGCTCAGCTAGCTTGTAGCTGAGTCCTTCTGCAGATATAATTAGTATGGATCATGACGACTCCGCCGCTCAATCTCAATTCCATGACTGTGATATATGGGACGACTCACCTGGCGACCCAGCTTGGCCGTCTTCCGTCGAGGGACCCACACCCATTGTCAGTTCTCTCGTGGAGAGGATTAGACGACAGCTTCGAAAGGAACGATATTGGTGCGTGACTCATCCATTGATCGGTACCTCTTACCGATTACATCGATGGCGTGTATTGGTTCAAACGTCCGTTACAGACACGATCATGAGGTGGAAGAGGATGAAGCCGAAGGCAGGAGGGGAGATGAACTGACGATGCGATAAGCTGATTGGGGTTCCTTGGCGGGCCTTGGCAGCCTGGACACCTTAACGTCACGGGGCCCGCAACCGGAGCCTTGGCACTCAGGCACATTACACTATTCATTTATATCTACAATTCACTACTAGTGAGTGGATTGGATTTATTCTCCATATAGGTATGCAAGTCAAAGGCAATACTCAATCATAAATGGTGGGATATCATCTCATTTTCATCATGCTTGGTTGCGCTGTTGCTCAAAAAGATTTTCAGCCAATATCAAGTACTAGTAGCTAGTAGTATACGGGACTAGGAAGGTCCCTCGTATCTCGTTCCATGCCGTTTTTGTTGTTTACAGCATCACAACACCAACACCGCCCATCTGCTTCTCGTCGGGGAGGTTTTTCTCGTTGACGCCGCCGGGGATGGGGGCCGTCCGGTAGTTGTACAGGTAGAAGTGCAGCTGGCCGTCGCCAGCGCCGAACTTGAGCGCTTCCAGGAACAGGGGGTTGTCGTGGAGGGTGAGAGCGTTGAAGACGTCGAAGCGGGCCTACATTACGAATCATTAAGTCAGTCACATGGAATACTACCAAAAAAATGCAAGCTGGGAGTCCTACCTTCTTCGCCAGGATCAGCGCATCGTTCATCAACATCTGGAGTCGGTCCTTGAGGGTCTTCATATCCTCTTGGAAGGCCGTCTCCGTGGCATAGTAGTAGAGGTAGGCGGCGCACACGTCCTTGTGCTTCGGGTGCTGAATGACCGTCGACGCAAGGCTGTAAAACGAGAAGAAGTCGGTGATCTTGTGCGTCTCCGGGTCCTCCACTACGTACGACCACACCACCTGCTCCTGCTCGTCGTTGTCCCTGTGGACCAGCCAGTGCTTGACTTCGTCCTTTGTGAACGCCTGGTTCATGTCAAACCGGCGCAGGTACCGCTCCAGCAGATCCTGCACGGCGTCGACGTCCTTGAGCTCCATGGGCCGCAGACCCGGGCTCGACGTGTTGCTCGGGAGGTGGTTCTTGGTGATCTGGCGGGCCTTGGTGGAGCCGTGCGGCAGCGGGGAAAAGCCGACTTCGTAGAGCTTCAACCAGTCCAGGGGACGGTGGTAGTAGCGGCAGGAGCTGACCGGGGTGGGCAGCACCACTCCGGCGGTGTAGATCGCCTGGTAGATGCCGTTCAGGTAGCACCGGCGGGTGATCTCTTTGATGAGGACCGGCGTCAACCGCTTCGACCGCAGCTTCTTGTGGATGCAGAGGAAGTTGATCTCAGTCACCTTGATCTTCTGGCCTCGCACGCGGAGTTCGGTGGGGACGCCGCAGATGGAGGCGACCAGCTTCTTCGACTTGGTGGCGCGCACACCCACGTGCCATTCCTTTTTCCAGCCCGGCGACATGAGCGCCCTGTAAGACGTCAGTTACGCGCGAAACAACCAACGGAATTCCAAAGCATCCAGGCACGTTCGCTGTGTGAATTATACGTACCAGTGAAGAAAAGCCTTCGAATATCGGAACCGGAACATAGCATTATCATCCTCCACATAGTGATACGTCAAAAGATCCCACAACTCCTGCAACTCCACCTCATTAGTCAAATCCAGAGTCGCCCACTCAAACCCCTCAACAAGCGCATCCGGCTCCTTCGACACCTTCTCCGGGTCAATCATCTTGATCGGGCCCCCAGTAGCACTCGGCTCGCTACCGGTCTCGTCAAACCGCGGCACCGGCTGCGTCTGCCAGAACTTGTAAGACGCCATATCCTTCTGGTTCTTCCCGCCCACCGCAAGCCCCGTCAGCAGGTCGGCGATGTCCATCTTGCGCAGGGCCTCGGCGGTCTTGTCCTTGCCCAGCCCCGCCATCTCGTTCTTCAAAGCGGGGTTGTTCTCCAACAGCGACTCCGCCATTTTAGGGGTCAGCTTGTCGCCGATTGAATAGGGTTTCGGGCTGGATCCGGACTCCGAAGTCTGGTTTGCGGGCGCTTTGCCCTTGGTATCTTTGTTGTCGGCCATGATGGGGCGGTTGGGAGGGTGGTTTGCGCGATTGGGGGGGGGTGGTGTGGGGAGGAGGAGAGGGGAAGAATTGTTGGAAAAAGAGAGAGATTGCGTTCCTGGGATTAGCGTGCGGTGCGGGAAGTTTCACGCGGAGCCCCACGTCACGTCACCAGTTTGGTTCTGGACTTGGCGTACGTATATGATATACTGTTCATGGTCTTGACTGAGGCCTTTTTAACAGGTCTGATCATATGTTTAGCGCATGGGCAACAACTTATTCAGGTTGTTGGGTGGGATTCTTGGTGATCACGCCGCCACAGCGTCACTCTAGGATTACCTCGGCACGTTAGCTCCACTAACAAGAAACAAACAATGCAAGACAGAATCATTATATCTACACCAGGGGGTGTAAAATCTACGTTTCAAAGTATTAAACAATTTTATATGCAGAGACCTGCCACTAACAGGAAATGAGATTGTTGAAGCTCTATACTAACGCCAAACATGCACACCGAAACCAAAGACTGTAGTCCTCGCGGGTATCGCTCTGTTGTTGAATACTGGAACAGGAAGAAGTGACACAAAAAAGTACAAAGAAAAACAGCAGTCGAAAACCCATCAAGGTTACGACTTTTCAGCCCCACTGGGCTTCGTCTCGATGACATCGAGGAACCCCCCGACCAGGTGCAAACTGCCAGTGACAAAGGTCGTGAGAGGAGCTTCGTCTTTGCCCACGAGACCCCTCTCCTTGAGGGCGAGCGCGCGGGCAAAGTCGACGGCCTCTTCGATAGTGGCGTAGACATGGACCTCGGCATTGGGATCGATGGATCGCCACGTCTCCGCGAGGCTGTTTTGAACCTGTAGTTTCTCAATGTCTGACGCATTCGTGTTCATGCTCACCAGGTCCGGGCGGTATCCCGAGTCCTTGTACGTAACGTTGGTGCAGAAGATGGCGTGGGTAAACGGCTGCTCGGAGCCCAAGGCTGCGGACAGGGTCTCGTGGAGGGCCCGGGCCAAGGCGTTGCTGTCGCGCGTTTGCTGGTTGAAGATCAAGAGACGCAGCTTCTTGTTGGCGGCGGTGGTGGAGGACGAGTTGGCGTGGATCTGCGACACGAACCACTGGCCTGTCAGCCTAATACTCTCCAAGGTATGCCCTCCGTCAATGTACCAAGAGACATTCTCCTCGTGTCTCGTTTCGCACCGACCGCCTAGCCGAGCGGATTCCAGACCTTTCACGAACTCCGCCGGAAGGGGCTTGCTCAAGACATCGCCCGGGATATCTGCGATGCCTACAGTCCTGAGAAACTCCGCAGCAGCCGCCGTCGCAACAGCAGCGTTGGTGTACTGAAAATCACCCGCCAGGCCGAGCTTCAAACTGCCCCCACTAGCAGACTCGGGCAGCCCCTCTTTCACAATCTCCAGCTGCGCTCCCTTTTCCGCCGCACGATCATGGAGGACCTTCTCCGCACTAGCAGGCTGCGGAGCACTAAAGCACTTCACCCCCGGCTTGATAATACCACCCTTATGCCAAGCAATCTGCTCAATAGTATTCCCCAACATAGCGGTATGATCGATCCCCAAGCTAGTAATCGCACCCACAACGGGCTTCCCGATCACATTCGTACAGTCATACTCGCCGCCAATCCCACACTCGATGACCGCAGCATTCACCCCCTCGCTCACATAAGTGTGGAACGCCATCAGCGTCAAGTACCGGAAATACTGCGGTTTCGTCTGCGGAGCGGTCGGGGATTCCCCCGCCGCCTGCGCGGACGCCTCCAGCCGATCCCAAACTTCGAAGAAATACTTGGTGAACTTTTCTTCGGAGAGCGGGGCTCCGTCGATCTGGATGCGCTCGCGCGCGAAGCGCAGGTGCGGGGACGAGTACAGACCGATCTTGTTGAGCGTGCGGGGCGAATCCGACTGCGCCGCGGTGTACTGGGATAGAATCGAAGCGATGAAGGCCGAGGTCGATCCCTTGCCTTTTGTGCCGGCGACGTGTACGGGGTTGATCTGGCTCAGGTCGGATTGCTGAGGGGATACCCATTAGCACTCGTAGAACGACAGCCACCAGCTCTAGCTCTAGGAGAGCAACACAAAACGAACCTTATACCCAATCCGCCTCAACCACTCCACCATCTCCGGGATCGACTGCAGATTCTTATCCTCTCGACTCACAGTCTTCTGGAGTTCCTGCACAATCGCAAAGTTGGTCTGCAGCGAATTGAGCGCCGCAATGGCAGCCTGTTTTGACCCCGCATCATCATCAGCATTGAGCCCTCGGAGCGGATAGGTAGAGGACTGACCTCATAGTTGCGAGACATCCTCCTCGGGCGCGACGAAAAGGTGCGCAGGTGATGGGACTGGCTGATCAATGTAGATAGTAGGCGCAAACCCCGCATTAGGGTCTCTGAGTGTTCACGGATCGACTGGCTGACGAGATGCTCCAATGATACCGGTCGGAGTGGGCGGAAAGGCAGAGTCCATCCGGGGACTTACTTAATCCGGGGTGCGGTCACGTGTATCGTGATCTACGTTATAGATCTTGTTATATCTTGAGATAGTACACGGAGGAATGGACAATGGCAGTTAAATTTATACACTCGAAGTAAAGTAGTGGCCACAACACCGGGGTCCAGATCTAGTGGTGATCTAGAAAAGCGAAAACGAGACGGACAGGACAGGTCTAAGCAGAAGAATCGGTGACGCGACAATACAAGTACAACTTGCTCGAACATGCCTACGGTGATAGGAAAATGCGGACGAACGGTAATAGAAGGGGATGTGATAAAAAAAAGTAATAGGAAGAAATAGGGTAATGGATAAAAGAATAAACGAATCAAGGAAAGAGACGGAGAGAAAGAACGCAGAGGATGAAAAGACGAACGCATCGTGGGCTGCAATTACTCGATCCTGGTCTTCCCCTCCTCCAGAAAGCCCAACCGCGCGTTGCTGTAACCGCGCTGATGCCTTTTGGCGGGAAGAAATTGGCCGACGATGGGATCCGTCCGAGCCTTGATGAGGGCGTCCTGGTAGCCCTCCGATCCGGCGGCCGGCGTGTTGAGTTTGGGCCAGTTCACCTGGGGTTGATCAGTCAGCATGGATATCAGAATAGACAAACAAATAAACACTTACGTAGAGCATCCCATGGCCTAGGACGAAGCGTGCGCTCCAGGCGGACACGATCAGCCAGAAGATGACAAAGAGGCGCAAGGGCCAGACGGCGGAGTCCGGGAGTCGCTTGGTAAACAAGGACACCAGAATCATGAAGACGCCCGCCGCCAGGAGGTAGGGGACGGACTGGACGACCAACGGCCGGCGGTCGAGGAAGAGCTGCAGGCTGCCCAGGGCCGACTCCGGGGGGAGATAGGTGCCCAGGAAGACGTCGAACCCGTCCTGGCGGGGCCCGTCCAGGAAGTTGTTCCGCACGTACCGCGTGATGGAGTTGTTCAGGTCCTGCAGCATCCCGGCGCGGGTCCGCTCTCCCGTCCGGGTGAAATCCGTCTTCAAGGCGCCGGTGCCGGAATAGGACTTGGACACGACGTCGGCATTGTCGGCCCAGACGTTGCGGAAGAGATTCTCAAAGTCTCGATCGTCGTTGGCCGCCTCCCCGGGCCGCAGGATGCCGGCGTCGGTGAACTGGCGGGTCAGGGCCCACCGGCCCAGCATACTCTGCACCACGTTGGTCCGATCCAGACAATCCATGCAGTTGGTCCGCACCACACTGCTCTGCAGCGAACGGATATCCAACTGGCCGCCCGGGAGGCCGGGATGTTCGACGCCCCGGAAGTAGCCACCCTGGTTCAGGCCATCCAGCAAGCGCTCCAGCAGCAGCTCGGCGCGGTGCCATTTCAGGCCCTTGGTTTCGTTATGGAAGTCGAAGTAGATGTAGTGCAGTCGGTCGATCTGCTTCTGTTCCTGGCTGGGCTCCAGGGCCTGGACCTTCTCGGAGGATCCGGCGGTCTCGCCTCGGTCGGCGGGAGCCGAGAGGAGGATCCGAATCAGTTCTTCGTAGGCTTCCTTGACGCGCTGCTCGCGTCCCTTCTGGTTGACGAGGTTGACGAGGTAGTTGTCGCCGTAGATCCGGACCTGCTGGTCGAAATGTTTGCGAGCGGCCTCGAGGGCGGTCTCGACGCGGCGGACCTGGAGTTTCGGGGTGTATTTGAGGTTGTTGACCTCGGCCCAGTATACCGGAACGCTGCCTCGGGTCTGCACGAAGGAAAAGACCTGGAGATCGCGGCCCACCTCGGCGGCCTTCTCCTTCATCGGTTGCCCACCGGCAAAGCCCGACAGCCCACCGGTCGCATCGTTCAAGATGGCGATCTGCTCGGTCTCGTTATAGTTGGAAACATTCCCGTGGTCATCGATGCCGCGGGAGAAGTACCTCGTACCGCCCCGGTGCCTCGATCGTCTCGTAATCAGGGCGAAGGTAAACGACGTCGACTTGACCCGGGCGGGAGAGATCCGGAGCATGCCGTACATGACGGGTAAGATATAGGGGTCGACAGCGGGCTGCGGGGCGTAGCGAACCCCCGTCGCATCGTTGACTCCGAGACTGAAATCGATGAGGTCGGACTGGATGAAGCGATTCCAGAAGAAGCGATCGTCGGCGCGCGCCCACATGGGGCGGCTAGGGTCGCTCTGCGACTGGCGCTGGAAGGAGTTGGTGAGGTCCAGGGCGTAGGAGAAGTACATGGGCCCCTTCCGGAGGAGCTCCTTCAGGAGGGCCAGATAGGTGTCCTCGTCATGGTCGTGTAGAGAGCGCTCTCGCATGGGGAGGAACTCGGTACCGGCCACCTTGTAGACCATATGGCCACGAATGCGCCCCATGGGCTGGGCCTTGGTGATTACAATGATATACTTATCTGCGATCGTTAGCCCTCCGGGGTTGGGTTCCACGTGGCTTCTCCTCCAACTCAACCATCTTACCTAGCTTCAGCTTGATAATGCCCAGGATGCCAGCAATACTCGAGATGCGTCTGGCGCCTGACAGGGTGCCATTGTTCAGTCGCAGATCACCGGTCGGACGGTCGACGACCAGCGTGGGAGCATCCGGGGACGACGGGGAGGTAAAGGCATAGTGGGAAGACGAGGCGTGAAGATTAATATCACGGAAGGGAAGGACGGAGGTGGTCATGGTTGACGATCACCACCGAGGGGGGGTGGTGTGTGGTAGCGATGGGAGTGCTCGGTGGGTAACGATGGATGGATGGAAGGGGAGACGTAGACGGGATGAGGCGAAAGTAAGGGAGAGATCGAAAACGGTCGGGAATGGTGAGTGAGATGGACGAAGGCAGTCCAGTAATGAGCGTGGGAGAAGAGAGGAAGAGGCAGATCAACAACGCATATCAGCCTCAGGAGAACGAAAGACGAAGTCCGATACTAAGTACTCCAGTAGCCAACTAAGAAACCAATCCAGGGAAGAAAACGAGAGGGATGACGACGATGGAGGGAATGACCATCCAGGCACCGGTGGTGTATGTTACTGTATTGCAAACAAGATATACAGTATGTATCTCAGTGTCTGGCATACTTATCGATGCAATATACATTGATACCGGTGTAATATAAAACCCAAACAGGTACCGTACATCCTGACTAAGGACCGCCACAAGACCCACCTCTTCTGTGGCTGATCATCGTCATTCTCCTACCCAAGTTACCTAGGTAGGTACTCTTAGTACCTTACCTTACTGACCTACCTAGGTATCCGTAGTACTACAGTTACCGTAGTACTAGTATCTACTGACCCGGCCTACTGACTACTCACTATTCAACCTCCCGCTATCCAACCGTCTACTCTTCACTCCTCTCTTCATCTCGCCCTTCCATATCATACTCTCCTCCCCCACCCCCTATTTATCTCATTTGGCTGTTCGTTTTTCGCCTGGATCTTTCGCTCTCTTTCTCATTCATATCTCCCATCATCCTACCCCCCTTTATTTGCCCGTTCACCGGTGGTTTCATTTCTCATCTGTCATCATGGCTTCCAGAGCCGCAGCAGGCGCCCGTCCCGGTGCGAGGTTCGCTCAGTTCAAGCTGGTCCTGCTCGGTGAGTTGTCCCCCACAATTTCTTCGGTTTATTTCATTTAATGTTATCTTT